TGAAGTTGATTTTCTTCTTACTCTCCTCCTCCTCTTGCTCTCTTGAAGTATCCATTCATTCGTGTTTGGGTCCTGTTCTTCGTCTTCATCGTGTCTTAGGTTTTCGTAGGTGTGGAACATAAGAAAATAAGGAGTCTGCAATAGGCCGGTTGGCCTGTGCATGGCAGCTCCTGTCGAGAGTTACTACCACTCTCTATCATCCATGAATCTATCTAGCCTCCTTTTAAAACTTTCCAGCGTTCCAGCACTTACTACAAAGTTGCTAAGCTTGTTCCACTCGTCCACCACCCTATTTGTGAACCAGTTCCTTCCTATCTCCCTCCTAAACCTAAACTTATCCAACTTCAATCCTTTGCTACGAGTCCTATCCTGCTCGGATATTATAAGAACTTTATCTATATCCCCTTTATTGATTCCTTTCACCCACTTAAATACTTCTATCATATCTCCCTGCACTCTTCGTCTTTCTAGGGAATGCAAGTTTAGTTTCTTTGACCTATCCTGATATGGAAGGTTTCTAAGTCCCGGAATCATTTTCGTCATTCTTCGCTGCACCGACTCTAGTGAATTTATATCCATTCTATAATAGGGGCACCAGAACTGAACCGCATAATCGAGGTGCGGCCTGACTAGCGCAAGATATAGTTGCAATAAGACCTCTGCACTCTTATTACTTACACTTCTAGATATAAAACCCAATACTCTGTTTGCCTTATTTCGAACATTAACGCACTGTTTTCTAGGCCGTAGGTCCGGGCTTACAAGTACCCCTAGGTCTCTTTCACAAGTCGACTTCTCTAGGTTGATGTTGTTAAGGCTGTATAAATTGACAGTATGTATTCTTCCAATATTAAGTACGCTGCACTTGCTGGTGTTGAATTTCATTTGCCATTTTTCAGACCACCCCTGCAGTATATTTAGATCCTCCTGTAATGCCTTTGCATCCTGCCCTGAGTCAATCTGCCGCCTTATTTTGGTGTCATCCGCAAACTTGCTTATGTCACTGCTGATCCCAGTATCTAGATCGTTTATGTAGATTATGAACAAGAGTGGGCCTAGTACTGACCCCTGGGGAACCCCACTGGTTACACGGCCCCACTCAGATTTAACACTATCTACGCTGACCCTCTGCATTCTATCGGCGAGCCATGATTTTATCCAATTTAAAACTTTCCCCTCGATACCATGAGCCTTAATTTTTCTCAGAAGCCTCTGATGTGGTACTGTCAAATGCTTTGCTAAAGTCTAAGTAAATAACATCGTAATTTTCGTCATTATCTACTACCTCGAAGACTTTCCTAAAAAACGTCAGCAGATTTGTTAGACAAGATTTTCCCTTTGTAAACCGAAGTTGAGTGGTAGATTAATTTGCTTTTCACTAAATGCGATCGGATGTTATCTGCTATAATTGATTCAAGAAATTTCCCCACTACTGTCGTCAAACTGATCTGCCGGTAATTTGACGCTGATGCTCTGTCTCCCTTTTTGAATATGGGTACTACATTTGCCTGTTTCCACAAGTCTGGCACAACGTGGGTTTCTGCTCCTGGGACCTCGTGGTGCTCTTGATTCTTTGTGACGTGTGACTTTTCTTGATTTTTCTTTTCTTCTAGTTTTTTCTTGTCTTGGGCGTGTACAGCAAGGAGGGCCTCTTTGTAGCTCAGTTTCTTGTCAAGTCGAGCCTTGGCTATCCTGCATTCCTCCTTCCATTTGGGGCAGGTCCGATCGGCGGAAGAATGTGGGCCGCCACAGGCAGCGCATTTTTTCACTGTGTTAGGGCAGACGGTGTAGCGGTGTCCGGGGCTGCCGCAGAGGGAGCAGGTGTCCTCCTGCGCCTCACACTTGTTGACAGTGTAACCATAGTGCTGGCATTTGTAGCAGCATTTCGGTCTGCAGTAGGGCTTGACTGGCACAGTTACCCATGCCAGTTGAGCCTCCTTGGGTAGGGTTGCATGGTGTCCGACGAGGGCAGTGGTGTCGGAGAGCTTCTTGACAACTTGGAGTTGTCCCTTGAGGAGTTCGCTCAGCTCTGCTTGGTCCACGTGGGCAATTTCGGCGTGGGAGATTACTTCCAGCTTCAGGTTGCCCCATTTGTAGGCAATCATTTTTATTGGGATGCCATTGATGTCGGGGATCTCCGCGAGTTGTACGGGCATACCCTTCTCTGCGAAGGTGATCTTGATGTCTCCATGGAGCTTCAGTCGTTCCACCTTGGTGACCCCCACGATCCCATTAGTTTCAAAGAACTTCTTGAGAACTAGGAGGTTTAATTTCTTGTGGCAGGTCGGCTTATCCGGACGTATCCGCGCCACCTTGTCAAACTCGTAACCGTTCATGGCGAGAGAGGGTCAGAGAGTGTGGGAGCTCACAGCGAGGTTGAGAGCTTATATAGCGGAGGTAAGCGTGGCTTGATGACTGACCTGCTTTGTCAGACCACGAGGCGTTGGCTGGGGAATTCGAAAAGGGGTCGGCTAGTCAGCGACAAACGGCAGTTGTAGTTGTAGGGGAAATTTCCACTACAGGCTCTTCTTCTGTCCAACTGTTAGATAGGGTGGAATCAAAGGCATTTCATCTTATTATCTCTCCTCCTTTAGTTGATAATCTTTTTTCCCTTTCCCTTCGCTGCAATGTTGCTTCACTCTCTCTTTTACAGGTACTTTGTAGTGGATTCCTCCCCTACAAATGCTTTTGTCGCCGAGTAGCCGACCCCGCGAATTCCCCAGTGTATGCCTCGTGGTCTAGGTCAACCAGCGCCGCCTTACATGACGTAGGTCAACTATTAAGTCGCGCCTACCTCCGCTATATAAGATCTCACCTCGTGGTGACCGCTCTCTTTCTACTCACTGCCACCAGCAAGCAACACCTCCTCCTCCGCGCCAGCCTGGCGGCTCCCGCTCCCGCCGGCGACCTTGGCGTCCCTCAAGCTGCGTGCCCTCCTCTGGCACCCTCACCAACCAGCTCTCTCTACTCAACGCTTGTAACCATGCTGCCTTCCCAGCACCAAGCTGCATTGTACATCCAATACAACATGTATACAGAGAGCACATTGTGAGTTTCCTTTCTCCATCCCATCCCGAGTGTGAACCAAATAACTCGTACCCCACAACTTTAACGGGCAATGTTCGGTGGATTTGGCATCCTGTGTACCGCCGGCAAGGCCGTGGGTTCGTAACACTCGTCTTGCCCGCGGTGCCCACCGTTTCTCTGTGGATGTCGGTCACTCTAGAATAACCCGTTATAGTACCTCCTTCTTTCCTCACACAGCCAAACTGTGGAATGCTCTGCCTTCGTCTGTGTTTCCATACTCATACAATCTGTCTCACTTCAAAAAGCTGGTTTTCCAGCATCTTCGTGGTGTAGATTAATATGATCTTTTTCTTTTCTATTTTTAATTTCTTTAACTCTTATTATTTCGCCCCCCAGACCTCGTTGTGGGTCAATGACCTGTGATCGGGTGGGCTATTACCAATAAAAAAAACCCACCACCACTAACATCATCACCTGCAACCACCATCACCTACAACCACCCCTACCACCACCACTACCATCACCTACAACCACCCCTACCACCACCACTACCATCACCTACAACCACCCCTACCACCACCACTACCATCACCTACAACCACCCCTACCACCACCACTACCATCACCTACAACCACCACTACCACCACCACCTACAATCATCACCTACCACCATCACCTACAACCACCACTACCACCATCACCTACCACCATCACCTACAACCACCACTACCACCATCACCTACAACCACCCCTACCACCATCACCTACAACCACCACTACCACCATCACCTACCACCATCACCTACAACCATCACTGGGAGGGTTAAGACACACTTCCTAGATAAACTTATTAACTTGATCCTTAGATCCAATTACACAAATATCCCATAGAAAGTATTTCCTCCCGCCTGGACATTCAAAACATGCCACGAAGATGAAGAACATTAAGGAGCAACACTCGGGGTTTAAGGGTTAATTACAACAAGGTATGGAAATGTAGAATTATTTATTATGGACAACAATGAAATAATTACCTTTAATATAACCATATATATTTTCATATTGGAGAACTGGTCCTAAAATATAACTTTCTAACAGCCCCCATAGTCAGATGGTTCTCATAGCTGTGCAAACCTTTTGAGGTCTTGGCCATTATGCTGCACCCTTGTTTGACAGTTGAGGGTTGATCATATTATTACTAATCCCTCCCTGTAACAACCATCATGCTTCAGAAGAGAGAAATATGAAGCAATAACTACCCTCTACAACCCCAGGAAATTCAAACATGAAGTCTATAAAACTAAGGGTGAATTTTGCCATACTGTACATTTAACCATTGAAACAATAGGCTAGTAGAAAAGCTTGTTCCTCCCTTTGCTAAAAACTGGCCAAAAAACAATTGGTCCTGGTCAAGAAATAATATATAGAAGATTCCTTTCTTTATAATTTATTTCCAACAGTTTTGTGAGGACCTTCAGAGCTACTCCCAAACTGAAGAGAGGATTTTAACAGAAAATTTGTCTTTTAGGTCTCTTTCACAGGAGTGTTTTTTTCTGAGAAATCAATGAAGTTCAATGCATTTAATATATACTGTACTTATTTTTACCCACAATAAGGCATACTAAGACAAATTACTTACCAGTAATACTGTATTACATTATTAAAAAACTAACATTTTAAAAGATCAGAATCACATTGAAATATTCCACAGCCATCAGCAGAGGCAGGAAATGTGAAGCTGTGTCTTAGTATGCCTTATTGTGGGTAAAAATAAGCATATATTAAATGCATCCTCCGAAAGCATCAATTTGCTACCAGAGTTTAACAGTTAATAATATTCATGTATTAGATTTCTGATAAACTTCCTAAGTGCTCTATTTGAAATAATGAATGCATGTACCTTTATATAATTTAGCTAAATATCTTTCTCGTCAGAAACGGTCATCCCAACAATTATAAATAAACTCATTTAGAAATACATCATTACTTCAGGACGAAATTGGACAGATTTTCAATAGCCAATCAGCTGTAACTCTTGAAGAGGAGGCGGGGCATCTCTTCTCAAGTGGGAAAAAATGCACTATAGTAGTTAAAATAAGATACCAATAATAAAGAACAAAACCTCAAGATGGAGAAAATACTGAGTTTGATCAAGAATACCCACGATACAATCTGTACACACACAAAACTGTCTGCCTCTTTTCTCACTGATACAATGGACGAACAATTCTGATCACTAGTTGTGATTCCTTGACAACCAAACTAAAACTGCTGTACATTGGACCCAGGTGGGCAGATAGTTTTATTGTGTGTGTACACATCAAGGATAAGCAAGTCCCATACACCTGGCCTTCCCTGGCTAAAAACACTCAGAAAAATTAATCATGTGATAACCGTGGTAACACTATGAGATGTTCTTATTACTACCATGCTATTGTACTATTCCAGATGATACTAAATGTTACATAATACTTCCTTGAGATAAATGTATAGTAACTATCAGGTGCCTCAAAGAGAGTTCAGGTTCTCAACTGGCTCTGCCACGTCATTATTATCCACTCTGCACCTGTGTTTTGAACGCTAGATAAACTGTTTCAATTCAATTCAACAAGACCAGATGGTTGGAGTCCACAGTATCCCACAAGCTTGTTGTAACTCATCACCTCCATCCTCCCCAAGAAGAACTTTGATTCAAATCCTAAAAGTATATTGCAGCTCATCCATCTGCACTGAATTGCTTAATTATTAAATTTTGTCTCCAATACAAAGACTATTTATGAGCACAATATCAGGGAGTGCACAATATAAAAGAATAAGGTTAACACAATACTCAGTAAATACTGTTTCTAACAACAGGTGAATGTTATGTCCCACATGTATTCAAGGCCAGGAGGCACCTTATCATAATAATAGGTACAGTATATGACATAATTACGAGGAGTACTGTATTTCAGATTTAGAAGAGAATGGGCCCATACAAGATTATTCCTAGCCACTAGTAATACAAGGATATCGAGGTACTGAATATGACTACATCGGGTTCACAGACAATGGTATTAATGTTCAGACTCAACTCCCCCACAACAATATCATACACAAACATGTCCTCTTATGTTTATGACAACACTGATAACACATAAAACTTCTATATCCTCACTTAATAACTATCCTTGGTGTTACAACTGGGAAGACCCTTAGCTCTTTTTAATGGTCATGCAGAATACTGGAGAGTGAAGCAGTTGTGATCATTCTGTAAGTCACTAAGGACTGAGGGAAGATGGTGTACTGTTCTCGATGTCTAAGATGGTAACTCATAGTGGTGGGATTAAGTATTGACCTGGTAATTAGCTCTTATTGCACCTCCTGTCTCCAGAGAGAACCACTGATTCTAATCTTCCTCTTCTAAGGATGACCAATTGGCAAAGGGTGGTCATAAGCTCAGCCCTCAGCTGTAAAATATTGGCACAGCATGATGGCCAAGACATGTTCAGTGACAAGAGCCGCCTGACTAAGAACGACAAGCTAGAAAAGAATCAAAATGATTATCACTTTTTTTTTATTTTCTTTGGCTTAAAACGATCAAGAATTTCAGCTGGTTTAGACTCTAAATTCTTTTCCTTCCCTAACTTGAAGCTGTCTCGCTGAATAATTGCAGCCTGGAGGAACTCTCGCTGTCTGCCCTCCTTCACTTTTTGCTTACGTTTGAAGGTCTGTGCAGAGCCGCTCTTGCCCTTCATTCGGTAACGTGGTGTAAAATCAATTGTTGGCTTGCGAATGTGTAGTAAGGCATTCTTGGCATCTAATTTTTCCTGCAGCCTTGGAGTATCAACCTATGAAAACAACAGTAATTGTTATATAAAAAAATAATAAATAAGAAAATGGCATCCTCAATGAACATGAAAAGCTTCAAGCATTCTTTACCTTTGAGAAATGGAAATGTAATCTTTAGTCAATTAATTTTGTATCTTAAGAACAGGATTTCAAACACCATTTATTCCTGGCAAGAGAAGGCCAGGGTAGTGATCTGTTCTTCATCTGCATATAATGAAATAACAGAAGAGCAGTTAAAATATTTTGTTTTTCACTTAAGCATCTTCCTGAAATCCAAAGGAAATACAGAGAGAGAAAGATGTGTTCCTTTCATCACACTTCTCCAATACCCAATGTGTGTCCTCAGTATTAGCCGAGCCGTTATGTAGAATAAATGTACATTGGAGCCACACTAAGAAAGTATTGAGTACAGTGCGGTAATTTGTAATGTTAACAATGGGCAAACAGTTAAAAATTTGCAACTCTAACTCAGCTGACTGGCCTTAGATACTTAACTTCATTACTTCACCACAGCTAAACTGAGTTAAATGATGAACTCGTATTTTTTCCATACTTCTGCATACATTTTCATTATAATCCATCACCTAAGAGCAACAGAATACTCACCTGACCAATACTTAGAGGGTCCAGAGTGATAAGCTTTGACGGTACTTTGGCAAGAAGAGCTTTGACCTCTGCTTCCCTGCGGCCCGACACACTCATGTAGGGGTTGGCTTCCAGAGCATCATAGTTTGGTTCACCAGCCCCTACAAAACATAATAAACTGTTAATAAGGCAACAAAAATAAACCAAAGACCAAAATATAGAGACAAGTACAATACAGTATAATACTATAATGGACTAACAAAACAATGAGATGATTAACTTGTGTTTAGAAATAAGGATAATTTGCATAATATTGTACATAACCTGTAGAATAATCCATCACCTACATATGACCACAAATAAAAACATATAAATAAACAAAATAGTGCATAAATGTATATATAAATGTATATTAAATAAAAGGAAGCTTGATCCTGCAGTACAGTATCTACAGGAGTAGAGTTGTTGAACAAGCCTCAGGTAAGTAAATAATTAGTAAGAGCACCTGTACAATAAAGTCTGGATACAGTAACTCCACATTGACAACAAATCCACTTATGTGAAGAGGATTTAAAAATCAAATAAACTTAAACATTAACTTATTGCTAACGTTCACAAAACATTACTTATAGCACTGCCACTGTGGAATCTGGCAATCAGCTGGTGTACAACTGCCTTAATAATATCATGCAATGGCTTTTTCTTGCCAGTCTTCACCCGGGTCATTATATACCCATTCGGCACTGACATGTTAAGCCTATAGAATAAAAGCCCGATATACAGTACCATCTTGTATTTTTCCTCACACACTCAGAGCAGATAATTAGCAAGCCACATTTTTATGAATCTTCTCTTCTCACTGTACTCCATGGCTGTAGTAGGATTTTTCACTTCACCTGGTTGGCTTTGCCTTTGACAGTCTCCTATAATGTCTTGTAGAACAGTCAAGAGCATATAGTGCACAGCTCAGTTATCACACTACTGTACTTTATGTTTAAAATGTTGATATAGTGCGGTGAGACTGTCGCTCTACGTTTAGTGTCTGGTAGAGCATATACAGTATTTCCTGCTTGCCCACACTGTCCAACATGTACTGTACCACCACTATCACACCAATGACCTATATACAATACTGTACGGAGTATATGGCCTTTACCAAGAGGTAGTCTTACCAGTGAACCAGAGATGCCAAGTCCTTCATCAGGGCCTATTTCATTCAGTCTCTTTGTGAGTATAGATACAGTAATGAAATCAGGGATGTAATCACTCTACATCACAGAGCACAAATTTTTAGTCCAAACCATTGTTGCTTTGAAGGAATGATCAGCTTGAAGACCAATCTACCTCTCCATAATATTCGCCTTTCAGTAGAAGTCTTTGAAAGGAGTATATTTCTCTCTAAAGTTCCTTTTGCAGATCATCCGGCAGAGGAGTCACTTTCTTAAGCTTGTCGCCACCAGTAAGCTGATCATTGTTTGTAAATTGGCGGAGGTGGAACAGTTGCAAAAAACAATCACGAGACACAGGTTTTTCACTGAATTTGAGATTATGAGTTTCATCTGTTGCCCAGCACTCATTTATGTGTTTCTTACTGTGCAACATTATCGAATCACCTGAAGAATCTACATCCCAAATAGAAATAGGGTGGAGATTCTTCAGGTGGAGAGGACTGGGGTGGAGATTCTTCAGGTGGAGAGGACTGGGGTGGAGATTCTTCAGGTGAGAACTCGTGTGTGTCCTTCAAGTATCCATGACAACGATGAGTCTCATTCACAATCATATCCAAAATGATCACGAACACAATACTCTAAGAAATAGTACAGTTCCCCTGAAGCTTCTGTTACTGTACATGTATCAGCTAAACATGAGTTTGTTGAGTCAAATGTGTAGTGATCTGGTGTGAAGTGCGTTGATTTCCGTGACTACGTTTCTTCCACTCTCCCACTTGAATCATTGTGTTTTTCCTCTCGTGTTTTTTTACACATTAACCCGATTATCACCATCACTGTCCTCTCCTCTAAGTTATCAGTATTAATTGTATCCAACTCATCAACATAATAATTCTTGCTTTGGGCCGCTGCTCTGGCAATATTGAGTGATGCCAACAGAAGAGATTAAAACACCAGCTGTTCATTACAGCACACGGTACTGTTGACCCATATACTGTATGTCCCACACACAGTACACAGAAAAAAGAAAAAAAAATACTGCCAAATATATGAGACACCTGCAGAGAAAGAGTTAATTGCTGAAGTGCAAAAAGAGATTTGTGATGAGCGAAGAAGTGTTAACCTGTGTGTTGAAATTTTATTCTGTAAAGCCAACAATAAACACCATCAACACACACACATTCATGCTAGCCATATCTTATGACAACAATTATTTCACACCTCTAACAAAATAAGTGGTCCAACTTGTTGACCATAACCTTACCTGGAATAATTAAACTTGAGTATCCACGATAAGTGGAGATCCCGAGTATGTCTTCGTAGGGACAAAACTGCAAGTCAGTTATCACACTGCCCGACTTGTGACACATGTATGCCTCACGGGTTACCCCAGTGGTCACATCCCGATACACCTGTGACAATAATAGATGCCATTCTTTATAAGTAGCAGTGAAACCTCGGTATAACAGACACAATATGTAATGGGACTCAGTTATAACAACCACCTTAAACCTATTGAACAAACCCTGAGGATAATGGGCAGGTGTTCTGAGGAGTTGTCTGATTGTTCTTCACTGCATGAATACTAACTGTGAGAACTGTAATACTGTTTATAAAGAATAAAACAGACAAGTTGAAAATCATAAAAAAACTGAAGCAACAAACAATTATTATAGCACATTATGCAGTCCTCTACTCATCACCACAAGCTCCTTTACCCTGTGCTTGTCTACTGTACCCCTAGACCTCCATGCCAGGCCGAGGGGAGGAATCTCCACCCGTGAGCTATATGTTACGTTATGGTTATTTTTCAACTTGTAATTTATGGTAGATATGTGTGTAGTTTTCTTACTTTACTCAGTTATATGCACACACAATCCTACACACAGGAATGCACAAAAAATAACAAATCAACATCAAAAGACAAAAGTTCTAAGTATCTACAGGTTTTTACCGCAAAGCTGTGTGGTGAGTGAGTGAAGGTCAGAGGGTTTGTGGCAGAGCACCATAGCTAGGGATGGCAGCAAGGCAGCGTCCAAGCTGGGCTACATTGCTAAGGAAAGCGTCCAGGAGGCCAGCATCCCCAAGACTGTGACACAGTGTGTACACTAACTTGTACCACTTTTGCTCTCTTTATACCGTCATTATTGCTATTTACTGTACAGTACAGTATATGCTTTTGATAATGCTGAATCTGAATCTAGTGATCTGAACAGATGCGAGTATGAATACTGTTATGGACAAAATATTTTTAAATTATTCTTTTGTCAGTAATCAGGGCTTTTAAGAATACTGTATACCTTAAGCCTTTATAAAGGATTAATGTAAATTGTTTCATTATTAGGAATGCCTTTTGAATTTAAACAATAATAAGTAATAAAATCCCCTTTCAAAATATTTGGTATGTCAAACCCCCTCCCTCCCCTTTAGCGACTATGGTCTTCCCCCAATTAGTCTGTTCAAAAATCAAAATTCCAAGAATTTCCCAAGTTTCTGGATTAAAGTTTGTGCCAAGATTCAAGAGTGATTTGGGGAGTTTAGCCTCTGTAAATTCTGAACGCTTCCTAATCTATTACATCAGACTTTTTACTGGTTGGAAGGTTTTCATTTAAATAAATTCCAGCAAAGGAGACACATCTATATTATATTCTTGTAATACAGTATTGCCTTCATTACCCATGGCTTCCCCCATTTTTTTTCGTGCACTACAGTAATTTTATTAAACTCCATTACAGACTAAAAAATCTGCACAGATACATACAAAAATTTTGCCAGGATGTAATAAGGAATACTTGCTACTGACCTCCACAACATTACCCATGGCCGCAGCTAATAAACCTTTCTGTGAGAATTTAACAGTTGATGCTCCGGAGTTAATCTTGAATGACTGTAGGCACTCTCCTAGCCGTCGCACATCCCAAATCTTCATTACTTTATCAGCTCCTGCTGTGACCATGTACCTGCCAATAAACACCATAACAAAGTTAATACACCATACACATAACTGTACTGGCAGTTCCCAATTTATAAAATTGCCTGATTGCCCAATGTCTCCTCATTTACTCTCATATAATATGTGGACAATTAAATGGAAGAAAATTATATCTTAAAATTTAATTTCTAGTTATTTACAATAAAGGTGTAGAGCTGTAAGAGAATGTGTAGACTTTATAAATTAACAAAATTTTGGAGGTGCGGAGGTTGTTGACAACAAGTGTAGTGTCAGCTGACTGGTGGCAGTAGTCGTGCCACATCTTACTCAAAGGTTTAAGATAAGAATAAATTTCCGATATTTCTCATGTACTGTCTGTCTGACTTGTCTCATTTGTACAGTATATAATTCCTTGAATTTTCTTTACCACGAATAATAACTTTCATAACACAGCAGCTTGTGGGTGTTACTAAAAGTAAGTAGTGTGGGGCTGAGGGGCCCTCACACAGGGCTAAATCCAGCACCAGAGGTAAGACAAGACAAACCTCATCACCTCACACTGATCCCTACACTCTTTATAAAGCCTCTAGTAATGTCACTCAAGTATAGTTCAGGACAAAAATATGTTTTAGTAACTTTATAAATTATAGATCTGTTTGAGAAGTGAACAATACACAGTTTTAAAGCTTCAATATACTTAAACAGCTGAATATGGTCATAACGTTAAGCGTGTTGTGGCCTTCACACACAAGTCATACAATATGGTTGTTGCCACAACTCTTTTATCTGACAACTTATGATAAATAATGAATTATTTATTACAGGTTAATGAGTTATTCAAATGATGAGAAAAAAGTGGATCCATGGGCATGACACTCTATTAGGGACAGTGTGGCTACAGTAGACGTACATAAGGATACACTGTACTCAACAAGATTCAGTTCCCCAACTGTAAAGTCAGGTACCCATTTACAGTTGGGTAAACTGGAGTGCTCTGGGCATTAGGTAGCTGGCGACCTGTGGTGTATTGGTCAGCATGCTCACCTCGCAAACGAGTGGACCCGGGTTCGATCCTTGGGCAGGGTGACATTATGGACAAGTTTCTTTATACATTTTGCCTCTGTCTACCCAGCAGTAATTGGGAACCTGGATGTTAATCAATTTGCGGATCGTATTCCGGGGTAATGATTAGCCAGTGCAGTTGGCGAGTTGTCCGGTCTTCTCGAACTACTTCTTGACACTGGGTCATGCAGCTCGTTAACTCAGGGTGTGGTTGTAGTGTTGACAACAGCTTCTATACTTTTAACAAATTCACGTCTAGGTGGCCCTAAGGCTGGCCATCCTTGATTTTGAAGTGCATCCATTATGAGGTAGCTATCCTTAGGTTAGAAAACTAGAGCAGTATCCACTCCTTCCCTGCACCCTTAAACAGCAGTTCTTAATCTAGGTAAATGTACAGTATTACAAGTATCTTTAAACGATGATGATGGTGATTTAATGAATGGATTAGTTTAATTGTTTTTGGTTGTTAATTCTAATATATTTAAGTGACATCTAGGCTGCCTTGACCCAATGACAGCCAGACACATCTACAAAATTCCATTCATAAAAGTATTTTCTAACATGTGGTTCTTTAATACTGTACTGTAACTGTGAATTAGTTTATAATAACAACATAATAATAGTTACCTGCCAGTGGGATCAACATCTAAAGCTCTTATGGGGTGAGGATGACACAAGATGGAGGTCACAGGTTCTTTACTGTTAGGTGTCCACATTGATACTGTGCCATTCGGGTGACCACAACACAGCACTGCATTGTAAGGGTTCTGACACATGACATTCAGGCGACCCTTATGTGTGTAAACCTGAATCACTTCCTTGCCTAAAGTGATGTCAAGCCAACTCAAATGCCCATTCTCACTCTGTGAAGGAGAAACATTATTTAGATGGGGAGACAGGTGAGGAGATTAAATAAAAATGAAGAAAAATAAATAACTTCTGAGCTAAATCAGTTGTTCAGTTTTACACGTTCAACATATCCTGAACATGGGAAAATCTTCTATGGAGTTGTTATTGAATGGACAGTACTGTACTACCTATTTATTATAGCCAAGATAAATTATACTTTTCCCAGATTATTAGAAATCCTCAAATTATGCATAATGAATACAAAAAGATACAAAAGTGTTTCACCATGTGTAACTTTTAAAAGAAATAACAAAAAAGTGTCATTTTAGAAGAGAAATTAGAGGTTAATAAACAACGTGAGCGTGGCGAAGAAACTACAGTTGACAATGATCCACGAGGAATAATACAAGGCACACACACACTTCTCAACGAGCAGAAGGTTAAGAAGCATCAACAGGATACATTCATTGATATTTTGAACAGTGCAGACACAAAAGGAGAGCTATTAAGAACAGTCAGGCAAAAAATGGGTAGAAACAAGGATGCTGTTGGTGAGTGGTGTGTGAGGAACGATCATGGTAACGTGGCTGTTGATAATGAGGATGTCAAGGATGCCTGGAGAAAATACTATGACTGACTACTGAATGAGGAGTAATGTACAAATGAGACAGGGGCAGACCAGGAGCAGCAGAACTAGCACAAGGACCATGCCCAAGGATGAAGAGAGAATGGATGAGGAAAGCGAATGACAAGGTAAAGAATGGAAAGGCAGCTGGAAGATCTGGAATATATTGTATGCAGAAATCATCAGGTGTCAATGATGATCAAATTGACTATGTACTGCAACCATGATGGAATGTACTGTTCCAGACAACTAGAGGAAGAGTGTGATCTTGAACACTTACAAGGTTAAAGATGATATACAATACTTGAATGTTGAAACTACAAGGGTCTTAAACTGTTAGATCAGGTTATGAAAGATATAGAATGAGAAAGCTTGGGGTCAAGGATTGTCTTGTACAAATGGTTAAGTCATTACATGAAGGTTCAAAAGTTTCTGTGAGAGTAAATGGTGAGAAAAGTGAGGAATTGGAGATGAAAGTTGGGGATCATCAGGGGTCTGTCTTGAGCCTCCTTCTCTTTATCGTGGTGTTAGAGGCAATATCATGGACTTAAGGACTGGTCTGCCCTGGGAGTTGTTGTATGCTGATGGCTTATAACAGATAGTATTGAACAGACAGTGGAGAAATTGAACCCTTTGAGAATGATGTAGAGTGTGAGAGAAAACCTCATTGAACACTCCTGAGTAATACCATCAAAGTCCAGAGGTTGAGACGAATTAATAAAAAATCACTTCAACTGCACGTGGGAGCTTAGTGAAAGCTACCCCATCCCTCCAGCATATTCCTCATCCTCGTCACCCAAATTACCCTAAGATTCACCAGTTAAAATATTGTGGAAAGGCATCATGTTCACTTATATCGCCATCACTATGCATGGGAGGGTCATCCTTGTCTCCAGAACCAAATAATTAAGGCATCAATTTCTTTCTGGGTTGTGGCTGCACCAAGGTCCAACCATTATTAATGGGCGAGTGGCCTCCACCACTTCTGCCAGTTACCAGAAGCCTTCACAAAGATGCTCAGTAAATACAAATCATGGGAAATTCAAATCATGCCCACAAGAAATATGTTGCAACAGTTGTAATGGATATGACAAGAACAGCACGGCCCTCTGTACCACAACCAATGTGGGATATCTGCCAGGGGTTAAAAAATGGAAAGATGGAATAGTGTCAAAGAGCCTGAGAGGCAATGCGATGAAAACAAAGGACTGATTAGTGGCGTGGGTGAGAGGCACAGTGGAAAGTGGAAAAGAGGCCATGTGCCGTCTGTAAGAAAGGTGTCGGCAGCAATTCATTAATGTGCTGTGAAGTAGATGGCAGACTGCAATATGTTGCTAACTTTAAGTAGGCTGTATGTGCAGGTGAACTCAACAAGGCTGAAGAAACTCAACATTGGGATATATTCCTGGACTGTGTTGATGAGTTTTGCTACCTGGGTGACATGATCAGTGCTGGTGGCGGTGCTGCAGCTTTATCAATTGCAAGTCAGAACTGGCTGGAGGAAGTGAAGGGAGTAGTTGCCTTAATTGAAGCCAAGAGGAACTTCCCTCCGTGTGGAAGGAAAATGTATGTGGCTGGTGTGAGAACAGCATGGAACTATTTAAAGACAACTTTAAATGACAAAAAATATTGAATCAGCCATAATATCAAATTGTGAATATTGTATTGAATCAGTGAGGACTGAGTATACTCATTCTCTAAGATCCATCTTGTCTCCAAGTGGCCTGGTTTGAACCTGATTAGCTTTGACCTGTAATGATGGAGTCGATTCATTGTCAACCTCTAATTGGTGGTAAACAGACAACACCAGCAAGAACCTTTGATAGTTCTCCTCAGGTTACACTTGAGTTTATGTCTTACCTAAATACAGTAAAATTCCTTGTCAACATGAACACTGAACAACAGCCACTTACCGCAGAACACAGGAGAAAGTGATAAGGGAGGAACTCAAGTTGCAGCACTCTGTCCATCTGTTTTAAGCAATGAATTTCAATTCCTTGATTGTCATATATATAAACCCATTTTTTTTGTGCAGCAGCCATCATGCCCTCTGTGTGCAGCCAACAAACATCATGGATAGATTCCATAACATTTATTTCACAGTGTAGTTTCTTAGTAATCCAGTCCATGGCTGCTAAGTGACCCTTTCTTCCTCCCAGTACAAGATGTCGTCCATTTCGAGTGAACTGCATTCTAATGGGAGAAATTTCTGGGGTAAAAATACATATATCACCATAAACATCCAGAGCAGAAGTCAAGCAACTTATTTTACCAAAGGAGTCTCTCTCTCTCTCATCACTTCAGTAAAAACATCTTACTACACAGCTAAAAACCAAGGATTAATACAATATAGGTGCTCCTCTACTTAAGAAAGTTCAACTTACCAACTTTCAGAGATACAAACATCATCACTGAGGGGGTTACCTGCCAGAACAGATGTTTAATGTGGATGAGACTGGATTATTTTGAAGAAAATTCCAGATAGAACAAACATTACCTAAGAGGAGAAGAGTGAGCCAGGTTTTAAGGCTGTATTAAAGGGTATAGCTCTACTAAATATCCATAATCTTTTCATTTTTTACAATATGTTTGGTATCTAAAAGAGTAAAGTTGGACTTACAAACAAACCTCAAAAACGTAACTCATTCGTGAGTAGAGGAGCACCTGTAGTGGACACCCCATTTCATATCTGAGTCAGGCCAAGAAGACTTGTGATTTAACCATACATCTATGTGTTGCATTCCAAGCAAATACCTTGACATTATAAGGTGACACTTATCTAAACAACTAGTTCAGTACAATTATACCACTGGCACTTTCATCCTCAAGGAGTCAGTCAGTCTTGGTGCTACAACAGCACTACAACACTCAGTCTAAGGTTACATTGAACAGTATAGTACTGCATCACTCACTTGTATGGACCAAACTGATTGAGAGTAAGATTAAAGCTTTTAGCAGCTGAGGTGATGTCCACTGCATCTCTGATGTCTCTCTGTCTGATGTGTGCAGTGTATGAATCTTCCTCTGCTTCCAACTGACCACTAGTTTCTGTAAATGGCAGCAAACACACAATGAAAGTACTGTGTGTATTTATTTATATCCCGCACACCGACCCTCGTGACTACAGTGTGTGTTTTGGTGCCCACAACTTGATCTGCTTTGTGGGGGCCCCAGGGTTCTAGACCCAGTTGCTCCCTCCCCCCTTTAATCCAGCCCTGTTTTAAAGGTTCAATAATAAATGAAAACAACCAATCAGCTGATGAAAGACTAAACTGACCAGCTACATCTACGCGGCAGATCAAGTACGATTCACAACACCGAGTTAAATTTCTCCACGAGTCACCTTGAGTTTGAACAACTGCAGGCCAGGAAGCAGTTGTTAAGACTAGCCGAGTTATAATTGGTTAAAAAGTGTTTTGAAATTATGTTTTCTGGTGTTGGTGTGGAAAAAAGTTGTGCTCTTTGGAATTATTTGGTGTACATATAGACCAATTTAACACCATTTTGATTTTGCAGAGCAATTGTCTGCATCACTCCCATGTTAAATCAGAGGTTTATGTTTAACGTGTTATGTACTGGTGGAATGGGGAGTGAACTACAGTACAGTACAGTAGTAAAAAAGTTAATTATATTGGAATTTCTGATGTTATGATACAATAATCAGTCCATTAAAACAAGGTACTGTATTCGTATATGCCTGTGCATAAATAGTGGAGGCATAATAATGCTGCAGTGTGTAGAAGGTGTGGATGAGCTCACCTGTCAGTAGGACCTCTGCTCTAGCTGCTTCTTCTTCAGCTTGTCTTATCTTTTCTTCTTTTATTTTTAATTTATGCTTCATGTAGGAGTTCTTACCAACGCTGTTGACCTGTAAACAAAAATAATAATAATAGTAACTCTAAATATTATATCAGTGTGATAAAAAAAACTCATATTTTCTTGTTCACTTTGGGACAGTTTTATTAAAGAGTCAATGTAAGTGTGGGGCGACTGTTGATATATCATGTTGAAGACACTCTTAAAATGGTTGTTTACATTATATAGGATTATCTAATGACAAAGTGCTCACATCTGTATCCCAGGTTTCAGTTTACACAACATTGGAAGAAGCTGAGACACAGGTACAGTATCTCAGGGCTTCCTCTACCAAACTTGGTTAATTTATGAAGAGATTCAAGCTAAGAGCAGCCTACAGTACTGTATTAAGTGGTTAAGTGAGCGAAAAATAGAATGCAAGTTGTGTTTTAGTTACCATAGCTAAATTAATCATTATATGAAGCAGTGGTAAGATGCTAACTCAAGATAGTTCACCTGGGGGCACTGGTGAGTTTAGTACCCCAGAGTTTGATGTGACGTCAGTGGAAAAAATAAAATGTTAAATGGATAAGTTTTGGATTTCTTCTTCAGATAAAACCACAGCAAAAATCAAATTCATTGAAAGTAAAACATTTCAATACGTATATACGTACAGTCAGGAGGAAAAGTATCGACCACCTGCTGTAGGTAACAACATGAAACATGGAGGAAAACTGTAAATATATACCTGTGGTTACTGGCGTCACTTGGTTATTATCTCTCTATGCCACCGACCTTGGGGCTGTTGTTCTTATTTTACTGACTGTACTGTACAATGCTGTCGACCTAAGGTTGATGCATCACTACAAAATTAAAATTATATGTTTTGCCTGGCCTCACAACCTGTGGGGCAGTTTTTCAGTAAGTTTCAAATACAATGATGTCTTGTAAGTATAAAATTATTACTGTACTGTACTGCATATATTTCACTCACCTGAATTATGTTTTTTATTGCTTAATAATTATTGTGTGTGGAAACAATTGTAATTAAAAATTTGTAGCCTTACTAAGAGGGCAGTAAGGCAAAAAGAGTTCTCTTCCAGAAAAACCTACAGGTACTATAGGTTTTTCTGGAAGAGAACTCTTTTTGCCTTACTGCCCTCTTAGCTACACACTTGTTCCCCCATAATTCTCAGTAAACTCCCTCACAAAGAGTTCTGCTTCCTTATTCTCTCTCTGTCACTCACCTTTGATAACTTAACTGTGCAGCAGTAATTGGAACTATTGTATTATATTTACCAAGATGAAGTACAGTACAGTAGGTTTAAGTACAAAACTTATTTATCTTTATCTATCCACAAAACCTCAGTTATAAGATCTTCACAGTTCAGTCAGTAACTGAGGACTGTGGCATAATTGTCTCCAGCAATTAAATGGATTAAAGTGAATGCTTACAGAGCAGACTGCACTACATTTATTGCATGATGCAATGCACTGTCTTTCAGGATAATATTCACCTGCTGCCACACACCATTAGGTAGTGGCTGTCTACCCTGGGGCTGCTTAGTAGTGGGCTATCACATACAAGTCACTCACCAGTTTCCAAATGACAGTTCAAGGAAAGGTAACTTTTTCTCATAATGATAAGCTAGAAACATGATACATTTCATTTCAAGAAACTGTGTATGGATATCATACATGTCTATAACTGTAATTTATAAAGTTCTGCGCTATATATAACATATTACAGTACTCCATCTTACCCGAACACCTTGTCCTTTACTGTACTTCTGTAATAGTTTTGGGTCCACAATTTTCCTCCCCGGGTACTTCTGAGGTGTTGTTTTCTCCTTGTTCACTGTTACACGGACTTCGTCCTTCACTTCTGATTTCAACGCATTTCTTTGCCATGGCTTCTTCCCTCTTCTCCTTTTCCCTTTTCGTTCACTGACAATTGGTGCCATCTGAAGAAAGAAGTGATTAATAGTACATAAACTAGTTAAAATAAACAAATGAAGAGTTGAACAACTATTGAAGAAACATTAAAGCCAAACTACAGGTATTAACTTTAATCTGAACATAAAATCACACAACGAGCATCACCCTTGTCACACACCCTTGTCAACCACCAGCGAGACAAGACGTGCCCTGAAGGCGCTCCCAGTTTGAGCAGCCAGGCCGAGTCTATTTGGCCCTGCCCTGCCCCCCCCCACCCCCCTTGCTATATCCCAACGCCCTACCAGCCTTACTACACCGGGATTTATTCAGCAAAACATTCAAGTGATCAGTGAACGATTGACTATCAACAGTGTTCTAATAGTGCACCCCAAGGAAAAGCACAAACACACAGCAGTGTAATACTGAGTGTGGCTGGATCTGACCTAACCTGATCTCACGGCTTCACCTGACCGAACCTGAAGGATGGAGCACAACCTGCATTGCCCCAAGCTACTGTCCTGGCCGCGTGGACGCACACCTGCCCAACCGCATCCAGCCCATACGAGCATGAATTGATTGCTACAAGAACAGCCCAGTCCCAACCATTGTAAAAATTATCAACACCTAATTATTATATATCATATTTGTATCACTTATGTTACCTGCATATTATTTGTAAATCAAGAGACCCATTCCCCAATTATGTAATTGTATATTTTCAGCCTTCCGGCTGCCATGCTCTTTCAATAAACCGTTAATTATTAGAGTAGTGAAGTGCCTGAAGCATTCCTACCCCATGGTACAGTACTAAGTGGTCTCTCCCTAGTGTGCCCCCACAGACCATGCAAGTACAGTACAGTAATTACTTCAGGGGAAACATATTCAAACTACCTCTGCTGACCACCATTACTCTGAATCATGTTAAAACATCTCTTAAGACAGCAGTGTGCCATGAAGTATGCTCTCACCCATACATACAATGGTTAAGTACCTTACAACACTGATACTGTATTTCTTACAGGGAAGAGAATAATAGTGACACGCATGCAGTTCAAAGCTGATTCACTATTAGTATTTGGCTTTTTCATTTTCTGTTTCTATATAGTAAGTAGAAAGAATGGAGACACCAGCAATTTTTTTTTTTACGTTTGACGAGTCCAGTAGAGTGTATAGGAGGAAGGACAGACTCATCAACACAGGTCTATTGTTCAGCTGAAGGATAGCCAACAGAGGCACCTGCAGCCAGTAGAAGATGGTTCAAGTGCTGTAGTCTGCTGTCAACACCATCATCAATACTGTACTTTCATAAATATATTAACAACGAGTTATCTCCCTTATGATAAAGTATAGTACAGCAGCAGATGCTACTGAAGTTCATTTAATTTTCATGGACTTAGTTATCCACAGATAGGAGACTGTAAACAAAACATCCAGTGGACAACATGGGTCATACTCTAACAACCAGTGCCATACTAAGTTCCTACTAATGCTATTTTACCATGATTGCACTCTGATTGGCTAATTATCCATTACTGGCGAACAATGTGAGAGAACTATATTTGACCGTGACTCTGGCGGGATTTGGCATTTATTTCGCCGCGAGTCGATCGCTGTGTAGCTGTAAACATACCTAACCATATTTCTGTTATGCATGAAAACTTATTATAAAAGAGGCGACACTAGAACCTAACAGAACCTAACTCAACCAACCGAAGAAACCGGTAATTCACTACACTCAATGGATGGAACTATTTTTCATATGATAATTTTAATTGTATTACATAGGTTAGGTTAGGTTAGGTAACATTTTATTTTATCAGATTCTTTGGTTGCTGTAATCTGCAATTTTACCCAAAATCCTACCTAAACGTACCGAACTTCCTAGCCGGGGAGCGGACCCCCCGTTATATTAAACAGAAAGTAATTAGCCAATCACAGCGCACTCACGATAATAATAGTAGGAACTTAGGAACTTAGCCAGTCACGGCAAAATATCCACTACATATTCTTTATGAATATATACTCAAACAACTTCTACTGTTCTCAGACATTACTGCCGTCTGCTTCACCTTTACCTGGGACTCAATTCCAAACTATATAACTTACTGTACATCACAAACAAGACCTAACTTGGCCTCAAAACGGGGATTCTGGCTCCTGGCATATTATTGGTCGTTTATCAGATAAGAGCCATTGAAGGAAAGTATCTTAGAATTATCTACACTACTGATGACAAAGATAAAGTCCCAGAGATTCTAACTCAACTATAAATTAACCAAATTATAAAAATATTTCCCCAAAACACCCTGTACAGTAACCTCAGGCCAGTAAACAGAGGAATACAATTAACTTATTATCCCAAATTATCTGATAAAATGAACACATGTGGAATATCGTAATGAATTATAAAGTTTAGTGTAAGTTCTTCCTGTTTCTTACCTGTGTAGTTAAGAGTAGAGGTAAGTGTAGTACAGCACCTCCCTGGACACACGTGGTCTTGTTGACAGCCACAACTGACCTAAACAACACTAATGATTTACTTGTTTTAATTTATAGTAAAGTCTTAGAGGACATAAATCAATAATATTTTTTTTCTATTGATAATTTGGACAAAAACATAATTTTCATCTAATTTTATAATCTATCAATTGGTAAACTAACTTAATTCACCATCTGAAGCCTACACATATGACTGATGGTTTGACCGTAGTAGCCTGGTTCCCTGTTGTTAATATTAGAGGTCAAGAGGTGTGGGCCGAGGCCTTTCATGATTCATCCTGCAGTAGTTTGGTAGTTAGCGGCAGACGGCCATTGTTAGTGTAAAGAACTGGGGGCAGGTGGCAGCACATGGTTGTCAACACAGCAGTAGGAGGTGAAGCTGTAGCAGGTCAACACAGCAGTAGGAGGTGAAGCTGTAGCAGGTCAACACAGCAGTAAGAAGTGAAGCTGTAGCAGGTCAACACAGCAGTAGGAGGGGAAGCTGTAGCAGGTCAACACAGCAGTAAGAGGTGAAGCTGTAGCAGGTCAACACAGCAGTAGGAGGGGAAGCTGTAGCAGGTCAACCCCACACAGCAGTACAGCAGTAAGAGGTGAAGCTGTAGCAGGTCAACACAGCAGTAGGAGGGGAAGCTGTAGCAGGTCAACACAGCAGTAAGAGGGAAGCTGTAGCAGGTCAACACAGCAGTAGGAGGGGAAGCTGTAGCAGGTCAACACAGCAGTAAGAGGGAAGCTGTAGCAGGTCAACACAGCAGTAGGAGGGGAAGCTGTAGCAGGTCCAACACAGCAGTAGGAGGAAGCTGTAGCAGGTCAACACAGCAGTAGGAGGGGAAGCTGTAGGTCAGGAGCAGTAGGAGGTGTGAAGCTGTAGCAGGTCAACACACGGCAGTAGGAGGGGAAGCTGTAGCAGGTCAACACGGCAGTAAGAGTGAAGCTGTAGCAGGTCAACACGGCAGTAGGAGGGGAAGCTGTAGCAGGTCAACACGGCAGTAGGAGGTGAAGCTGTAGCAGGTCAACACGGCAGTAGGAGGTGAGGCTACAACACAGCAACACAGCAGTAAGAGTAATAAGATACACAGCTGCAGGGAACTGTGTGCATGGTAAGAGAGGGGAGTTGGGTGAGGCCTGCCTAAAGTGTTTTCAAGTTCAGTAGAGTAACCACCCAAGTGCCAGTGCCTGTTTGAAGTCAACATAGTCAATATGTGTCACCAGCAGGACACTGTTGTTAAGGTCACTGCAGGATCAATAAGGTAAGCGAGTATCAGGGGTGTCCGTGATGCTGTGTGTGTACCACCTTTTATAATTTTTGCTCTTTTTGTACTTGCATTATTACTGTACTGTAGTATATAATTATAGTTTTATTCTTGGTGTTTGTGTGCATACTATTTTAAGTGTTAATGTTACAGTGTACAATTAAAGCTACTTTTAGGGGGAATCTAGTGACCTGAACAGAGCCCTGACAGCCAGTTACAGAAGGTTTGCTGTATAATTTAGGCCTGGCATTCTAAATTCCGGATAAAAAAAGCTTTAACAGTAACCCCCAGGTCCCAAGCATGCCAGATAAATGGTTCCATACCTGTACAGTATATATACACGGTATTGAAAATTGTGTTTTAATGGCAAGACCCCAAGTTGCTTGGCCAGGAGCCCCCATAATTTTTAATCCAGCCCTGAATATCATTATCATCATCATCATCATTGGTTTTGATGTTTTAGTTTCAGATGCTAAGAATGACATTGATTCAGGTTACATTTAAGTACAGTACTGTACTGTACCATAAAAGGGTACATCAGTGTACAGTACAGTATAATGCTCTGTTAGTACCTGTACTGTATTATAAATCTTATTGATCTACAGGCAGTTGTCATCATGAAACTCCACTTCCTGGGCACAGGTTCAAGCTATCCTACGACAAGACGAGGTGTGTCGGCTACAGCGCTACAGCATGATGGTTAGTGACAGTTAAAATTATTTAATAGTTTTTGTAGAAATACCAATACCCTGTACAAGTACAACTGTTAATACAAAATAAATGTGTAGCAATTTCAATCTGTATACTGTCACAACAGAGATGCCTAAATATAAACATTAGAAATGTTCATCAAGCCTTGTTAATATAATCAGTGTGCCCCTATACAGTATATTGTATGGTTGATAAGGTGAGTCATGCTAACACAGTATATTTGTAGAAGTCTTATAGATGACCTATACGTATAGTCTGTCTATTACAACCCTTTTCAAAAATGTTGGGCACCCTCACTCTGAGTACAGTACAGTATTGAATTTGTTTGTCCTCTTGAGATACTGTATCAAAACCTGCCACTTGATAACATCCAAAGGAGAACCACCAAACTGGTGCTGGCACTCACACACACTGACAAAGGGATATTAGAACATCTCCAATTGCCTAGTTCATACTACCCCTGTATAGAAGGACAAGGGGCAATTTAACAGTGTGAACATTATTTCAGACACACCTCAAAGGACAGTATTGTACTCACTCAAATTTACAGACTATCTGGAGCTCAGTAGCTAATGGCTGCCACTCTAAAGGTCACAGCCACAAGTTAAAGAAGCCACAAGTACAGAAAACTGTCAGAGCTACAGTACTGTAACTTTGGTGTACAGTACAATACTGTACAGTAAACTATCTGTCAACCAAAAAGTTTAGGACCAAGCAGATTCTGTGAAATGGATAATTGCATACAGTGAACACTATCATGAACTTGTGTCTAACTAAAGCATGTACTGTACAGTAATTAACAAGAATACTTATGTTACTTTGGACCGATGTTTTTTGATAAAGCAAAGGAATTTAATGAGGAACTGAAAATTGCACAGAACTGTGACTTTACCACGAGCTGACTTCAAAGTGGCATGACATCAGCCAGCTGACTAGTGGCATGACATCAGCCAGCTGACTAGTGGCATGACATCAGCCAGCTGACTAGTGGCATGACATCAGCCAGCTGACTAGTGGCATGACATCAGCCAGTTGACCAGTGGCCTTCTCAGCTGACCACTACACTCATCTTCTCTTGTGTGGGTGTCAGCATCTCCACACCACCAAACTTCTATTCTAGACACAGTAACACACTTCCTCTTACAACTCTACAACTTTATGGTACATAATTAAAAAATAAACTTTAAGAACATAAAATATATTTTCATATAATTGCTTGAGAATAAATGGTGATAAATTGTTCAATGAGGGAACTGGCTGAGTGACTGTGTGTGATGAGTCTAATTGTCTTGACGTGAGTTTAAGTACTGAGTTATATGGTGATTGTTGAAGTAGGACGACACATTGAAAGTTTATTTATAGACTTAATAAATTGTCAGTGTTAGAGAATAATTATATACTGTTTTGTATTATTCATTTTTATTATTTTTGGAAAAGTTGATTTTTTCTCACGATTTAACCCCGCGGGGGGGAATACTGCCAGCAGCACCCTAACCCGGGGCTTAAGGGTTAGCTAATAATATAATCAAACTGATACAAATACAGCTACTCCTCGACTTACGACATTCTCGACCTACGACCACCTGGACATACGACCGCCTCAGTCATACCAAAAATTTTTCAAATTACGCATTTTTGAGTCCCAACGTCAGTGATTGTGCTGTGGACTGACAAAATTTTTGTTTGTAATTCACTTTAAAATGGCTGGCAAGCTTAAAAGTGAGTTTTGTGGTGCTGAGAAGAAAAAGAAACACCCATTTTAGATTTTGTATGTATTATTTAAGCATTTTCGACTTACGACCTGGATTTGGGTCCCTAACCCCGTCGTAAGTCGAGGAGTGGCTGTACTATAGCTTATTACATGCTTCCTTGGTCACATAATTATCCATTTTACAGAAGCCTCTTAGTCCCCCATTTTATTTTGTTGACAGATACTTTTTATTTAGTATTGTAGAGATATCATCAATGTTTTATGACCATTTACCTGGAAATTGTGTTGAATGAAATATCTTTAATTTTGGCAGGTGATTAAATTCCATGACTACTGTACTGTATCTTCGTATCATCTGAACTAATTTGATACTTACAGATGGTTGTGTGTGGCTGTTCGACTGTGGTGAAGGAACCCAGATTCAGGCACAGAAAGTGGCTGTATCAAGACAAAAAATTAACAAAATATTTATAACTCACCTCCATGGGGATCACATATTTGGTCTGCCAGGTCTGCTCTGTACCATCTCCTCACAGATGGGTCTAGTAGAGGAACAAGTCAAAAAGAAAGGACCTCCTATCATAGAAATTTTTGGTCCTTTTGGAATCAGCAGATTTATCACCACCGCTCTTACCTTGTCCCAATCTCCTCTGCTCTACCAGTTTCGGGTAAATGGAGATGATAATTATTTTATATTTTTATTAAGATCATGTGGATATTAGCCCCACCTCAGCTTATTTCACCTGATGATTAAACACCCTAATATTACCTTGGGGGCTAGGTTAGGTTGGGTTAGTGTTAAGGGTATTCAATCTTCATGAGAACTTAGTTTTATTGCAACAGAAAATGGGGAAGATGTAGTGCTGGGTATAGAATGGTGTATGTTATGTTGTCCAGAGGGATCAGCTTAACTTTGCCCTTAATCTATTCTGAATAACCCTCATTTTTATCTTATCCGGTTTCTGTTGAAGGTATCAAACTATTCCTAGACTGTACAGTGCTGCATGTACTGTACAGTGCTGCATGTACTGTACTGTGCTGCATGTACTGTACAGTGCTGCATGTACTGTACTGTGCTGCATGTACTGTACAGTGCTGCATGTACTGTACTGTGCTGCATGTACTGTACTGTGCTGCATGTACTGTACTGTGCTGCATGTACTGTACAGTGCTGCATGTACTGTACAGTGCTGCATGTACTGTACTGTGCTGCATGTACTGTACAGTGCTGCATGTACTGTACTGTGCTGCATGTTCTGTACAGTGCTGCATGTACTGGACTGTGCTGCATGTACTGTACAGTATTTCACTTATTGTCTTTTATTACCAACCTGTATTCTCACCATCACCTCAACATGCCCAGTACAGTACTGCCAGTAGTGTGTGACAGACCAACTACCTGACCAGCCAGTGAACTGACCAGAGACAAAGGATAAATCACTAAGAAGAATCTTATGCTTGTTTAATTATATTTCATAGTCTATTCACCAAGACTGTAAATGAGAAGACCTTTATGAATTCTTCAATTACTTGTATACATACTACAGTATTTGGTCTAAAGTGTTTCAGATATAATCAGAAAGATTCACAAAGGATTACCCTAATGTTGGAAAAAAAAAAATTTCATCAAAACACTTCAAGTGACCGGCTCACCAGATACTGCACTTTTTTTAGTATAAATTCACTAATAATTTTTTGTCATTTAACATGGTGTTAGGTTAAGTCAATAATGCAATAAAAAGGTAAAATGAAATGAAATTCACTTAAGAAAAATACAATATACCTACAGCCACTCCTCGACTTACGACGGGGTTAGGGACCCAAATCCAGGTCATAAGTCGAAAATGCGAAAATAATACATAGAAAATCTAAAATGGGTGTTTCTTTTTCTTCTCAGCACCACAATACTCTAACTTTTAAGCTTGCCAGCCATTTTAAAGGGAATTACAAACGAAAATTTTGTCAGTACACAGCGCAATCACTAACGTTGGGACTTGAAAATACGTAATTTGACAAAATTTTGGTACGACCGGGGCGGTGGTATGTATTTGAATGTAATATTTTCTGATCATATATAATACCTTGCCATGTTTTCTTTAGTGTTGTATGTGATAAAGTTGATGTAGGGTTCTTGTGGTGGTTGGTGTCATCCTCTCCTCTGGATGTACCAATATATTTTAGTCTTTCTCTTAGTCAGAAGCATACAGGGTGGCGTCAGTCTCGTCATGTTGCTTCTTACACCCATAATGATGAACTAACAGTAAAGGCCTCGGCAGAAACAGAGCAGCAGTTAAAGGGACACTCCCAGCCCACTACACCCACATCATAAATACTCATCAATTGAGTCATAAATTGTTCTTTCACCTTTCAGTTGCACCATGATTTATGTTGAGCCCTTTTTACATATTTTGGAAGATATAATTTTTTATTCTATGCTTTGATACACAAACAAAAACCCCAAATCTATATTTTATTTATTTTATGGAGTGTTAGAAGGTGAAGTGCTAACACAGATATATGGAGACCTCCTGTACTGAACCTGGCCAATTTACTGTATTGTACAGGTATAGTCTAGACCAGAGGTACTCAATTACTCTATGTAAAGGTCCAGTCACATAAATTTTCTAGATGGCCAAGGTCTGCAGGAGATTTCATTTAATATGAGGCAATAACAAACAAATGAAGAGTACAGTACACATAATGAATGAAAAGAAATAAACTAAATCTCTATAGCACACACACAAAATATTGGTTCAAAAGTAATTATTCATCCATCTTTATTGAATAGGAAAAGGGGTATGATTAGTTTTGACCCTGAGTGTACAGTACATGTAATTGTGACTGGGTGTATAATTGTGTGATTAATCATCATTAGTGTGAAAAGTGACACTTCGTGCTTCTTGCCAATTGCCTGAACTTTGGTACAATGATGTGATAACTAGTCAAAGACAATGATGAAGGTGTTCACTGGTGATGCTTGAGCAGTATTTGTTCTTCCCTAAATTTATGGCAGAGAAAGCAGACTCACACTGGTAAGTAGAGCCAAACATTGTGAGGATATGCAATGAGACTTTGTGAAGATGAGGAACCAGCTTGAGACACCTTCTCCAGAATGTGATGGACTCACAGTTATCAACCTCTTCTTTCAAGGCCACATTTTCTTGAAGATCAATTAGTTCCATTTGGATTGGTGCTGCACATACCCATTTGAATGTCTGTATTGCTTCTTTTGAAAACTCGGAGACATTTGTGACCAAGAAGGGGTTCAGAGTAAACAGCAGTCTTCTGAAGAGAGATATCAAAACAAGCCTTGAAATCATCAATAAGTTTCTTGATGAACTGAACATGTAAATGGTTATGATATTTCCTTCCTTTGATATGCTTCAAAGGTTTGGGGAAGTGGACAAGTTCTCCTCGGAGATCGTGCTTGAAAAGTTCCGGTTTCTTCTGGAAAGCTTGAACAGTTGATATCAGATCACACACTATGTTGTTTCCTCCTTGCAGCTTGACATTGAGAGCATTGAGATGAGATGTAATACCTGCTAAAAATACTACAAGTTCCATTTTCTTTTCATCTTGCAAAAACTCTGATAACTGGTTTGCCATGGCACTCATGTGGTCTTTGGTGAGATGCTGGGGGCTGCACCAAAGCTAACCGTGGTCTGCCAGTTGAGTACCCCTGGTCTAGACACTTGATGTGTGTACCATTGTATATCAAGCTCTTGTGTTGTATATTTAAGAAAAAAATACACAAATACAAATGTAAATTTACACAACACTGCATCAGTTTAATACACTAGTGCGATGAGAGAACCAGAGGGGCAGCAGTTACAGTTAACCCTCGATAACTCAGCATGGATATGGTCTCGAAATGTATTAGTATAACTCATGAAATGCCGAGATATGTAAAATTATCCGGAGAAATCACAGCATATCTGGCCACCTGCATCACCTACCATGCCTCTGTGTCACATACCATGCCTGTGTCACCTACCATGCCTCTGTGTCACCTACCATGCCTCTGTGTCACCTACCATGCCTGTGTCACCTACCATGCCTCTGTGTCACATACCATGCCTGTGTCACCTACCATGATGCTTCATTCTTCGCCTCCAGTGCTGTTACTTTACATTTAGTAATTACAGGTACACAGATATGGGTAAAAAAAAAAATTGTAGGAGGAGGGGGAATTGTCTTGATGAGTCTGAATTTGGGATAACTCGGCAAGGCCAGAGCCCCATGTGTGCCGAGTTATCAAGGGTTTACTGTCCCATTATTGATACATTATGTTATTTATGGTCATTTTATTAATGTAGTGCAGAACAAATTATACACACTTTTTTATGCCACAACCAAGTATACATAATAAACACACTTTATACATATTATTCACCACCAGGTATACATAATATACACACTTTATACATATTATCCACCACCAGGTACATGAGCTGGTGCCAGAGGAGGTTCAACATACACAGGGCGGTGAGGACTTCCGAGTTGACATTTGCTCAGAAACAACGTGTCACCCCAGTCAGCTGCCAGGAACCCACATACGAGCAACAAGTGACACCATCGGCAACTTTCACTGGCAGCTGTACGTGGGATATGGTTTGTGTGTTACATCTATTGCCTCTGTTTGTTCAATCCAGAATGCAACAAAAATATCAATTTTCTCTATTACTTCACCCATTGATATATCAGTGGGTGGTGGTTGGCACAAGTAACACTGGCTATATCTTTATTTACTTTATGGTAAGACGCACTACCCGACTGAGCCAGAGGCACGAGCCACTGTGAGTCCTATTAGCCAACCCTTCACTTGTTGCATCTCACCTCCAACAACAGATACCAGTGGGGGTCATACATTTTTTAATTTTTTGTATAAGTTATGTAAAGTAAATACAGTATAGTATTTGTTTTTTTATGTTTATTGGTAACAGTGAAATTGTTTATAAAATGGCTGTAAATGTTAGCTATCGTGTTTTTATAATGGCAGAAATGGTTTATCTCCTGCCTGAGAAACACTGCCCCAGAAATTCATATACTAACTGATGGAGGATTGTGACGGTGAAGGCAGTACAGGAAGACCCTGATTTATGAGGATTTAATTTACTGTACTATATTTGCAATTATGAGGGGGTTTTTTGTCACAAGCTTTGATTAGCAAGTGAAAACCCTTAATTTATGAGAAAAATATAATTATAATAATGAAAATATGCTAAAATAGTGTTTTTTTTTTACCAGTAAACCAATACTGTATACTTATTTATTTCTTTATTCTCTAACACACACAATTTATTAAGTACAGGTATCAGTAAATCTGTCATCATACTCCTACAATCACCATATAACTTACTCCTTAAGCTCCCTCAAGACAAGTAGACTCACCAGACACACACAATCACTCAGGCAGTACAATTTCTCCTCATTTATTCTCATGTAAAATGTTGGAAATTAGATATAACTTTTATACAGTAGTGGGAGTCTATGGGAAAATTGCTTTAATATATAAAAACTAGGCTTATGAAAAGTTTATCAAGAAAAGAACCCTTTTGTAAATCAGGGAATGTCCTTAAAAGCAAATATAAAATAAAAGCCCATAGCTGATGAACTGAGCCTTTGGGTTACAGTATAGACGACGAAAGATGGTGTGTGTCGGCCGGTTGGATACATCACCGCGTGCCCACCTTTGGCTATGTCATCAAGGAGAAGGATAGACCAGGCACCCTTGACACAAACAAGCTATTGTCTCTTGGCATAAAACCAGGTGAGTTGTAGAGTTGTTGTCACTCATTCTTAGGAGGATTTTATTGATGTACAGTAGTTAATAATTGTGATCATTTTGGGTATATTAAATATGGTAAATTTTTATTATTATTATAATTCTTTTGTGTGTGTGTGATTGTGAGGGATATTGCTGTTTGGTCTTGTGAACTCAGAGGCCAATTCACATACAATGAACCCTCAAAGATCCTGACTAGAAGAGGGCGCACCACCTGTCTGAAAAAGCCAATTGTCCGTATCTTCTGGCGAATGTACTAAATGTAGACGAACGATAAATAATTATAAACAACAAAAATACAGCATCATATTTTACCGCATATAAGACTCACCCCCTATTTTGGCAGGGAGTATTTAGGAAAAAAGTTTATATGTGTATTTTCTTCCTGTAGTCATAGTTTTCATAAAATAATATGTACAGGACCAGTAAATGTGAGGAATAAAAAAAAAAATAATACCAATAAATAAGGTACAACAAAAATTACTGTATTGCTAAACCAGTAAATAAAAGCCAAATGAAAGTTCAACACAGTCGCCATTTGCATATACTCCCTGGCTCACCATAGCAATGGAGACTAGCCGATGCCAATTCCCAAGCAATGCTCCCCACCCCTAGACCCTCCTCCCCTCCCTCACTGAACCAGCTAACTCGTGTGCAAAGAAATGTATATTCCCTTTATGTGTTTACCTTTAGGACAATTGTTAATATTTTTTTCACAATAACCTGTATGTATGTAGGATGGTGTGAGCATGTAACTGAGTAAAAATAAATGAAGAAAGTTACATATATCTACCCGAAAATACGAGTTGAAAAACAACCATAACACCTCACAGTTTGGCCCAGTAGCCTGGTGGTTACAGTGATGAGTCTAACCTAGCTACAATGTCATAATTAATCACTTTTAAGCACTAATATCAGTAAACATTAAGAATAACGGTAAAACCAGTGAAATATGGCAGGAAGTGAGGACAGTTACAACAGCAGGCGGCGCGCTAACTAGCGGTCACTCACCCCCTTACTCGCAACCATTGCCAGGTGTATGATCGAAATACGTATGGGAGAAATATATATCTTGTAGTCTAATTTGAAAATGGTGATGGGCACAGTGATAAACAAATTATATAAACCATGCAGTTACCTATGATAACATAAGAAACATTGTATCATTACTAGAGTGAATGAAATAATATTCCCGCAAACAACAATTGATAACTGTTTATGTTTCCCGCCTCGGGCACCTGTGTCCTGCATTCTTAGTCACACGGGCCTAAGATGATCTTTGCTCTGTTTTGGGACTGCTTCTTAGCCCCTGGAACCCCTAAATTTTGTCCGAATCTTCCGAAATCTGGATTTTCCGGGTCCGAATCTTCGAGGGTTCACTGTAGTTTACTAGAATACATTGCAGCTTTCTCTCATAAAGACTGTCTTTGTGTTAGTAGATTCTGAGTAGAGAAAAGTTCAATTAAACTGTCCATGAATGGAATATGTTAGACATGTAAAGCTAAGAAAATATAGGTAACCATTATTCAAACTGAACACAAAACTTTCAGTTCAGTATGTGTCCTCAATAGTTCTTATTATAACAAGTTTTGATGTAGAGGATGATAGAAAAATCCCTGTGCATCTTCAATAATTAACACTATACTGTGCTGTTCCTTGATCTGCTTTTAACAATGTAGGTATAACAAGGAAAAACTAGACACTATTATTTGTTACTACAGGTACACAGGGATTTTTAGACCTCACTGGAGTTCTAATAGTAACCTTAAGTGTTGACTGATCAGCTGTAAGTGCTTTATATACTATAAGTAAATGTAACCTATGAGTCCATTGTTGATCTTACACACTAAACCTGGTACTGTACTGCATCTATTACTCCCTGTCTGCTGTGTTAAGTCTCTAGTTGAAGTACAGTATTGTCTTTGAGAGGGATATTATGTTGGTGATTAACAAGACGTTACTGCCTCAAGTGTTGACCAAATTACCTAAAGGTGTGCCGGCTTCTCTCATATGAACAAGAGAACAAAAGCTGTTTTCTAAAAAAAACACCAGATAATGTTGACTAACTTTTTAAAAATTTTAATAACTTATTTCATCACACTTGTGTCTTTCTATGTGCCAGGTCTTGTAAGAAAAGGCTGAAATAATATGATGGAATGTACAGTACAGTACACTTAAGATTGGGTAAATCTATTTGTCTGAGTTTAATTCATGAGTTGGTTGTGTCAAACCAAAGTGGACTTAGTGATTATGTCACCCTGCTGGGCTACAGTCACAGCAGCTTCTGACCTGGGGATTGAGCCCACAGTGTAGTGAGGCAAGCCAGTCCTGCTGCTGGTGTTATATGTGAGTATATACTGTATAGGTATTTAATTAATCCTTTACCCCAGTTCACAGTACAGTACCGTACAGTAAGAACACCATAAGTCGGACCATATGGGGCTCGAGGCTGGCCAACTTATCTATAATTCTGACTCTTGCATAACCTTCCCCCTGGATCCTTTCAACAATCATTTTACTGAAAATATACTTATAAAAACAAAATTCAATTTAACTGTAGTATACAATACATATATACTGTACTGCACTTTTGTTGTAGCAGAGAAATCTTGAGGTGGAAGATGATGGGGGGGGTGTGCTTACAGTACGTACTGTATGCAGGTATTCACGCTTAATTCTTACCGATGTAAAAATTACTCTGATTCAGCCCTTACTCCTCACAGAATACGTTCATGGAGACACCTTGCTTTAGAGGTCATATTATTTCGATGAGGAAGCACTAAATACGAACAAAAACAGTGCGTAGTGGAGCAATGGTCACGACAACACTCGGTAACTGATGCCTCACATGAGACCCCCCCCAGCCTTGTCTGACTTAGAGAGCTCTTATAAGTGACCATTTAACACTCGTGGCTCTACTTCTCCCAGGAAGAAGAGATATAGCACACTGACTACAATACTGTATTATAGTTATGTACAGTATAGTCTGCATTTACGCGGTCAATTGAACCCGTGGAGGTCCGCGTAAAACAAGAAACTCGTAAACGAAATGACAGAACATATGGAATTAATTGAAATAGAGACTGGGCCGACTCCCAAACTCCACTTTTTCCGACACAATACGTACCTTGTAGTAAAAATAACATCATAATTTTATGATGGTATTGCTACACACACATAATATCTAAATAAAAAACTACAAATCTAAAGGTGTTTAACACTTACGTTAGTAGAAGAGATGGGTCGGCACACGTGGATGGCGGCTGGTTCCAAGGCAGAGGGCAGATTAGTTGCCCTCTGGTGAATCACTTTCACTACTCGCAGAGGTGTGCAGGGCCTCCCTGACAAACCCCTCAAAGTCTATATCCTCACCGTCACTGACTTGGGCTGGCTGTGGTTGTGGTGGGTTGCGGGCGAAGAAGTCCTTAATACTACGTTGACGACTAGCATTGATGTTGTCGTAATAGATCTGGACATACGGCTCCATAACTTTCGACAGATGGTTATTAGACACTTCATACCGATGCTTGACTGGGTCTTTGTCAAGGTTGAGCTTAATTTTCTCCCCCAACTCGATGATTTCCTTCACATAATCATGACTTGGTCCAGGTAATTCAAGGTTTTTCTAGGGTGGTGGGGGTCCAGCGTAAGCCATTGTGAGGGGAATAGCGGGCACAAGAGAGAACTGTATAAATGGACTGAGAACACTGAGACTGGCCCGGCTAGGTCAGCGACTTCTGGTGGCAGGACACGTCATGTTACATTAGACCAATCACAGCTAGCGGCGGAGGGAATGCGTGGGTGGTAAGGATGCGTGGCCCAATCACAGTCCGATACGTCATATGACGTCAGCGATAACATAAGAGCGATCTAATGCGCACCCCTTCCCACATATGGTCAAGAATGGACGTCGTGAGTAAAATATGGCGCGGCACGTCTGGACCTCTCCAGCCGCTCGCCGCGTAAATGATGAAATTTACCGCGTAATTAAAACATTTCATTCTGGCAAGGCACCGCGTAAATGACCAAACGCGTAAACAAAAACCGCGTAAATCCAGACTATACTATATTTATGTACTATGTTGTTGTCTCCTCTAAAGTGTATGACTTGAAAAGCAGAAAGGGAAACTAATTTGATTTTTGGCATAGATTTTTCTTCATATATTATGATTCAGTAAAATAATGAAGCTTAACAAAACATAAAAATATTTATACTGTATTAAAACATGCGTAAATACGTAAGACAAAACTTTAAATTACATACACTCAATTGGATCATTCTTGATACATAGATATGCTTGTAGCCTGTTTGTTATAGCTGTATTATAGTTCAACATTTTTATAACAATGAATCTCCTTCAGATGTGAGGCAAAAGGAACTTGGGTGTTTTGGATGAAATTTAAGATTACAGGACTGTACTGTAGGGTAATTCCTCCTGTGTTGTAAATAAAGTTTTTGAGAATATTTCACCTTCAAAGTTAATAATTTATACACAGCTGTTGTATTGTTCAGTGATTGAATTGTAATTTGTTTTATAATTTGGTGATTTATACAGATATACAATATGAATGTTCTTTATTGTTTATGACCTGCAGATCTTTGGACACATGTCTACAGAACTATTTGTTACAAACAGTATACAGTACCTGTAATATTTTATGCTTCTCAACTTCTCTATAGTATTTTGTCTATTTGTACATTTTTTATTTTCTTATAATATTACTATTTTCTGGAAGTAGGATTAAGCATATAACTATTTTAATATAATTTTGTATCATCCATTTTCCTTGCCTGTACAGGACCAGTATATGGCCAACTGAAGGGAGGCAAGTCAGTGACAACAGAGAATGGAGAGAGAGTCACTCCTGAAATGGTTGTTGGTCCTGCCATCCCAGGTAGGACGGTGGTGATCCTGGGAGACACCAGCGACGCCTCTCCTCTAGCACATCTTGTCGAGTGAGTAAAATGTTATGATGGATGGAGGTCCTCCCATTGTAGGTAGGTATGGAGTTGCTTTTTTCTCACCACTTTTCATTTTACTGGCCATTTCAGCAGTTGGTCTGTTCTTTGTCATTAACTATATTGTCCAGAATTAGTACTGTACAGGAGGAAACGGCAGTACATGGAGAACATCTGCCGTGTTTGGAGGTGAGGGTCATCCATGCTACAAAAGGTCTTGAAGAAGATCAACAGTGGTGAAGCTGGATCAGCCGCTGCTCTGTCGAAGAAAATCACTCTTGGATGCCATGATGATGATGGTGAGTGTCCAAGTCTTGAATGAAATGAAAGAGAGTGGAATTCGGAACTTTTGGCACAAAGATGGATAGAAAGACGACAAGAACGTGGCAGCGGTTGATTAAGAATTTCCCACAGTCTCAGCAGTAGACAATGAGATGTTGCCACCTGACAGCATATATCATGATGACACCTGGTGAGCATGGCTCCTACAGTTGAAGCACTCACAGAGGAGAAGGAGGACACCATCATGGAAATCCAGGCAGAATTTGCACCTGAAGAAGGTGAAAAAGAAGAAAGAGGAGGTTGTGATCCCAACTAACAAAGATATGACAGCTGCAGTGTGTGTGAGGGTAGGTTAGGTTGTGATCCCATCTACTGTAATTAGGAGACAACAGCTGCAGTGTGTGTGAGCTACACAGTTAAATGATATTTCAGGGAAATAAGGACGTGGCTTTCGCCCCAAGGTAGTCAGAAGCTCACAAGGTTGCTGCTGTTTTGACACCACAAGCAACACTCAAACCATTTTTTCAAGCAATGAGCTGATTTGGTCATATATTCTGTTCTCAATATGCTGTCTTAACTTCCAATTTTCTAGTCTTTAATTTATCATGATCATCATTTGTCAGCTTGCTAGTCTGGAAGTTTTATTACTTCCTGGAATCTTCTATTCATTCCTGTTACAACATCTAGAATAGCAGTACAGGCTTGAGGTTATTCATCGTTCACTGCTGCCTCCGAGGGGATGTTACAAGTACCATACAGTGATGCCAGACAATGGGTTCACTGCCACAAGTACCATACCATACAGGATTTCACTGCAACCCCTGAAAGAATGCTCCCCAGGGCCACCAAACAGTGCAGTCAAGATATCCACATAAGTTTCTAAATCAATGAATAATCAGTCAAAATTCATGTCAGAGATGAAAGATGTGAACCAAAGCTGGTTAGAAAACATTTGTAATGCTGACCTTGCTTGTAAACACCAAACTCAGTCTGATTAACTCAAAATGATGTCTAGGCAGATCCAAATGAGGCACCAGTCTACAATGAGTCCATGTAGGAAGTGCCATGCAGTAGGTAGTCTCTGGTTCATATTATTAGCCAGCAGAATGAATGTGGGTGTTGGTTCTCTGTAGCCCATGGGAACAACCTGTACATGTATTAAGTCATGTTCCAGTACAGTCGTCCCATTATGAATTATTTACTGTAATGAACAACTGAGTATATGAGTCATTAACCTTGGCTGAGAAGATAAACAACGAGGTTCCCAAGACTTTATTGCACCAGCTACCAAACACGTGCCTCAGTTGTACAGTGCAGTACGATGGCTGACCACAACTGAAGTGTAAATGAGTTTGTGTGAATGGACATACAGTACGTATTGTATTGTACATTATTTCTAATGACCTGCAGTAGTTTGGTGAAAGTTATATTTTCATTGCAGAAGTTGTGATGTTGTCGTCCATGAAGCAACACATGATGACACCCTTAAGGATAAGGCCTTGGAGTTTGGACACTCAACACCATCTCAAGCTGTACACTTTGCTAAAACAATTTCTGCCAAAACTCTCTTGTTGAATCACTTTTCACAGAGATATTTACCAACTTGTAAAGAGGCAACCAAGGTAATTATGTACACTACTGTATTAATAACTTGGAAATGACGTACTATTTGGTGAATCAATATAGGAAAAACACAATTACAGTTTACTGTCTCCATGAGCTCATACATTCAGTGATCACTTGCCACACACCATACTCTTAATTTGTTCTTATTTTATATTATATTTTCTTTATTTCTATGAGTATTGTATAACTGTCATTATTTATGGCAACATCTCCACGGCTATTATTGCCTTTTATCCTTCGTTTAGTGATAATTTTGCTTAATGTCAGGTTTAGGAATATATCCCCATCATTAATAGAAGGTTACATGTATTATCTTCTGCTGCTTTGTTATGGAAGTCTTCCTCACTTTCTTTTATAAAAGTTTTGTCTGCATTAAATATTTGTTCCAGAGCAAATCCTTTATCCTTAATGCATTATAGAAGTTATGGTTTGAACTGTGCAGCTGCTTCATGCTCAGCTGACCCAGCTTCACATTATGAAGGTTAAATCTTTTAGTAAACTTAGCAAACTAACCTTTGTTTGCCTGAAAATCCCCCGCATATGGCAATACCTCTGATCATTGCAGCCTTTTTTATTCACCTGCTTGCTAATCCACACATTCAATAATTTCTCCATTTTGTTTTCAAGAATGGATTTCATCTGGTACAGTACTTAGGATACCTAAGCATTTACAGGGGCAGAAGCCTCAACACTTGAACAGATCTTTTCTTCACTTTTCCTGATCGTGTGAACAGTCGACTCATTCATGCCAAACTGCTGCTTCACTCGGGCTACTTTGTATTTTATTGAGAATTAAAATTTTCTCTTCTAATGTCATCACTTAACAGCTTTTCTTTACTCCACTACCAATTGAACATAACTTTTCCATCTTGTGTTCTCTGGCTCTTGGTACCCTTTTTGAAGCCACTCGCCATTGATCGTGAGGTTTTGTGCACGAAGTACAGAAACTTTTACAATTTTGGTCAGATCTTGATCACTCTCAGGCCTCTTGATAATATTCAGTGTCTGTTCCAAACTCCACATCTTGCAAGCTTTTTACTGCCAGGTTGCCACAAGGGCCAGAGCAGGCAGAACACTTTCCACTCACATTCACTGAGGCAGATTTGTTTGTCATTTGCTATTTTTAATTCACTTCCTAACACGAGAGAGATGTGTTTGCATTTGAGGCAAAATTCAAGTGAACTCCCACATACAGGGTGTGGAAGGATACACGCACCATCGAGCAAAATTGTCGCTGCACATCCTCTATTGTTGGATGTTGCTGCCTTGCAAAGCTTAAAATAGTATGTCAGAAATTTGAATACAGTATAGCGTGTCATCGTGGATTCGTAAAAGTTGAACATCATTTATTGTATAGGTCAGAGGGTCATAAAATTAACTTTCATTTTATGGGACTCCATTATGTGGGGACACACTGTATTCATTTTATGATAAGGTTTTGAGGATGAAGCCTTTCATATATCAAGGTGTACACTCGCTCCAAAACGGGTCTTTACGATTTGGTGTCAGACAATACAGTACAGTATGACATAGTGGCCAAAGGACTTCGACAATCCTACCGAGACAACAGGAGTTGCAGTGTTCATTCTGAAATTTATCGACCCCCAATAAAGATAGTGTTTTGAGTGACTGTACCTGTACTCTGGGGTAGACAGTTTTCTATGCAGGGAGGCCCCCCCCCCCAAAATTCGCGGATTTTTATTTCACGTCCTCTATTATTCGTGGATGACACTCTACAGTAGATGTACCCAAGAATGTCTGTGGATAGTTTTAAAGTTACCGGCACTTTCGCGGCTGGGACAGGGAGCCATTCGTTCTAGAGACAGTAATTTCCTTTACCTGTATTGTAAATATGTGTGTGTGTGTGTGTGTGTGTGTGTCTACACACACACATATATACAATGCAATACATATATACAATCAGAAACAAATTTATAAAAAATGTGAGTCTACCCTCAAGTCAACTCCGTGCTTTGTTATTAAACTTTATTACCAAAGCACGGAGTTGACTTGAGGGTAGACTCTCACATTTTTAATACATTTTATTGTCTTGTTTCTGATTATTTGTGAGAGGATTTTCCCATTATTATTTGTTTGGTGTGTGTGTGCTCTACACACACACACACACCTGTATATACTGTGGGAGAATTCTAGAACATAATCGACATAGTTGGTCAGGGATCATTGTGAATAACTATAAATTGTTACTGTAGATCCTTGTAACAGTACAGTTATATTACAGTGTTTGTGTTTATATGTATGGTTTAGTGTTTTGTATCTGTCCTCCATTTTGATATACAGTACAGTACACATCTACTGTAGTGGGTATATTATAATTCCATAAGGTAATCTCCTTTACCTCTCTTCTCCTTACAGAATGAAGAGAGCATAGCTTTACTAGAGGAACAGGCCCTTACTGCTGCAGAGGGTACAACACTCCACGTACAGTGTACCGATGACTTGTTTGTGTACGACATGCCATCACATCCACGACATAATGTCCAAACCTAAAGTTTTCTCGTCAGATTTAAACCTGTTAACAATACAGTAATAAAGCCATGTGCCTTCATTGTGAAGTTACTTTTCACCTTATGTTTTGGTCCTGAAGCTGCTGGACACAAAGAATTGTTCATATCTTAAGTGAAATCTTTGTGGTTCATAATTTCTGGACAATACAGTAACCAGAAGATTCCAGCAAGACACAGATGGCAGATATAGTCAAGTGGCCTCATGAGGCTGCTCACACAAAGCCACAACTTTAAAGTTGGTAAAATTTCACAAGAAAAGATTACAGCATTACAATATTGATGAACTAGCTGCTGCAGAAAGATTCTTCAACTGCCACCCTATTATTGTCAGTTCAGCCATACTGAACTTGTATGGGACCAAATCAAGGAGGAGGCATAAAAGAAGTTCAGCTCAAATAAAAACCAGAAGTTGAAGAACTTACACAAGAGCCATTGATAATGTGACTCCTGAAAACTGGCAAAAGTGTATAGAACACACAAGGAGTCTTGAAGAAGACTATAGAAAAAAAGATATTGCTTTTGAGCTCATGTTTGAGTCTTTTGTCATTGATCTGTCATTGTCAGATTCCAGTAGTAATGAAAATTATTAATCTGAAGGCTAGAACCAACCATCTGTAATCCAACAAGCTCTTGTCAGTCAGAGTTTCTTCCCAAAAGAACATGAAAAAACAACAACTCTCTTTCAAGTTACAGTAATTCATAAGGGAAAAAACCCACCGAAACTGGGAGATGAACGTCCATTATTACCAGCCTATTGCTGATCACACCAAAGAATCCCTAGGAGCCTTAATAAATGCAATCTGTGGAGTACTGTACAAACCAACAAGTTTATATCTGGACCCCCCACACCTGGAAGTCAAATGAAAAGATTTGCTCACTTAGTGAAATTCCTGAATGAAGAGTAGTAAGTGACATAGTCATCTATTAGTTTTTCTTGTCAGGCTGCTACAGGTGTTTTATGAATATGATTACAGTGATATCTCCATTAGCTGGAACAATTGGTGCAGAGCTCTTCCAGGAAAACAATCCCCCCAGAATTTCTGGAGATTGTGCATTACATATTCTCTGAACTTTACGGAAACTGTGCCCATCGGAAAATCGTTCCCAAAGCCGGAATTTTCTGGCTTTGGGAACGATTTTCCGAAAAAATTCAATTCTGATTATTGGAGAGTTCTGGGTATGAAGGATTCCAGCTAACAGAGATATTACTGTATTACTGTACAGTATATTTGTTTGTGATTAATAGACATCTGTTACAACCTTCTTGAAACAAAACTGGTGTAAAAATTCTAAAGACTTATAACAAACAAACAAAGTAAGAATTCACTAAGTCCATCGAGCTGCCAAGTGATACCTTTTGCTTAAACCCATTATGACATTTTACCTACTCTGCATTTACTGTAGACTACATATATACAGTGCAGTACTTCTATTACTGTTGGCTTAGTCCACAAATAGTTAAGCAGCAGAGAGACTTGCTAGGCTAAACATTAACCTCTCAGGAGCTGCATCGCTCATCGTAGGCACCAATCACAAGCCAAAACTAGAATGAGGGGCGGTGCTTATTTTGGATATCAATAAAAAATGAACTACGTATAGTTCTTGGCAACCTTTATATGCTTCACTAACTTGAGATGTTGAGGGACCAGGGTGCCATTCTCTGTAGCCTCTCACCCTGTTTGCTGTGAGATGTTTTACTTTTGCCAGTACAGCACTGCTCCTTATATGCTCCACGTTGGCCTCGACTTGTCTCGGCATTCTTCTTCCCAAACTCTTCATCTTCCTTCTTCTTTGCGTCGTAGTATCGCCGTTGTCTTCCAGCTGGTGTCATTGGAGCTCTGATAGAACTGAGAATATAAGCTCAGCAGGTAATCAATTTGGTCTGGAAAGAAGAAAACTAGCAGTTAATAAGTTGAATTCCAAACACTATATTTGTAATGTATTGTATTCTTAATTCAGTGTAACTTCTGAGATTTCTTGTTTAAAACTGTGCATGATAAATGTTACAACTTATTGGTAACGTTCCTCACTCTGTACATGTAAGGTGAGTGATGGGCATTGTGGCATACCAGTCTCTCATAAAAAATATCATAGGGCTATATTACTAAGGTACTATGATGCTTAGTTATCTTACAAAGTTATGTTCAATTTCTCCAATTCATAATCTGTAAATAAGTCCATAACACTGATCCTAAGGTTCTGCATTTTTTATATTCCAGCCAATAACATTCAGTTATTCACCCAAGATGGTACAGTGTACAGTATTGTTGACAATTATAGGTAATCATTGCTCTACAGCCCTCAGCAATTGATGTGAACTAACCATCGAGGGGAAACCAAACTAATGTCAAGGGCGTGAAATTTGAGCTTGCAGTCAAATCGTTTAGTATGTAACACAGGATTTAAATGCACAATTCGGTAAAGTATTTGTCTATACGTAATGTAAATGTAAATACTGTATCTATAGCACTTGAAGGTACTAAAATGAGCAGCGAGGTACATATTTATTCATTAATATCATCATACAAGTTTACAGTCGGCTTACTATGTATAAACCCTCGATAACTCGGCACACATGGGGCTCTGGCCTTGCCGAGTTATCCCAAATTCCGACTTATAGAGGCACTTCCCCCTCCTATAAAAATATAGCAATAAAAAATTATCGACCCATATATGTGTACAATCAAAGACAAAAGTCGTGTCGCGGTTTTGTCCGAAGATTAAATACAACTCGTGAAACATTATGAGAGCCCCCTACCACAAGGCAGAGCGCACCAATAGTTTAGCCCTTCGATACATGTTGTCACCAAATTTCACAACACGACTTTTGTCTTTCATTGTACTGTACATATACAGGTAATTACTAAATATAAAAAAGTAACACTTACCAGCACTGCAGGTGAAGAATGAAGCATCATAGTAGGTGACACAGAGGCATGGTAGGTGATGCAGGTGGCCAGATGTGTCGAGATTTTCCCAGATTATTTTTTATATCGTCATTTTCTGAGTTATACTAAATACATTCCAAGACCATAACCATGCAGAGTTAGATGAAATTCCGAGTTATCGGGGGTTGACTGTATGTATAGATACTGCAGACGTACAGGTTGGGGTATCCAACTATCTTACTAAGTCTGTCTATGATGGGAACGTATTTACTGTAAACTCAACAAAAACACGGACAAAATTTTGGTAAATGAAAGTTGGAATTTGTACACCTGGTTTAAGTGGTTTTGCATATTCTTGAGGTAAGAAACAAGTTTTCTCTAATACAAGTTTTGTAAAGTTGGTTACTGGGAGTCAGCATCACAGTATTACCCGTTAAAGATTCATTTTATGCCATAACGGGAAAATTGATAACTAAAATATGTTTTTTCCTATTTATTTTTCCTGTTATAAATGAATATGACCTTTATTTATGTGGGAGAGATGGCTGCTTATGGTATTTTGGGTGATTTTTGAGTGTGTTTTAACCCCACATTTTCCATCATCTTCATAGCCCTGCTCACATAGGAAAAAACATTGTCATCGATATTATAAGAGGTCATATCTCCATAAATATATATGCTGTATCTACTACAGAAATAAAGATCATACAATATTCATTTACAGGGCCAGATCCAGACCTCAAATTTGACTGCTACAATCTTTCAGTTTTAGTAGTGGCAGCCAGCCCAAACTTCACAGTCTATGGAATTTTACCCCTCATTCCACAATGCTGTATTTCTAATAAATAATTAACTAATATTTACTTGGATAAATGTTTGTTTAGCCAGATATTTCAGCCTATATTTTGTCATAAATTAAAATGGAGTAAGACCGTATATACCTACAGTTTTACACAATACTGTACTGTATAGCTTAGTCTAAAGGCAGCAGCACTCTGGGCATTTTTCCTCCAAACATGTTTGGCAAACACTGTCCGGCCAGCAAAACAAAGAGACGCTTGCACCACACTGGGATGTTTTGTTGGTGCCTCTGCTCAACGCAACGAAAACAAGAACAAAGCGTCTAGACGAGGTTGCCGTTACTACAGTTGAAGCCTTGCAGGATTGTACAATAGTTCTTCAATTGCTGAAGCAAGTGAGGCATCTGCAAAACCTAAAGAGACAAGTGGGTGCATCGTGAAGATTGTTTAAAAGTGGCGGCGGCCGGCTGGTCAAAGAAGACCCTGAATAATGATTTAATAACACTAAAAAAGTTTTAAAGTGACCAATAAATAGAAACATGTCACCGTTTATGTGTTATATTTTAAATTGTTATTGTTTCCTGATTTGTTTAAATTTTTACTTGAATATTCAACGCCGAAATCCTGCTGCTTGCTGGGCCGTCAGGCCAGCAAAACAGGCAACATATTGAGAGGAAAGTGCCCAGTGAGCCGCCGCCTTAAAACTATTCTCAGATAGGCGATTTCTTCCCACTTGGGAAGGTACTACCACCTGGGAAGATATTGGAAGCATAATGTGTTGCCTAATATGCCCGGGCGGGCTAATCCCCGAAAAAAAAGTAAATATAAAGTTCAACTTTAAGGGACGGATGTTTGTAAGTCAGATATACATAACCCAAAGACCTCCTATTAACAATCATTATTACTGCTTCAGTAACTGATCACAGTACTATGCGTGTACTTGGGGGGGGGGGGTAGAAGCGTATGGTGACATGAGTCAAGACCAAGGGTGAGATTCCTACCTCACAAAAGCCGAGAAGAGACTGAGAGGCTCTCATATGTGAGTGAAAGATAAACACCTACTGGCAAAATAATCTAGCCAGACCCACTCTTTTAATTCAAACAAGCTCACGGAAAATCAGAATATCACGTGACACGACCCGAAGCTCTACAGACGCACGTCACAGGACGTGACCTGAAGCCTAGGGGTCAAGTTATATACAAGAAATATATGGTATTCTTAGGCAATCTACGATCATAAATTTTAAATAACTAGCCAATTAAAGTCTATCTGTCAACTCTTCCCCATACAGCATTACCAGATCACTTGCCTTATATCATACTGGTGGGTTGGGACAAACTTTTGCTATTGACTGTATATGTATAAAATAAGTAAATAAAAAATATTATGTGCCGGTAATCTACCAAAATTACAAGTTAATAAATAAGCACATGACTACAGTATAGCACACAGGTGGGAAAGAATGGAAATTTCCCTTGCTCGGTCTACTTGGTGCTCAATTTAAATAATACAATGGAATCAAGTACAGGTGTTCATAACTCAAGGTCCACCTGTACACTCATTAACTCATCCCAGAACTTTTCCGTCTCTTCCACACTTAGCCCAACCTGCGGAGTGAACGTAGAAATAACAATCATCACATTCTTCCTTACTACCAACTTTAGAATTCTTGCACTTATCCTTTTCACCTCTAGCACCTTCTCCACCTGTTCCAGATTCATTGCCCTTCTAACAGATTTTGTATCTGTCACTCTTACCAGTGATCAGTCTTGATGAACCAGCTTTACCCATCTGGTTTCTTGTACACAGCAGACATCAATCTTTCTATGGCTAAATGTCTCCACAATCTCACCCGGTCTTCCTCTCGTCGTACCAACATTCAGACTTCCGGTTCTAATCGGGTTTATGTCATATTTTTGCCAACTCGTCCTCGTTGTCTTAATTTTGATTTGAACTCTATTCATCGATCATTTTCTTATTATACAAAAGACTCGTTTATATTTCCTCAGTACATCTGCAGCAAATCCTTCTCGACAATAATGTTCAAATTTCACTATAAAGAAATCCAAGTCATTTAAAAGATTGTGCCTTTCAATGGTAAAAGAACAAATATCTCCACTCATTTTGTTATGCAAGGGAAGCAAATATGGCCTTGGATACAGAAGATTAGCACGGTGTAAAACAAAACAAATTATTTTTATTTATCATTATATATATATATATACTGTATATACATGTGCTGTACTGTAATTCAAACATAATTAGAACTTAAGATGTTTCCTCTTTCTGTGATTTCTCTTCGGCTGCTTTTCTATTACGCCAGGCAAGCATATAGGACGTCGGGTGGAGAGGTAACAATCCCGAGAGACCTGGAAATAAAAGAGACAAGGCCGGTGTGAGTTATTTTACACGTGGGAAGTGATGATATAAGGGAAGAGTAGAGGGATGTAAAAGCAAAGTTAAATGAGGAGAAAGAGAGTAAAGGATCAAAAGAAGAAGGTTGGAAAGCTATAATCTGTTCAATATGGAAATTTCTAACACCCCCCATCTCCTTCCTCTAGTCTTGGCTTTTAATTGGCCATCCTGTAATCCTGACCAGGCCAGTTGTAAGGAGCCCAGACAGTCACACATTTGTCAGCCAAACGTGGTCGATACTGGCATGATGTGTGAGCCATGATACTCGCCTCGATAAAAACTCCGAGTACCGTACAGAAGAATAACAAATAACGACACGAACCTTGGAAAACAACAATTACTTCAATATTCAAAAAAATTTCTTTCGGGTAAAATGTCAGGTTTTATTTCTTAGAATATTGTTCTTTGCATAAGGTTTGGGGTGTTAACATAATTTTGTGTACCGGTACTGCTCTGCTACTCTTGTTGGGTCAAGTTTTGTACAATTCTAAACAAACATGTGATTGTTAGGGAGAGTCTGGATACAGCCAATTGTCGACAAAGCCTTTATTAATAGAGGAGGAGGAGGAGGTGCACTCACAGTAAGGTGGACTACAGGCAACATGACCCCTATATTTATTTAGCCCCTGCAGCACCCTTACAACCAAGTACTGTACAGTATAGAAGAAAAACAAAGGAGAAAAAGAGTAAAGGTGTTCAAGGGATAATTTAATTTGTTCATTCTTTCTGGCCCAGTACCTTGGGTTTGCAGGTAACCACAACTAACTACACAAATGTGGAAAATAGCCAAATAACATTGATGATGATTAAAAAAATATATATATATAAAACTATTACAGTACAGTAATTACAAATTACATTATTTTACACTTCTTACCCAGGAGAACAGCACAACTGTTAGAGATGAGAGCACCTTGACCAATCCAATGAGACGTTCGCTCCAAGTTGATCGAGCACAATTTCTCCCCGAAAGCATTAGCAAGAGGGTCATAAGTCCCTAACTGTTCAATCACATGACCCTGTCTGGGCTTTCTTTTCTGTAAAGACAATCTGCATTACTATACAAGTCCGACTTTCTGTAAAAAAAATTATTTCTCATACTAAATGATCCAAGTTTTCTGAAAAGAATCAATTAATATAATAAAGGGAAGCTTATGATGAAGCTTCTGCATTACACCCATATCTGTGTTTCAAGTCACACAGTTTGTATACAAATATCTGTATATTTAAATGTAGCTTTTATACACACTACAGTACTGTACAGACAACACAATATTCTAGGTATCCTCATGCCAGCTACCTCTCTCAGCGGTGTTTTCTACCATCTCTTACTCTTACTACTGTAGTAGGCAGCTACCAAACAGGGAGGTACTGCCGCCTGGGAAGATATTGGAAGCATGTGTTGTCTAGTGGTAGACCCTGCTGCTATATGTGACCAAGTCCAGGTTGATGATCTGACTTTCTGCCTCATTTACACACAATTGCCGGGTCTCAATTGTTTCTCTTACTTGGACAACACAACATACATAATGTATATCGTTTCTCACTCTTGATTTATTTTTTTGTTTGTGTATTTATTTACGGTTATTATTATTATTTTTGGGTTATAATTTGTATCTATTTTTATTAATTATTAATAAATATTATTATTATTGTTATTATTATTATTATATTTCCCCCCGGCCCTGATGTGGGTCAGTGACCTGTACTCGGGTGGGCTAATCCCCGTAAAAAAGAAAATTCTGGTCAGTTCTGTACTGTACCAGACTGTACAAGTCGAAGTTACCGGTACCATGCAAGGTGAGTACTGTACAATGAGACCTTTATTTAACAGACCTCTGTGTAAGAGACTCCATTTAACAGACATAACAACATAAGTATGGAGGAAACTGCAGCGGGCCTATTAGCCCATACTGGACAGTCCCATTTACACCCAACCCCTATTGCTCATATATTCATCCAACTTATGCTTGAAGCTATCCAGCATTTTTGAGTTAATGATGATGTTTGGTAACTTGTTTCACTCGTCCACTACTGTACTCTATTTCCAAACCAATGTTTACCTATCTCGCACCTAAATCTAAATTTGTCTAATTTAAAACATTGCTATGAGTTCGTTCCTGGTTGGATAGTTTGAGTACTTTTGTTATATCACCTTTGTTTAACCCCGACTTCCATTTATACACCTCTATCATATCGCCCCTCACTCTACGTCTCTCAAGGGAGTGCAGATTAAGATGCTTTAACCTGTCTCTGTTCTGAAGGTTCCTAATGCCCGGGATTAGTCTTGTCATCCTCTTCTGTATGCTTTCTAGGGATTTGATATCCATTCCGTAGTACAGTGACCAGAACTGAACTGCATAATCCAAGTGAGGTCTCACAAGTGCAAGATACAGTATAGTTTTAGGATGACCTTGCTAGTCTTGTAACTTAATATTCCTTTGTATGAACCCAAGTACTTTGTAAGCCTTCCTTCCAGTAAATACACATCATTTACTTTGTTTAAGATCTTATTTATCATTACCCCTAAATATTTCCCACAGTCAGATTTCTCTATATTAACTAGACCTCAGTTCTAAATGCCCAGTACCATAGGGTAAGTCACCTACTAGCTAATGCATCCTGTCCCAAGACTAAGGCTTAATAGTTAAGGACCAACACTACCTTCTATCAAGGAGGAGTATGTAAATACTGTCCTAGAAGGCATAGTTTCTGAAACAAGAAACCTGAGAATCTGAAACGTACCAGAATCATCATCATTAACATTGTACAGCCTTTTCCCATGCCTGTGTGGGTCAGCCAGAAGAGTTCCCATCATAAGAGTCAGGGTAAACACACAGCACCTCCTGTCAAATATGTCCTGAAAAACTTAGCAAGTGGCAGAGGTGTGGTGTAGCTGGCAGGGGTGGTGGTGTAGCTGGCAGAGGTGTGGTGTAGCTGGCAGGGGTGGTGGTGTAGCTGGCAGGGGTGGTGGTGTAGCTGGCAGGGGTGGTGGTGTAGCTGGCAGGGGTGGTGGTAGTGGTACACAAGCAGGAAAAAGCGAAGTGATGAGGAATAGTTTGGCTTTATTCTACACGTGTTAGGTGGTGTTCATCATCATGGAGGTGTAGTTCTGAACAACACCACTGACAGTGACGACCCACAGAAAAAGTGTTATTAATATAAATTTAAGACCAGTAATTTCTATTTCTTACCTCCATAACAACAATGTGGAAGAATGGCCTATTTGTGCAACCATGTTTGGCAAATCTTATGCACTTTGTTGACCTGAGACCAAACCTGGCCCCTCCTGATGCAGGAAACAACATGATGAGTTATCCCTGAAAAAATTAAAACATATGAAAGTGAAAATGGGTCCCAAAGGCCTGGTTAAGATAAGAGTAGTTAAAGTAAAGCACACTGTAAGTTAAGGAAGGAGTGTAACATTAGTCTGGTGACACTTAAGAACACTTCCAGAATCCTTACATACATACAAAAACTTACATTTGGTTAAGTAGGTGAGATAGATTAAAATGTTAATACTGTATTTCAGTTCATATGAAATGGATCCTGGGAACATTCAGTCATTTGCCAACAGTTCAAGCACAAATATAGGATCATTGCACAGACTGGCATGGAGTGTTTTTACAGTAATCTCCAGTTAGCCAGCAGAATAATTGGTGGAGAGCGGTGCCGGACATGAGAAATTTCCGGGTATTGAAACCAGTTTTCTCGTCCTCGGAAAAATTACACATCCCCGGAATTTTTCTGGGTACAGTACTGTTGAATGTTTCAGCGAGAAATTTCAGGATGACCTGATCACGCGATCTGAGGTTATGAGTTCCACAACAATTTAAATAATGAGTTACTTAATGCACAAAGGCAGAACATACCATACAGAAAACTCTGATCAAACAACAATGACCCTAAATGGATAAATAATTATTTAAAGAATATTATTGGCCAAAGGAAGGCTATAGGTAGGAGAATAAATCGTGGTGAAGTTTACCTCCGAGATTATTATAAGGTATTGGCCGGTAGGGTTAAGACCGAGATAAGAAAAGCAAAGAGGAATAATGAACTGAAGGTAGTAAGGAAGGCAAAGTCAAACCCCAAGGGATTCTATCAAATGTATCAAACTAAAACACGAGAAAAGATTGGACCAATACAGTCAGATACCGGCGTGCTAACTGATAACGACGGAGAAATGAGCAATAATCTGAGCGTATATTTTTCAACAGTTTTCACCACCGAAAATTTAAACATGATACCTGAGGCTCCGACTCTATACAGAGATAGTAAAGAAAATAGATTAAGTGAGATAGCAGTGACTCGTAATGATGTTAGTAAGCAAATAGACAAACTAAAGCCTAATAAGTCACCTGGTCCCGATGAGATATTTGCCAGAGCATTAAAGGAATGTAAGGAAGAGCTTAGTGTGCCCTTAGCAAAGTTGTTTAACATGTCCTTAAAAACAGGTGTAGTACCAGAATCCTGGAGGATAGCAAATGTAATAACGATTTTCAAGAAGAGAGATAGATCACTATCCTCTAACTACCGTCCAATCAGTTTAACATCAATTGTAGGCAAATTACTGGAAGCAATAATTTCAAACCTTATTCGAAATCACCTGGAGAAGCACAAGTTATGAATGTAAATCATGGATCATTGATCAAGTTCTACTAACATAAACTCAAAATTCGTCCTTCATACCGACTCAACCCTCGGTGTTCACTCTTCGTATTTCAGAGAACCAAAAGAGACAAAAAACATATCTCAAACTCATTCCTGAACCTCTAGTCAGCTACTTGTTTGAAGAGTGCAAGGTTGGCCGAGTTAGTAATGTGTGGACCGAGTTGGTTAATTAAGATGGGCCGAGTTGGAGGTACACCATAGGCATACCACGTAGTCACTTGTCAGTAGTAGTGGCCAATCGTAGCTCATGAACACCCTGAGTGTACCCATTTACACGCTCGACACATGTTAGTGTATGATGCAACCTTTCGGAAATTCATTTGAATACTCGGAATGGAGAGAGTTTTTCCTGGAATTTCTCTTAATGCTCAATTTTTCCCCCAAGTAATTGAGAGTTCTGGGATTGAAGATTCCAGCTAATAGAGAGATTTTTTCATTTAAGGGGAAGAAAAAGGTACTGTACTGTATTAGTCTAGATAGCTAACTCATGAGACAGAGCAACTTTCAGCAAAAATTCTATGTGAGGAAACATATTTATTGCCTCTCCAATATTAAAACAACATGGAAGAAAATGCAACTTTCATAGTGGTTTGTCTAGCCTTTGTTAGTCTCACACTACAGTCATCCCACACAACAATACCACGTTTATAGTTGACCTGTTAACACTCTTGCTAACAAACAACCCTAACAATGGTGACAACTGTTTCTTGGGCAAATGCTTTCTCCTTCTTAAATTAGGTTAGGTTAGACTAGGTTAGGTTAGGTTAGGTTAGGTTAGGTTAGACTAGGTTAGGTTAGACTAGGTTAGGTTAGGTTAGGTTAGGTTAGACTAGGTTAGGTTAGACTAGGTTAGGTTAGGTTAGGTTAGGTTAGGTTAGGTTAGGTTAGGTTTTGTTAGGTCAGATGACATACAATATAATTATACATACAAGATAGATTTGTCATATAAATACTGATAATAACCACAAAATATTCAGTCCCATGTCCATACTGTGTCTGAGTGTTGGTCATTAGCCCTGAACCAACCGTGGGGGATAAAAGGTTATATTACTAGTTATACTTACACAATATAGCTGTATGTGTGTAATAAATATAAGATATAATAGAGTCAAGATATAGTCAGTAGAGATCAGTGACTCTTCCCTCGGGGGATACAGACAGCTCATACAAGTTATATTTCTTAATAAAACCTATATTACACATACTATATAGTATTTAAATAATTTAGGACTGATTTTATCTATATATAGTTTCATTAAATATTACCTAAATGATGGATACATTATATATATATTATTATTTTAGAACTTTAATCCCTTGAACAGATGGTGGATATATAAATGTTTTTACTAATGAAACCATATTTTATGATTTAAAGTATTATGATATCCAGTTTATATATAATTATGAATATAAAAACTTTAATTTTAATGGAAAGAATCAGCCTGATACTGAATATTACACCTTTAATTTGTTCAGATATATACATTTAATTACACTCAAACTCCCTGACTGTGACTGCCGCATCTAATATAAAAGTTTTAATTATTCGTATTAAGAAAGACATATACAAACTATAAAGTAATAAATTAAGAATTATAAAGCGAAAAACGAGAATTTTTAAAATAATAAACAGATAAATAAAAGAAAATATAAAGGAAATATAATGACAGGCTGCCACATCCGTCCCTCGTAAAGAGTGAAGTGCTTCCCCATCTGGAGTACTGTCACCCCATCTGGTCCCCGAGATATACTGGGGACTGTCAGTTGGTTGAAAATGTTCAAAGGAGGGCCACCAAACTGGTGCCTGCACTTCGGCACCTCAGCTACCCTGAGAGATTGGAGCGCCTGAACTTGCCTAGCTTATACTACAGACGGGCAAGGGGAGACCTAGTTGAGGTTTATAAGCATCTCAGGGGGCACTACTCAGTTGAGTGTCCTTACCTGGAGCTGGCGGACGCTCGCCCCACAAGGGTCACAGCTCAAGATTGAAGAAGCCGCAAGTCCAGAAAACCGTGAGGGCAAACTTTTTCGGAGTTAGGGTTGTAAACTCTTGGAACAATCTACCAGAGAGTGTTGTGACGGCACCGAGTGTGAGCTCTTTCAAGACAAGACTTGACCAACACTGGAGCAGGTTCAGGTACATTCAGGAGCTGGTGCATGCCCAGTACTTGCCAACAGTGTGTGACCGATCGCCCGGGCGGCTAGCGAGCCAATCAGTGGCGAAGAGGATAAAAGTAAAAGTAAAATATAAAAACAATTTGAACTTATTTTATTTATTCTTATCCACCATTTCACCTATCATTACACTACTAGCTTTAAGAAGTTCAATTTATTTGTCTAGTAACCATTTAATTCAGTTAACTTGGTAATAAAACTACTCGTTATTAACACTGCTATTGACTACTCACCTCTCTCAATGACCACCAGTAGGGAAGATACTGTAGAGTACTGTATGGCCAGTTGTCAATTCTCTTTGTATGGCCACACAAACTGACGTACATGTAGATATCTCACACTCAGGAATGAGGTAGAATAGAAACTCACAATGCGCTTTCTGTATATATATTGTTGTACAGCGCAGTGCTTAGGAGTGACTAGGTGAGGAGAAACTTGCTCAGAGGTCCTGTAGGGTGAGGAGGTTTCTGAGGAAGCTGGGTGGTGAGGAGCTGTGAGAGATATTGCTGGTCCAGTAGCCGAGTGTAGAATGTTCTCCCTGGCTGCTATTGTTGTTGAGATTGTCGGACCGTAGTCCGACACGGGCCTTTGCCTGTAGGCGGCCCATTTGGTGGTTCCGGCTGGAGCTCCTGGAGCAGCCAGACAGGATTGGGATTGGAGGTGGTCCCACCTGCAGATTGGAAGGATACTGCAGGTTGCAAGTGTGAGCGGACCCCCGATCAGTGGACGCCCCCCGAACTGGGGTCCGCACTTGCTGGGAGAGGATACTTTCTAAGCTATCTGGGTGGTGGGTATCGTGTGATGACCCGGAGAAGGTGGTGAATGTGGTCTGTTTGGGCCTTTCGGGTTAGAGTGGCCGCTGGTGTTGTGTGTGTTTCTTGGGAGATTTGAGTTCTGTTTCGGAGACTTTGTGTGACTTCGCAGTCGAGGAGATAGTGTTCAAGTGGGTTGGCTGCTGGCTCCTGACAGTAGGTGCATTCCATGACTTCATTTCCAATCGTCTGCCAGGAGCACTTGTACCCTAGTCGTAGTCGATGAAGGCTGACTTGGGTTTGTCTTGGAGTTTTCTTGTCCGCGAAAGGTGGTTCCCCTTTTGTAGCCGCCAGGTACCATTTGGCTGATTGGGAACCAGCGTTGAATGCGTGAAGGAAGCTCTTTTTGATGTGGAGCTTGTTAGTCTTTCTGAGGTGATTCTTGATCTGTTGCACGCTTGCTGGAACTTGAATGTGTACGCTACTAGAACGTGTGGCTGCCTTGGCTGCTTCGTCTGCCACGTCGTTTCCTCCAATCCCTACATGACTGGGAATCCAGTGTAAGACGACTGGGCGGTTTTGTCTTTGGAATTCCTGTAGATGTGCGAGAATCGAGGTTATGATGTGGACGTTGTCTCTTGGTTGGCTGTGTTGGCATGGCCGATTTCGAGTCCGTGTGAATTATGATGGACTTGTTGTGTTGCAGCGTGTTGTAGGGCCTTTGAGATTGCTACCAACTCTGTTTGTAGGGTGGAGCAGTCATTAGAAAGTCTCCATCGGAGGGCTGACCTTGGGTGTAGGGGAGATCTAATTGAGGTGTACAAGCATCTCAAGGGGCACTACTCTTGAGTGCCCTTACCTGGAGCTGGCAGTTCAGAAAACGGTGAGGGGTAACTTTTTCGGAGAGAGAGTTGTGAACTTATGGAACAGTCTGTCAGTAGTATGTGTAGTGATGGTGCTGAGTGAGCTCCTTCAAGAGCAGACTTGACCAACAGTGGAGCAGGTTCAGATACATTTTGGAGCCAGTGCATGCCCAGTACTTGCCAACAGGGACGTGACAGACCGCCTAAGCGGCTAATGAGCCGATCAGTGGTGAAGAGGATAAAAGTAAAAGTTACATGTTGTTGGCAAGTACTGCACTGGGTTGGGCATGCATTGGCTCCTGAATATATCTGAACCTGCTCCACTGTTGGTCATGTCTGATCTTCAAAGAGCCCACACTTGGTGCCGTCACAACACACACTGCCAAATTGTTCCAAGAGTTCACGACCCACAACAAAAAAGTTTGCCCTCACAGTTTTCTGAACTTGCCGCTTCTTCAACCTTGAGCTGTGACCCCTTGTGGGGCAGACGTCCGCCAGCTCCAGGTATGTACACTTGACTGACTAGTGCTCTTTGAGATGTTTATTATCTTCAATTAGGTCACCCCTTTCCTGTCTGTAGTATAAGCTAGGCAGTTGCAGGCACTCTAATCTCTCTGGATAACCGAGGTGTCGTAGTACAGGCACCAGTCTGGTGGGCCTTCTTTGGACACCTTCAACCAACAGCCTCCAGCACATCTCAGGGACCAAACAGGGATACAGCACTCCAGATTGGGGAAGCATCCCACCCACGAAGACCACCACAAAGGATGGACTGGCCAGACATCCTAACGACCCACTTACAAGAGCCACCAGTTTAGGCTCACCAGCAGTAAGGAGGCATATCACATGTCCCAACAGGATGAAGAGACCACTCTGATAAGAGACCTAATGTGAAAAGGACCTGGATGTGTATGTCGACAAAGAACTGAACTTCTCGGGTCATTGCAAGAAGGTGAATCTAGCAACCAAGCTGGCAGGTCTCACTAGAAGGTTGCTCAGACACCCCCCCCCTTTATATTGTCATACTACTCGCCTAAAAGGTGATTGCCAAGTGCTCATAATTATGTTACGTACTTGGCCCGCATACTGTGTACTTTTATTAAAGCTGGCCCGCCTTGACAAATGAGTTTGACACCCCTGCCCTAGACTGTGTCAATAAGTTCAGTTTCCTGGGGTGACATAAGTGTTGAGGTAGTGCTCAAGTTAACTCAGTTGCAAGGCTCAGAAGTGGCTGGAGGAAGTTTAGGGATTTAATGCCTCTACTAATGGCAAAAGGAAGTTCTCTTCATGTCAAAGAAAAGTACACAACTGGCCTGAGAAGTGCAATGATTTATGGCCAGTTAAAGAGGACAACACACATGGGCTCGAGTGAGCCGAGTATTGTACAGTATACTGCAAATGTACAGTGTAAAAAAAAAAAAGTAGGGGGGGTGTTCTGTCGACTTCTGTAATGATCCATACATCACCTCATGTGCCAGGAGGGTTGGTATGCATATTCCACTATCCCTCATCCATGTTGTCATTGTTTCGCACATAATCCGTGCAGTACTTTTTTTTACCGTGTGTACAGTACATGTAATGTGATACTGAAAGATAGGACACCGTTTAGAGCAGCTTGGTAATGAGAGTATTGGTGAAATTTAGTGGAAGGAAGAAGATGGTTTGTGCATTTGAAGAGACCAACTGAGGGGTGCCAGGATTAAGTTCAAGAATGACAAGGGGGAGAGGTAACAAATGATGGCAGATATAAGAACCTGTTGACAGGCTGCAAGAGACCACACAGTATGAAGTGCTGCAATCAGGTAATTAAGACCAACTTTCATAAGCGAGAAAATGGCTCCAAAATGGTGGTGGCAGTATTTAACTAATTTTACTTGAGTCTTCTCTGTACAATGTGACCCAATTTTACCATGTGTCAATAAATGCACTTTATTGCAGACTTTTTAATTCAATTTACATATATACCGTACTTGTTGATGTGCATTGTATTTCATTCATCCTCAAATACATAGCAAAAGAATTAAGAATGGACTATGGTTAATACCTTTCTCTGTACTTGGAAACTAACTACCATTTAAACACTGTGCTGGTTCATGTATAAAATTTAATTATATATTCATAAAAGCTCTAAAACATAACAGACTCATTTGAGAGTAATAAACTTAACAGTTGGTAAATACATTAGAGATCACTGTAGTAATAAACTTGAATCCACACCCTTGGTTTTAACTTTTAGCTTCCAAAATCCTGGTGGTGACCTGCTGGAAATGATAACGAAGGTTGCACTTGGTAACTTCATGACCTCTACTGCATAGGGTTTCTCAATCGGCACTTTCTGACACAGTTTGAAGCCCTATAGAGAAAAAAGATTGAATAAGTAATTCCACCGAGTTGTAATTTTTTTCTAGTACAGTACAGCCTCAATAATCATCTAATACAAAATCCTTCAGTGTATCCTCACATGAAAAGAAGCCACTTTTTATCCAATACCCAACTACAGTAGTTTTATACTAAACTCTACCACAATAAAAAATTATTACAAGACCAACCAAACACCGTAGGTTTTCTACCTGTACAGTACTGCACTCTTGTTTTCCTCCTGTGCTAACAATGAAAGTCAAAGGAGAGAATAACTACCCAAACTGCTAGTACGCTGGGTGATTAGGTCCTTTGTAAACACAGCTTAGCAATTTATGTACAGTGACTCCTCGGTTAACGAACTCAATCCGTTCCAGAAGGTCGTTCGTTAACCGAAACCATTGTTTCAATGGGTTTTTGGGTAATTGGTTCCAGCTCACAGAAAATTTCCTAAATTCAACAAAAATGGTAGAAAAGTTCACATACTTTGAGGTGTGTATGTAGAAGGCTCCTGGATGATGATGATGATGATGGGAATTAGAATGGGGGTGGAGGAGAAGGAAGAAGAGAAGGCATTGGGGTGGAAGAGAAGTCACCCCCATGGCACCATTTCACCCATAAAATTTTAGTTCTCTTGGTGTATTTCAAGATTATTTTCTTTAAATCAACACTGCACTGCATTATATAGTCAATATGTAAAATATATTTCAATAATGACCAATAATTTCCTTGGAAACACAGAAAAAAGCGTTTAGTTGAAGAGAGTCTCAAGCAAGATGTTACCTCCAGTGAAAACAGAGAGAGACTAACGCCTGTTTGCTGTGATAAGAGGCTGGATGCCGCGCATTAAACTAGTCACTTTACCTTCAATTATGTTCAATAATTGTTAAAATGACTTAAAAAATTTAATATTAAACTTTTAAAATTATTGAATAGTATAAACTTCTTGATATTTACTAAAATAGGAAGGAATTTAAGCCCTAGAACCGATTAATGTATTGGCGGACTGATACTAAAGCTGGTTGCCCGGTCAGTGCAAGCAAAAACATGCTGAGGTCGGTTCGTAAGAAATTCGTTAACAGAATTTTTGTTCGTTAACCGAATTGAAGATCCTTCTGGAAAGCAGTTCGTTAACCGAGGCGTCACTGTAAAGCCTTGTCAGGGTCTGCCTAGCTACCTCATATGTTATACTCCTACAAGCGTCTTATTTCTATCTTGTGAAATCGGTAAAAACCTTGGAGGGGGGGGGGATCTGGGCATTGACTAACACACACAAAGCAAGCCCAAATAATGTATAAACACTAATGTGCTGTATCTCGATTTTATTAAATAAACATCGGGGTCACCAGTTAATCTGCAACATATTGAATTGGTCAAACTTTACCAAACTATAGCTATTTATAGTGTTTATACACAATTTGAATTCCATTTATATAGTGAAGAACAACAAGGCTCTGAAAGAATGGGCCGCTGTATACATGTCACCAGCTTCTACCCACATTTAGCACTTAACGGCAAAAGTTTTCCAAATTACTTATCTACTTTGCATTTCTACACATGTCACACCACAATATTTCATATGATATATTATTTAACAGTGAGGCCAAACAAATACTGTACTTACTTCCAGAGGAAAATATTCATAGACATCCAGCTTTTCTTTCACCTCTGACAGCAGAAGCAGGTACAGGCTGTCACCCACAGTAAAGGTAGCTTGATCAACAACTCCTACAGTATCCAAGGACTCAAACTCAACAAAACTGTCCATCTCATTGTTCCGGAACACCTGAAAAGCAACAGAGGTGTTATCTAATGGCAACAAACACTGGATCGATTTAGTCTAACCAACTACACTTTTTCACATAGTATTTCTTGAGTTATACTGTACAGTGGGTCCTCACTATTCATATGGGTTCTGTTCATAAAAGTCAAAACTTGTAACAATTGTATAAATAAAAAAAATTCCCACATAAATTAATGTACGGTAAACATTGTACAGCAATAAATAAAATGCATTCTAATCATTAAATTTGTCCTATACAGTGATAATTAAAAGTGATCAGTATAGAGTATCATAAAATAAGTTCTTAAGAAGTATAATCAATAATTATGGGAGTTGATCAGCTGATGAAAACCTAGTGTTCCCTGCCCTCAACAGATAGCAGCAGCAGTGGGTATGTTGTCTGCTTGCTAATAACGGTCCGCAGTACTGTATTAACGTAAGAGAACTACTTTGTGTGGCATAGCGGCGAGTAATGCATCACCCAGCCTTGAGGGAGCGTCAGTACCCTCACCTCGGTAACCTGTGTGATCAAGTACAAACTGTTGGGTTTTTTCCTTATCTATTTCTCTGCCTTCATCATAGCTCCCAAATACAAATCTCATGCAAGTGATAGTAGTGCATCCAAGACCAGGACAACAATTACAATGGAAGTAAAACTATGTAATAAAAGGTTCTGAAAAAGGAAAAACACTCGGTCATTGGTAAAGAGTTGGGCTTCGGTTTGTCAACGAACAGAATTTAAAAAAATAAATAAAAATTATTGAAAATGTAAAAGGATCTACACCAATGCACTCAACTGTGATAAAACAAAGTGGAATGATTGAGTGATATGGGTGGAAGATCAGCCATTTAAGGGTTCAATGTAAGTATTAAACTTACATTTTTACCTTCCTTTACTGTACTTTGTTATTAAATTTTTTCTTCTCTTAAATTAAGTGATTCAAGATGTATAAAAGGACTTGGGCTATGATATAGTGCACATAGGATGTGTTTAGACTTGCATACATTTCCGACTGAAGTCGTCAGGAATGGAACTCGTTCATAACCCGGGACCCTCTGTATATCAAATTAGTACTGTACAGTATTAAAATCTATTACAGCTGCTCCTCAACTTACAACAGGGTTAGGGACCCAAATCCAGGTCGGAATTCGAAAATGCTTAAATTATACATAGAAAATCTAAAATGGGCGTCTTTCTTCTCATCACCACAAAACTCTCACTTTTAAGCTTGCCAGCCATTTTAAAGTGAATTACAAAGGAAAAATTTGTCAGTACACAGCACAATCACTATGTCGGGACTCGAAAATACGTAATTAGACAAAATTTTGGTACGACTGAGGCGGTCGTATGTCCGGGTGGTTGTAAGTCGATCGAGGAGTGGCTGTACAGTATTTTACGGTCTTCCACGAATCATCGAAGACAAGGATAAGAAAGAAGCGACTTTTAATGTTGCTCAATATTGTATATAAAACACTACAGTATTTGATATGGTCATTATATAAGATAGTATGTAAACAGTGCAATAAACACCCAGGTTTAACGGACTGTGTCCATTAAACACTCGGAGGACGGTAAAAACTGCTCGGGAACGTTAAGTGTCCAGGATTGTGGTCACCAACCCTCAGATACGAGGATGATACTCTGAACCGAGTATGGCATATGAACACATCTTTGGTGGTAAAAGCTGCTATCCTGCATGTGACAGTACAGTATGCATAAAGCCACTGTACAAATAATGAGGATACCCTGTACAGTATACAGTAGTAGAATCACATTACAATTTACTGTACCTGCATATCAGCTACACCTGCAAAAACACAAAATTGTATTGCCATACTATTTTAGAAAAAATAAATAAATATTCAGTACTGTACAATGTACATGTATAGAAAATTTGCTACAGGGAAATATTTTCACATCCAGGAATAATTGTTGATTTCCCATAGTTCAAATATGGTACATATTTATGCAGTGACAATCCAGACACCAAGGAGACCGATTCACAATGGCATAAAGTAAGTAAATTCAACCAAGGACTTCCTCAGTATACAAGTTTATACTGTACTGGGAGGTGGAGAGAAATTTAAAAAGATTCATTCAACTGCATTTTCCAAAGCTCCAAACAATTCAATAAATGATCAGGCCTGTAAAGAGACCATCTACACTACCACAAAACTTTTATATCTCTACATGTATTCTCCGAGCATAAATATTTCATAGCCAATCAATGAAAAGCCAAGAGCATGTTGCAACTTCAATTTTCTCATTTTCAATAGCAACTCCACATCTCTGTATGCTCAAAGTCTCGAGTCTTCTGCTCACAAGTACTGAAGGAGAGATGCTGTGTACAAGGACATCAAAAGATAGTTTAGTTTATGGCTTCACCTTCCAAAATTTAACAGTTTCCACTTACCAATACTTTCTTCGTATACTCAAGATTTTCTTCAAAGAGTGGATATTTCGCTGCCTTCAGTTGTGTTAATGTGAATAAATTCTCCTCAACCGGTTGATATGTCTTCAAAAACATCCCTGAAGTTACATGATCAGCAACATACTCTCCTTTTGGAATAAACTGGAAGACAGATACACGTTTTATAAATACATTTACACAAAACACTTCTATAAGTTTCATCAATTTTGTTTGTAGCAAAATGTTAAAGATATTAACTTACTCTCTGTTGGGTACTGTTCCAAGTGTACAGTTTTGAGACAGTTGTATACATGTCCACACTGTCTATTCCCAGCTGATTAGCCACCAACAGGAACCATATATTGTTTATCTGCAAAATCAAATATGATTTAAAGCTAAAGTATTAATTCTCAAGAACCAGAAATAGAAAAGAACAATTGGCCATTAAATATTTACAGCTACTATTTGACCAGAAGAATGAGAATTTGTATTTTGCAAATTATTGCAACTCCACTGTATGTACCTCCATTCACCCTACACAAAAGTAGCAGATAAGAAGAAATTACAATCTTATAAAAATGTGGAAAAAATTTCAATACAATAAGCCCTTGCTTTTCACGGGGGAGAGGGGGTGTTTCCAATAAAATGGCACAAAACGAAGAACAGCAACTTCAACTACCTTAGTGCACTACTGTATACCTGTACTGTGTATGAGAAACTAAGTCACCAATACTACTCTCCTTTGTGGAAGTTTGGAACTTTATGCAAGTGTACTGTACAGTAGGATGTAATCTGGTTACTGAAGCAGTGGCAACAGCTGACCAAGTACGTGAGGGAGACGAATCAGCTGGGCGAGCGGCTGTTTCTTTTTTAAAAACATCATGATTGGTAGCTGGCTAAATGTTTCACTCCACTAGCACTGACACTAGGCAGTCTTTTAGGGGCCATTTCACACAGAATCACTAAAGTTTTGAGTACAACACAAGAGATGCCGCTTTACAAGTAATGGTCGAGCGCAAACAAAGGAAGAGGTGGGAAAGGAGACGCTGTGGGCACATGGAGACGATTCCTTAGGCTGCGAGAGAGGCTCATAAGCTAGCCACCATTTGCTTACCAGTCAAAATCACGAATCACAAACCAGCGAATAGCAAGGGTTTACTGTAGTTCAAGAGAAATATATATCCACTGTACTCACAATAGTTAGGTCCAACTTTGCAGCACTCCTCTGGGTCCTCTCCTCCCACACACTCGTCAGGCTGGAGGTACTAGCATCAAACTTTAGTGTACTTATAATTGGCTTTACCACAGAGTCTGTCGCTGGCCATTGAAAGAAACAACATGGGTAAATATCAGTCACCTGTGGTTTTAAACATATGTACTCACAACTTAGGACTATTGGTGTATTCCCCACACACACACAAATCTTTGAACAATACAGATATACAGTACATATCCGATTCAAATTACTGTACTACTAAATGCAAAAGCCGTTTCTGCCATGCATCTAACGGCTGAATCAGAGGCTACATACAGTGTTGGGAGTACAGCAGGGCTACACAGCACAACCATTAATGATGCTGCTTTTTCATTACATTTGGCAGCTGCAAAAAATATAAAGTATACCATATTTCACGGCATACATAAGATTGTACTGACAAGGACCCGAGACGATTAATGTCCGAACGGCAGACACGCAACTTTCTGAAATCTTACAATGCCAGATCTGCAACATATATTTTTAAATCTACAAATACACAATACAAATGAAAATTTACAGAGAACTTTCTTTTCACATCTGCGTCTTAACATGGCTGGCAGCATTGTAATCGGGTTAGGCTCGTCACTAACCACCAGGCTACTGTGCCAAGCTGTGAGGCATTATGGTTGTTTTTCAACTCGTATTTTTGGGTCGATATGTAACTTCTTTTATTTTTGCTCAGTTACATGCACACATCCTAAATACATGTAAAAAAGCAAAAGAAATAATAGTCCTAAGGGCAAACCTGTACTGCACTTAAATGTACTACCGGTAAATTACTAAAATTTTTATGCCTAGTGCAAACAATAGTACAGTATCTTTATATTCAAATTAATCAATAAATTACAAGAATTTCAGCAATGTAGGTTATAGTCTCCCAAGTCAATTCATTGACATTTTATAAGCAAAAACCTTGAACTACCTCTGTATGACTGATACAGTATTAATCTGGACCACGGAGATGCTTTTTGAAGTGATGGTACAACTCAAAATTGGTAGCAACAATGAGAGCAGTGCTTTTTTTACCATTTTGTTCTACACTGATGGCACACCCAGCAATGGCTCCATAAAACTGAACACTTTCTGAAGGCCCTAGCACAGTCATCTCTAAGAACCTGGTTTATTACACTATCTAAACATGCACAATGTTAATGAAATTCCTCTAGTAAAGTATATTGTCACTTTTCTTACTATGAAATCCACAAAGGTTACTGAATATGTATACATATAGAGCAAATTTATACAGTGTAAATACTATACAAACTTAGCCATTTTAGATTTGAATATTTCTCTCGCTATTTGGAAGTGATCATGGGAGGTTAAAATTAGAAACCCTTTTCAATTAAATGTAAGACCGAATTGAATTTCGTTTTACGTACAATATTTATGTATTGAACAAGTACCACAAAATTGCACACACTTTCATTAAGATATGCTAATAAAATGCAAGACTTGGCACGAACTACCCGTTTTATAACCATTGAGGGTATCCCAACATTACCTGACAACACTGGAGGCAGGTTAATACCATGAATAATCCTAGCTGGATACCCATGGTAGTGAGGCATGCAGACACTGGGTCAAATGGCAGTTTGAACTTGGTACATAAGGGTGTATAGGTTGGATTTATATTGGGGGACCAGGAGATGATAACCAAGTACAAGGAGTGCTACATTCTCATTCACTTTAGACACTCGCCTTAACCAGTGTGTTAACTAGGGGTGGGAGACATTGTGCTTATATTGCCCCCAAGGCACGGTCTCAAATAGTATTGACATGTCAGAATTCTGGGTCCCCCCCTAATGGTGTCCAGCTGCCATCTTGTCTGTCTACAGGATAACTACTGTACCTGCAATTAATCCTATCTCTGCCAGGCCTCACTTCTACATTCTTCGTCCCTTACATACAACACCAAATTCACATATGAAGTAACCTCTGTACACGGGATGTATGTATTAAATTTTCTGTTTTTTTTTCCAACTGTACTAATGGAGACCTTTATTAATTGTCCTGTCAAATTTCTACCAATCAGCGATGGTGCGTTTTCCTCTACGGTAAATATGCAGAACTGAAATTGTAAACTTAGAGCACAGAGAAATCAACCAAATTATCAGGGTTCTGGAATGTCAGATTAAGCAACCAGGAAAATTTTATACTGTAGTGGAGAAGGAAACCAGCCTGATATTTAATGGGATAAATTTGAAGGCTGGCAAAGTACCTATACCATACATCGACAACAGTTTGAGGAGTTTGATAAATAATGTGAGATCTAGTTTGCTTGAATCTACAACACCTTCCAATGACAAATGTTATTAGTCGATTGACCAGTCAAAATATTTAGATATTAAGAATATTCCAGACGATTAAATTTTTACCATTGTTGTATAACATGCACTGTCTAAGCACATAGGAAACTGTATACTGTACTGTCATGATCAATGTGCACAGTAAACTTGCATTGTCTTTATTTATGCTGAACTGTATAATTATAAACCTGCATGACAATTGTACTGAATAATTATCATCATGACCATTATCAACACAACAGCACTTAACTTACCATTTGCAAACATTGCTACTGTCACAATGTAGGTGGCACCTCTGTCCACAAACAGGCCTGCATCTGTTATCAATCCCAGTGACATACGTGTCCTCAGTAGTGGATACAAATACCCATTTCTTAATGCTTCAAATGTAAAACTTGTTGACACACCACCAGCACACCTGAAGATGATAAAATCTTTAGTCTAAAAAGCTTCACATTTGGGTAAACAACTAATAAAAAATAGGAAGTACAGCATCACGAACCACAGAATAACTCACGTTAAATTTAAGGTTACTTGAAGGTTTGCAGATGGGTGGCTTAATATAAAAAGTGACCCAGGAGATACCAGACTTGCCACTGAAGCTATGGTGCCAGTGGTGCTGACCTGCAAGTGCCAAGAAAATGTAAGATTTTAAAATCCCATTTTAAGACAATTTGGACAAAGCAAATTGTGCATTACCCAACCTAGCCTATAGGGGCTAAGACCTAGGAAACACTGACAACATGGTGGCTGGAACTAGTGCCAGCTCTAGTTTCTGAGGGTCCTCATTCCTTATACAACCCTCCCAGGGCTTCCCTCCCAGTGCCCCATCCCTCAACCACATTATTCCCATTTCTCTATGATAGAGGAAAATACAGCACCAAGATGGGAATTATGTCAGGTGGTGACCCCACCTCACTGTACATATTTAACCTGAGGTCTGTCAATGGGCCACTTGTCAGCAGTGTACCACAATTAAGGGACCTACTGGACTGTCAGGCACAGGTATTTTACCTCTTACATTAAAATATCAACCAGTCAGTCATTTAAAATTTCTTAAATTATATCCAGTGTATTGACAAGAAAAAATCTGTACTTCAAAGAAATTATACAAAATTTCTAGATGTTTTTGAAGGGACAAGTCACCGACTGATCCGGTAATTCTGCAACTGGCCAATGAATTTAAATAAACAGGTACCGGTGTAATGACCACGGTCATACACGTCGGTTAACATAAAATCAGACGATTCATATTGCGCTCGGTAGCCCACAAAACATGTAGCTATGCCTTCCTTTGGGTCTCCCATCGGAGGCATTTCCTGGCAAGCTCAATCTCCGATTAGATTTTATGAACAGACGTAGGAAATTCCCAGGACCAGTGGCAATTGGGTGTAATCGTTAAATGTACGGCAACTGATTTGAATGTAGTTTCTGTCATTGCGTAACTGGCCTTTCTGGCATGTGTTCCGCACAGGCCTGAGTTGCCAGTCAGCCGTATATAAGCTCGTGCACGGAGGAGAGCGCCACTTCTTTGACGCTTCTCCATCATTATCTCGGGTATGTGTACGATTCTCCGCCCGCCATATTAAGTCAGTTTAACTCGGTGAATTTTGTGAATATCAGTGTTCATGTTGTAACAGTGAAATTGTCATTTACCCAGTAAAATTAATACAACGTAAATGTTGTCTGTCGTTGCTAGACAAAAGATTGTTTGTGATCGAGTTATTATCCATTTCTTTGACGCTTCTCCATCATTATCTCAGGCCCAGTGTGTGTGTGTTAGCTGAATACCCAGCAGCTACCGGGGATTGGTAACTGCCGAACAGCTGGCTGTATTGGACGATGTCGTTAATTCGGCAGGATTAAACTGTGAAATCCTCACCCTGGGAACTAGGCCCCAAACTCCCTCGGCACGTGTCAGACTACAACCAACCCTAACATCGATCTTCATTTGTTGTGGAGAACCAGTGTTATACCCTGGGGCACTCCTTACAGTTATAAGGGCCAAATTATTATTGTTGTATATGATTGGAGATAACTAGCAGATATTTAGTTATCCCACATTTAGTAGTGATCCCATAACAATTGATAGTACAGGTATCAGTAAATATGTAAGCGAGTTGAGTACATCAACTAAAGGAAAAGTGCCATGTTATTCATACCGAAATAACATGTTATAATATTTTAATTTGGGATATTGTCAAGAGTGTCATATAGCCATCTGTAGTGAAAATGAAGTAATATAATGACTGTTTAATGATGTAATACGTAATTGAAGTTGTTTAATGATGTAATAAGTTCTGTAATTGAAGATCTATTTTATGAATGGTTAAGTAAGACCTACTGTAAGTGGTTCAGTCTGGTACGAGTGAACATAATTAACATCTTATTCACTCCTTATGTTAGTAAACTACAAGTATCACCACTATCCTTTCTACACATTGGTTCTCAGAAAATAATACCTGTAACTCACGTGCCTAGAAACTCGCTACCCAACAGTTCCAAGAGATAGGTTATATTCTAATAAAAGTCTGGGTGGTGGCAGGCTACCGTGGTAAGTATAATAAGTGTTGTAATAAGAATAACAGTTTCCCAGACTAATCCATGGTTTAGAATATAACCAGAACAAGATATTGTATATACTTCTAGAGAGAAAGACAATGAAATTATTAAACTATGCACACCAGAAAAGATTAATATAAAGATAGACATGAGCAAGAAAATAAATAAATAAGAATACAAGAAAGAATAACATCGAGTATATAAGTATTGAAGAATAATAACTATATAAAACAGGATACTTTTTGAAGAGAATAAATATTTGAAATAAGAATATGATTAAATCTGAAGAATAGTATGAAGTAAGGAAAGTCGCGCCCTTACACCGAGATAATCACTTGTATTACAGTATTAACTAATTACTGTGGGTTTGTCTATTTGTATATTAAAAGTATGGTACTATTGTACAGTAGTTAATTTTAGAGTCCCAAGCTTATTTAAGATTTTCTTTATGGGAATTTCAGTAGAATGTGCTTTGATGTAGTTACACACATTTAGGAATGGGATGGATAGCCATCAGCCAATGATTTTAGGCCATACCATAAGAAAAGTGCACCATGCTAAACTGTGGCTGGAATATGTCTACAGCAGTTATACTTAGTAATGTACTGTATATTTAGAAGATACAAGGAGAAAAACAGATGTATTTATATTATATACAGTATATATCCATCAACTGGTCGACTCATTATAAAATTTATAATTAAAATGACAATCTACGGGCAAGTGAAAAATGCTTCGGCCAATTACACTTCATTTAATACTAGCCTGAAAGACAACTGGAAGATTTATTAAGTTCACTAACCCTGGAAACCTGAATAAAGGACATTTCTAAATTAACCTCAATGAACAATAATATTCATCTATAAATATTCTCATGGACTTACCCTATACAATCTGGTTTTGGCACCACATAAACAATCTCTGTCACAGTTTTTCACGCTCAGGAAATTGTTGTCAGGTTCAAGGTTATAGTTCCTAATGAAGGTCACACCACCATAGTAGTCAAGATTACGGAAGCTTTTCTTCTCCAAATAAGCCAGTACTGAAAACATACCTAAAAAAAACAATGAAAAAGGTTATAACTTTACAATCTACAAAAATTCATTATGTAACAACAACAGAAACTAATAGCCATAAGATTACCCTTCATTCCAGCATAATTTGCACTAGTTATATTAATAAGTTGTTGCTTTAGTATCATTATCTCTCTGTAGCGGCTCTCCGTGTCCTTGCCGAGCATCATCACATTCTGCCGGAGGTTTAGTACGTCGATGCTGCCCACGGTGCCATCAACCTCCACCCCTGATAATGTTCTCACTGAATTTTTGAATACCTGAAAAATTTTAATAAATATTTTGAAGCATCAATCTCTCCACACACTCCTGCCCTTTACAGATAAATGTTTAATCTACACTTTGCAAATGTTTTGAAGAAAAATTTTAATTTCTTCTATTTAATACATGATCAAAGAAAATTCGATTGAAATAATAAACTTTTCTTACAATAAGTTTCTAACCATAGGCAGGTAATATTTACAGAAACACAAATGTATTAAACCTCAGACCATTTCTCAAATACAAGATTCAAAGAACGTGGACATGACACAAGAGGCCCGTGGATCATACTGAGCACTGCCCTCCCCACTCCAGTCATGTTGCATGCCATGCTTGTCTGCCAGTGGCTGACATGAACACCTGTACAGGTGTCCAAGTGTTGGTGACATGGTTCTCTTCTTCCCTGCACATTGTTATTCATTCCTAATACTGTACTGTAGCGCAGTAAATACAATTAAAATCTACCCGGTAGTCATTATGAAGAGACATCTAAGCTCTGATGATGAGGACTTCAGTTAAACGTCTCTTATTTAACTGGTTTAAACAAAATTTATACTATACTGTATTGTACTGCACTCATTCTGCATTTTATAAATACCTGTAGTGTCATTTATAACCTTACATCAGTTGTAAGTGGTAATGCAAAATTAACCAAACAAGGGTTGGCGATACAGCAGTAACGTGCGCATCTTCCACCACTATGCCAAGAGTCCGAGTCCTGCTTGGCCCATACACGAGTGAGAAGGGGGTTATCCAGTGTGATCCTACCAAACATCACACGCTTCCTTCAGGTACTGTGGTTTCCTCCTGTACTAACAGTGGACAACTGCAGTTCTTAAAGTAACAAAGAATGGACTAACTGACCAAGCCACTAATAAGTAACCTGTTAATTGGTGAAATAATTAGACTAATGGCCTCAAGTCTTTCAACCAACCCAGAAATATGGATGCAGTTATTGATAAAATATACAGGGATCAAAACCAAACAGGTGAACTTTAACTTTGCAAGTGGAATAGGATTTATAGTTAGGAAATTTACCATGCGAGGTAAACAAGTTAATGGCTTAATAAATGGTATTATATCTGGGGAAAACTTTGCTTTTAAGATGAACGGATATGAGCAGAGGATCACTTAATACGGTCATGTGTGCACAGATAGTATTATTAACCTCAAGTCAATGATTTAAGTTTAACGATGCCAACACTGCTCACGCCAGTAGTTCACGAGTCAACCCCATTAATCCTTTTTGGAAATTTGAATGAAAGTACCAGAAATATTACTATCATCATCTTCGCCACCAATTGGCTCGTTAGCCACTTGGGAGGTGGGTTACATCCGTTACACACTGTTGGCAAGTACAGTACTGGCTCCAGGATGTAGATCTGATTTTGAAAGTTCACACTGCTGTCAGAACTCTGGCAGATTGTTCCAAGAGTTTACAATTCTCTCAAAAGAGTTCACTGGAAATTACTCGTGCAAAGGCTAGAAAACATTATATTATACAGAGCAAAAACCTGACATATTGGAGTGTGGTGATGGCTTCCAATCAGCCACTAATCCTTTTGGGTATGAGGAGGAGGAACGGGGGATAGAGATGGAAGATATATACAGGACTGTACAGTATATTAATCTATTCCCACAATGCCAAAATATTAAACTTAACTATTATCCCAAATACTTACCACTGGGTGAGTTATTGTAGTATTTCTGTCTTTTCTCACAATAATACTGTCCAGATGTGGAATATTTATACCATTCAGTAGAGTAGTATTTATGTTTCCTATGATAATAAGACCTCCATCAATAGTCTTCTGTCCATTGATAATCTGTGAATTGCCATTCCTCATAACAAGGTCCGATATCAAGACATCATTGATCTTCTCAACTTCCAAGTCTCCTGTAAAGAACAGCAACGGTACATTAACTTGAGTATAATAATATTGGTGCTTTAGTATCTAACCACTTCAAGGGGCAGGTGAATGACAGTAATGTAGAACCGTTTCCAGGAGACCTCGGGACTTGACAGATTTCAACTGGATGCCGATCTAAGCAGCACCCCCCTTATCAATTCACACACTAGGCATCCAAATACCAAGACTGGCAGCATGTGTTAAGGATCTAAATGTTTAGGCAATATGTACTATAATGAGTAGTGTTGCCCCAAACTACTTGTGGCATACTGCTTGCCTCCTCAGCCAGGTGGTGGATCCATTCAGTCCAAAGCTCCAGATAATACACTCGTCAGTGATTCAACGCTTTACTCGACACTCCACGAACAACACTGCTACCCTACACTGTATGGGGGTAATTGGAGGGAAACCCACCCTGGAGAGGGAGCAGCTACAGGTATACAGTATATGGGGCGTGGACTGATCGGCAGACAGTTGGCCTTGGCTCATCCGTCTGGTCAGTTCATAAACCCTTTTCAGATCTATCCCTCAGCAGTGATCAGCCCTTGGGTGGTGTACGGTCTTCAGTCCACTGAAAACTGGGAAAGTTTTGCGTTGAAATTTTGGACAATTCACATACAGTACAACTTATCTGCATAGTTTTCAGAGCGCTTTCAACTTCCCATTACACCGATGTCTTTACTCATCAATTTACAAACATGTTCCATTTCATTCACCCATAAATATCACTTACTTTTTTCCTCGTCACCACCGATCGGCTCGTTAGCCACTTGGGCGATCGGTCACGTCTCTGCCAATTCTTCCAAACCCAAGAACTGGATCCGAGAAGTGGTCTTTCACGAATTGTAACTCCAAAGGACAAACAATAAATCATGGAAGCTGTGTTGGAGGCCATACACATCAGCTGTTGATCTCACTTGGGAATACAATTATGATGTCTTCCCAAAACAACGAGGCATCACCTGAATAAGGCAGTTATAAGAGGTCCAATTCTGGCCAAGAGAGTCAGACAAATAGTGATGCAAGACTTGAATTTGACAATCACCACAGCCAGGATGTTTATGATCAACAGTTTTGGAACACTTATGTGGACGGATAATAAATCGTTCTCAACAACAGCTGCTAAGGGTCATGTAAGCCTCTAAATGGCTGGTATGATGGACAAAACATTCAGGAGCTGTACAGGAGTTGGTGCTGCAGTGTTTTGTTTAGTTTCATTTCACGGATGGATGTGGTCTGGGACTTGGGGGACCTGACAAAGTGAGACGGTAACCTGCCCTCAAAAATATTTAGATATACGTACTGAATAAAATTGTAGCTTCCATTTGCGAGATGACCATTGTCCCTATTAGGTTTGTTTACGATTGTTCCCCAATTCATACGAGCTGCTTGGTAAGGGAATGGTTCCAAGAACATCAGGAATTTGAAGTCATAGAATGGCCAAGTAATGGGGGGACTATGAGGACAACAACTGGGTCATCATCAAGGTTGCTTGATGCCTGGGAAAGGGGCCTACATCATCTAGAACTTTAGTGTTAGCTCGTCCCCCTCCAGCCCAAGTACACCGCGTCCTTGCCTCAACGACGACAAGATGAACGGCCTCAAGGCACTAATGTCTCTTATGCTGGCAGACAAGGCAAAGCTCAACAACGTCAAGGTTATGAGGTCATACAGCAACCATTGTCGTTCCACCAACTACAACCATGGGAGACCAACACCACGATATTTCCCAGGGAGAGTAATTTGTCAGCACGTAGCAGCAAGATGGCAAGGCAGGCATATGGGAGTCTTGAGATTGACAGTTTGATATCGGTTACACTGGTATGAAGTCTGGTAATTTAACAGGTCTTCCCAGATGAAGACAGCCTACACTGATCGGCACAGACGACAATGAGAGGATTGTGGTAGACATTCACGACTATCCTTTCACCAAAGAGGTGGCCATGACGGAACAGCTGCACTTGGAGGCCTTGGCAAGGACAGTTAGGCGACGACTCCATGGAACTGGGATCCACCACAGGCTGTCAAGGAGAAGTTAGAACACCACCACCAAGTTGGGAACAGGAGTTATTTTCCAAGATGAAAAAACTATCAACTCCACCAACCACATCCATCTTCACTACTGGAGACCCAATAACACCCGTTACAACCAGAAGCACGTTAATCAAAAAGCCAGGAGCAGCCACGTGACCATCAACAGTGGGGCTGGATCAACCTCAACTGTGTGGGTGAGTTGGAGATAAATGGCAGATTCACCACAGAGCACTATCAGGAAGAGGTGATGCTGCCAACAGTCTCAACTTTACTATGACAAATTCACACGTTTCTCGTGTAAATCTGTACATTACAAAACCTGTCAGCTTTTCATGACTGCCCCCAACAGCAGGCCACTTCCTCCAAAGCAGCAAATGGTCAGTCCACCTGTTTGTCTACCAGAAAGGCCACATTCATTGTCTATAGTGAAAGTTAAGCAGTGAAAAATAGTAAAATTGGCCATAGAAAGTCGACATTCAAGACCCAGTGGATTGTTATAAAAACATTAGATAAAATAGGTAAGGCTTAAACACTTGAACGGTGATCAACACAGTTAAGGTGTTCCCACAAGACCTAAGCTCCCGTGGTCCTTAAATACCTGGGAGGACAGTGGAAGGAAGTGAGTTGTGATCAAAACCCAAGCCAGGGTAGTGCAACCTGTCCCAAGGATACACATCTCTACTCTAGGGTTTGGCAAACCAAGTACTCTGAAAGAACAGAGTACAGTACTGTATTTCGTTATTGATTACTCTTCAGAACCAAGTAAACTAATTACTTTTTTGTATCTTGCTGGTTTGTGCCATAATTTGCTTGTTTTGCATCTTGTGTGCATCATTGACCTACATTTTTATGTATATCTTGATTAGTACAGTCTCGCATTATCAAAACCTTTTAAAAAATTAAGTAGGCTGCTGTATACTTCATACAATTTTAAAAGCATGAAGGAAATAGTATAGATGAAGTTCACAGTAACAGCCAATAGATAGCTTATGAGCTTTAATTCTTTTTAGAAATATATTAAACTCTTTGCAATTAATCAGTGACTTATACTGTATTTATGTTGGAAAAAATACATCCTGCTAACTTATTTTGTCCAGCTAACTTATTTTTGTTCAAAACATAATAGGATTATCAAAGCTACAATAATTTCAATAACATGCCGTCATAATAGAATACGGGCATCCCCTGGGTTACGGAAACTCTGGTTACGGAAATTCACTCTTATGGATTTTGTAAATTATGACCAATAAATTCGGGATAGACAAAACATTCGCCCTTATGGAAATTGGGTAAATTTTTATAGTTATTTTTTTTTTCAATACTATTAGAAAAAATTCACCGAATTAGCAGACGGTGCAGCTCGGCATGTAGCAAAGACAAACACTTACACTATTATCATAAAAAATAACTAATATGTAAATTGCAAAGGATGCACTGCAGTAATATAAAAACCAAATATAGCATCTATTTGATAGTTGTTCTTCAGCATTGAAGTGCAGACACACAGTAATTTTAAATTCTTAAATTATCCTAATTATTGACTAACATGAAGCAAAGCCTAACTTACCTTCCACAACGATGGAGTCAAATTCACAGTTACCGTACACAGTCTGCATCCCATGGAGCGTCACCCTCGAGGCGAACACCTGGGAGAGATTCACACCATCCACCAAACCCAATACCTGAAGAAAAAATATTACTCTTTATTCTTTGTGTCCCTAATAAATTTTTAATTCTTGCAGGAATCTATGAAAACTTAAAAATTACGGTGAATGATCAATGTACTGAGAATGAACTTCAAAATAATTTGTTTTATCCATAAACATTATAAATACATTTACCCAATAATTGGACTAGATATAGTTAGAAACATCCACAAGGTGTTGTCTCACCTGCAGGTTTCCACGAACAATGATGGGAGCATGAAAGATGACATCCTGCGCTAAAGATCCAACACCTGAGAATGTCACCAGGTCTTGTACTGCCACACCACCCAGGGTTTCTGCAACAAATATTTCTCGAGTCTCAACACGACAAATAAAATTACAAGTGATGTATTGATTCTAATGTATCTAAAGTCGGTTTGAATACTCCAATGCATATCGAGCAATTACTGTGTGATAATTATAGTTAGATTCATTTCTCAAAAGCACTTCCTCATTTTAATGGGTAAATATTCCCTAGCACAACAACAGTACTGAGAAGACCAACAAGAAAGTCATTAAGCACTAATAGCTACAAGGCAACACTGTATTCAATACAGGATGGTACTATACTTACTGTTGACAATGAGGTTGTACGTGGAAAATCCTTTGGAGAAAGTTTTTTTCCCTGTAATGACGTACGTTTGGCCACCAGTACGAACTGCCTGTGTCTCGAGATGTGTGATATTTACATCATTCACCAAGACCCCACCATCAGATCGGCCTGACACAGAGGAGGTTACCACCATGTTGTTTACAGTTAGTGGTTTGCTGAATTCCAAGTTGCATGTAATAACCTGCCAAATTCATAAGGATCTTTTAAGTACTGAAGGTTGTAAAAGGAATTTCATTCTCAAATTGTTCAAATTTGCAAAAAGGATTTAGTCCAATGGCACACAATGGGTTACTCACAGTGTCTTCATTGTCCATAACACCATATTTGTAGAGGTCCACCATGTTTACACCATTGATTGTGTTCACATATAGAGAAGTTATGTTGACATCCCCAAGGAATTCAACAGCTCCTAAAGATATGAACTCATTGTCAGTACACTTGTCATATTACACATTCTTATACCTAATAATAATGGAAGCCGGCCCGGCCCAATGTCTACCTAGGCTTGAATTTGTTTAACGTGTAGAAGCTGTCATCAACACAACAACCACACCCCCAAGTTAATGGCCTGCATGACCCAGTGTCGAGGGATAGGCCGAGAAGACCGGACAACTCGCCAACTGCACTGGCTAACCATTACCCCGGAACACGATCAGCAAAGCGATTAACCTCCAGGTTCCCAATTACTGCTGGATAGACAGGGGTAAGTGGCTACAGAGTCATCCATTCAATAGTGGCTACAGTCTCATCCATTCAAGTGGCTACAGTGTCATCCATTCAATAATAGCTAGTGTCATCCACTAACATCATGGGCCTCTATCATTCACATACACTGTTGCTTCCTAGATGTTTATCCTCTTCAACACATCTCGCTGCTACTATATACCTCAATCATACGCCTTAGAACCAAGCTTTAATATCCCAACCTTTCAACCTTCCATACCACCTTACCTTTCTTCAAACTCTGCCGGAAAAAAGATAACTGTAGTACCAGTTCAGCAGATAGCAATACATACCATTACATACACATCATAAATAAGGTTACTCAGACCATACACACCATAAATAAGGTTACTCAGACCATACTCATAAATAACATTACTCAGACCACACACATGATAAATAAGGTTACTCAGACCATACACACCATAAATAAGGTTACTCAGACCACATACACACCATAAATAAGGTTACTCAGACCACATACACACCATAAATAAGGTTACTCAGACCACACACCATAAATAAGGTTACTCAGACCAAGTTTAATAAATCACCTTAAGTAATGATACAAATATACTAACAACCCCCAGGAAGGTCTTAACATACAATGAATCATTTGTCTTGCTATACACAAACCAAAAGTGCTCTTGGACGTACAGTAAAATTCAAAAACTTCTCACAAGCGTAAAATTAAATAACAGCTACGAACCATTAATATCTTGCGTCTGTGACTTGAGAACGAGTGTGTTGAGAAAGTACTCCAAATCCACCTTCTGTGCTGTTCCTGCCAGTACAGCAGCTGCTGAGTTCACAGTGCCTATTATGGTCAAGTATTTCATCTGCACTGGTGAATAAATTTCAATATTCCCATATTTGTCCTTCTGAATTGCCAGTTTATCAAGCTGTTGGATAGATCAAATTTAACTAAATAGCATAGTAATGTTAATACAGTATACAAGGGGTCCCCAGGTTATGAAGCGTTCAGTTCCCGAGGACGTTAGTAAGTCTGATTTGTATGCAAGTCGGAACACATGCTATGTGCATACTGTACGTGCGGAACAATGTTTAAAATCCATTACAGTAGATCATAGCCCAAGTCCTTATATACATCTAAAATTACTAAATTTAAGACAAAAGAAGAACTAGAATGACAAAATAGTGAAAGTAACAAACCAATTGGGTAAATAAAATACTGTAAATTTCATGCTTAACCTCGTTCATTAGCTGGGGACTCCCTGTAATGGGGAATAAATACCAGAGTAATACATTTAATCTATGTGACTTGGTCATGAGAGGCATTATAAGGATACTGTCTAACTGCAATATATTTTGTCATTTTCCATAAGAGCAGTTGTACTAAAAGACCACAAAAATTTAACACCTGTATACCTGGACTTCCAGAACTCGACACTTGACAGAGAAACAAAGAAAAAGGAGAGTTCATTGGACCTCACTGTAATGCTCAGCACTATACCCACCTTCTTCAGATCACATTCACCTAGAGTGTCCTCTTTAGACATAACATCTCCCAAGAAGGTCAAGTTTTGAAGGAAGATGGCTGTACCACCCAGATAACCTGTCTGGTCAGTCATCAGTACTTGACTCATATTGACACCATCAATGACTGGCGACGACAAGTGGGCTGGAAAGGCAATTTTTTTTTCAAGTAGTTCATCACAAACTAAATGGACACCCTTTTTTATAGCTATACTGTAACATAAGATACTACTAGTACAATACACATGATACACTATTTTTTTGTAATTTCTAAAAAATGATTTATCACATCTCAAACTGGCCAATAATTTTGAGCATGTGATCAACCATGTCTACATACAGTATATATATATACACCCTTTATCAAGATATTAAATACTGTGAGCACATAACATTATTGTATAGACACCTTGATACCCACATGATGCCAGTTATATTCTCAACTGTTTCATCATGGAGACCATACACATTGACAAATTTAAAAAACTTTTGCTTCTAAGATTTCCTGGTATTTATGTATCTTTAAAAGGATTGTCATAGTTTATCCCAAATAACCAAAATATGAGGTATTCACTGAAGAAATCACAATGTGCCTTTGAATAAGATAATATTTTTTGTTGTTCACAGCTTTCTCCAGTTATGATACAAGATGGGCATAACCAAAAGTAGCACCACTTTCAATAGTTTCACTCCTAACAGTTATGACAGTCCCTATAAACCAGTGCCATGCTCTCTAACATCAAGTGTCCATTTCTTTCACTTGTGCTTCATATGCCCTCCTCTTCTCACACCCATCAAGTAATGCAGTACAGTAAAACCATTTTATGGCAGTTCTTAACACAGATAAACAATACATCATGGCATTATAGGAGAGTATAAAAATCTCATCTTATAAAATACCTTCATCAACAAAGTAATGCAACAGTTGGTCATACTGCCCCGACAGCAACAACTGGGTCTTTACACTACAACTTGTTTGAGTGGCAAGACTGGTATACATGAACCACTGCAGCAACCACACTTATTACTATCAATTTCCAAGGCAGTAGGTGTAAATAATGTTTACATTTATAAGCTACATGACCTAACTACTTGTACAGTATTGTACACAGTTCCTCTATGATATCGACATCAAGGTGGCTTGACCCGCATCTGTCAGCCAATGACACGGTTATTTTCATTAGATCACAGAGTGACGCTCAGTCAACTTCAGGTCAGTAACTCGCTGTTGTGGGATCATTAAGGAACAAAACTGTCATGTTACTGGTTGTTGTTATCCACAATTTGGAAGTCCGTTTATGTGTTATAGTACCAGCCAGAAATATGTAGGAGTTGGTAGAGGACAAGTTGGTCATGGCACGAGTTGACACTTTAATAGACGTGACTTAGTCGGTGACACCAATCAAGTCTTAAAAGAAAATGTTTGATCACCCCCCCCCCCCTCAGTCCAGCAGTTTACCCTTTCAAGAATTTTTAGTTACACTATTCCACCAGATATATGTTCCAATTATTCACCATAACTGCATCCATCAATTTGATCAACACGTACACTGTCTGATGCTTACAGTATTTCTGCAACTATTCCAGAGCTTTCAGTTGCCTTTCCATTCTTCACCTTGTTAATTGGTTTTTTTCACCAATTCTCTCTCAATTCTTGGGCCTGGTTCCTGTACTGGTTCTGCTACTCCTAGACTGCCACTGTCCCATTCATACTTCTCATTCATTAGGCCATGGTGGTATTTTCTCCAAACCTACTTTAGTGTCTTCTTAACCACCACATTACCGTGGAAATTTGTCTCACACGGCTCACCAACATCATCCTATTTATAGATCGAAAAAACGATAGTCTGGACATCCTAATTTTACAATAATAAAAAAAACTTACTGAATGTTATACTGGAGGTGAAGGTATAGTGACTGTGGATGATCTGTTCACTTGATTTGGTGAGGTATCTGGTAGTCAGGTCTGCCACTTTTATACCATTGATAGTAGCAGGGTCAAAATTTCCAAGGATATTCAATGGTTTAAGGAATGTTTTTGTTCCAGATATTTTCCCAGAAAAGTCCTTTAAAACAACCTGAGGAAGCCAATAAATAAGATTACACAATAATATACAGGTGATAATTTTTCATAAATCCCATAAAATTCCTTCCCTAAACTGCTCTCTCCCTTTCTGCTTTAATGGAAATATTAGCTGTGGAAATCTTTTTATTATTATTATCACCACTAAACAGCTTCCTAACCATTCAGGCTGTTGGTCTATCCACTGATAGTACAGGTGGAAACTACACTCTGGGAAACCCTTGATGTTTGGTAGCGAGTCACACTGGACAACACACTTTCCATGTGTGTCTGGCTAAGCAGGATTCGAACCTTTGATATATTGGGGAGAGATACACGCTGCATCACCAACACGAGGTGACAGAATGAACATCAGGAAATGTTTCTTCACACAGAGGCTGGTAGACCTGTGGAACAGTCTAGTAATCCAAGCTGTAGAATCATGATCAGTGCAGGGCTTCAAAAATAGCCCTTAACAAAATTATCAAGAACAATGTGGGATCCTACACAGGCCACTGGCCTCCTTCCATCGGCATGGCCACCTAGTGATTGGTCATTAGGTAAATAAGGTAAAATTAATCTTGGAGGAAGAAGAGGGGGGAGGGGCTTCCATTAAATACATTTACCAATTAGTAATTGAAAATGGACATTTGCATCTTAAAGTTTATCTTAAAAAAAAAAACGGCATGAGAGAGTTGGGCTCATGGTGATAGTTATAAAGTGATTAAGATGAAGAACAACACTGTACAGCACCTTGGCTCAGGCTTGGAATGCATTTTTTTTAACGTCAGTGCCAATTATTTTTTAGAGGGCTGGCTAGAATAGTGACAACATGACATTTTCAGTGCAGAATGAACAAAAGAATACTATCAATGGTTAACCTTCAACATTAATCGTATTAGAATTAACACATGTCTGTACGATGTTAACCAACACGGATGTCTGTACGACGTTAACCAACACGGATGTCTGTACGACGTTAACCAACACGGATGTCTGTACGACGAGTCATCCGCCCAAAAAAACACACTAGAAATTCACTAAAATGGTGGGAAAGTCTCAAATTGAAGCCCACATCCTTGCATTTCCTCTAAGGGGGACTAGGGGCCAGAAGTATATGCTAAGCACTACAGGCAGCCAGTTTGAATCACTGGAGTGCTATGTCATTGCTAATCATTCTTTGTTCCGACTGTCTACAAGATTATTCTCAGTATGTACAGGTAACCTCAAATTGAGTTAGAGGACCAAAGTGGTATAAGATTAAACTGAGGGAGGAGAGACTTGCTCATTGTTGGATGTATCTACAGATCCTCAAGCTGTAGTGTATTAAACCAGGAACTTTACCTTAATTGACAAAGTAATGGTGCAGAAGCCTAGCCACCTTGTCATGGGGGACTTTAATTATGACAAAATCGACTGGAAAAATGAACCCACGCCAAATGACCCCGCCACTCTTTTTGTAGAAACTCCAAGACAATTTTCTATTCTCACATATTAAAGATCCGACTCACTACAGAGGGGAGCAAACACCCAAACCGCTAGACTTCATAACTAACGAGGAGGATATGGTGGCCAAGCTGGAATACCTGGCAGCAGTCACCACGTAATGTTGTCCTTCAAATTTAACTGCTACTTGGTTCATGACAAAACCAGGTCCAGGTTCAAATATTACAAAGGCAATTACGACAAGATGAGGGAAGAGATGAGGAAAGTACACTGGCCTGACTTACTATGGAATGAGAACACAGATGCTACGCAATCATGGCCAGTAAATTAAACCATTCGTTCAATAAATATAAACCCAAGACCAAACCCAGTGCCTCCATTAATATAAGGAGACCGATACACATGAACCATGTGGCGGTCGGCAAAGTTAAGAAAACGCAGGATTTCGAGACGTGGGCGAGGACAAATGATGAACAGGAGAGAAGGAAGTAAGTCAGATCCAGGCTAAGTCAGAGTGTAGAAGGGCTGAAAAAGCATTCGAGGCAGATTGCTAGTGAAGTCAGGTCAAACCCAGGCTTTTTTTTACCACTACACAGAATCGAAATTAAAAACACGAGTAGGCATATCGGACTCGAGGCTTGAGGATGGTAGTCAAGCAGATTCTGACCATGATAAGACGGCCTTGAATTTTTTTTTTCATTGTTCATGAGAGGATGCGAACAATTTTCCTGCGTGCGAGGAAAGACCGACACGGCAGACCCACATTGTGTTCTCGGACGAAGCTATAAGAAATAAACTGTCGGAGCTAAAGATTCACAAGAGTCGTGGTCCAGATATGGTACACCCTAGTGTTAAGAAACTGTGTAATGAGCTTGACCGTAGGAGCAAAAGGTCCACGACAACTGGAAGATGGATTACCAGTCGTATATTCAAGAAGGACAAAAGTCACTCCAAGAATAATTATAGACCAGTGAGCCTGACTAGCATAAGTGTGCAAATTACTATAGAACATCGCAAGAGATGCCATGATGGAACATCTGCTACGAAACAACCTTGTAAAAGAATGCCAACACAGTTTTATGCCAGGAAGACCCTGCTTAACACAATTATGGTACTGTACAAGTACTAGAGGTTTGGAGTCTAATTCTGTAACAAGGCAGAAATATCGACAGTGTATACCTAGATTAAGCCAAGGCGTTCAATGGCATACCTTACGAAAGGCCGAGAATTAAACTGGAAGGGTACGGGATTTGGGGAATGTCAGTGTGGATCAAGAGACTTGGTACATGACTGCAAACAGTGCGTGGTGATAAATGGTATGAAATTGTCATGTGCACCTGTGACTAGCAAAGTACCACAGGGCAGTGTAATGGGCCCGTTGTCGTTTGTCAGTTTCATTAATGACATGCTAGAAGGGAAACACTCCTCCATACAAATGTTTGCAGACAATGCCAAGTTGTTTGGGGAAATTAAGAACCAAAGAGACTGAAGAGCTGCAGAAAGATCTCTTAAGAGCTTCAAAAATGGTTGAAGAAATGGCTGTGAAAATTCAATGACGCGAGGTGTAAGAGGATGCACCTGGGTCGCACCAATAGTAAGGAGTATCATGTCCCAACAGGACAAAAAAACGGCTTTAATCGAGACCAAATGTGAAAAGGACCTGGGTGTGTAGGTCTCCAAGGAATTTTAGTTCTCAGGCCATCGTGAGAAGGTGAATCGAGCAACGAAACTAGTAGGTCTTATAAGATCATTTAGATATCTAAATTCTATATGGTCCACCCCTTGTCACGATCTTCAAGAGCAAGGTGCTTCCCCGCCTGGTCCCACAGGTATACTAGAGATTGTCAAATAATTGAAAATGTCCAAAGGAGGGCCACCAGACTGGTGCCAGCTCTACAGAACCTCAGTTCCCCAGAGAGATTGAAGTGCCTGCAACTACCAAGCTTATACCACAGACAGGCAAGGGGCGACCTAATCGAAGTGTATAAACATCTCAGGGTGCACTGCTCAGTCAAATATACATACCAGGAGCTGGTGGATGTCCGCCCCACAAGGGGTCACAGCTCAAGGTTGAAGAAGCCACAGGTCCAGAAAACTGAGGACAAACTTTTTTTGGAGTGAGAGTTGTGAACTCTTGGAACAATCTGCCAGTGTGTGTTATGATGGCACCGAGTGTGAGCGCTTTCAAGACCAGACTTGCCCAACACTGGAGCAGGTTCAGATATATTCAGGAGCCAGTGCATGCCCAGTATATGTCGACAGTGCATAACAGACGTGACCGCCCATCTAAGCAGCTAATGAGCCGATTAGTGGCGAAGAGGACAAAGGTAAAAGTAAAATCTGCACACAAATGGGGGGAAAAGGTGTTAGATGCGGTGTTTACTATCTATATAAAATCCTAGAACAATCATTCAAATTCATAAATATGTAAATAAAAATTTGAATGGTGGTAATCAACAACAAATGCCCGACCCAATTAACGTATGCCTCCGGTACCAACCACCTAGCCTGCCAAAGTGTCAAGTATCTGGACAGTACAAACTTTATGTACATGTAGTGTCACAGAATACACTTACAGTGCTGAAGTACTCTTTCAGCCTTATATACCAGCCTTATATACCAGGTGTATGCACGCACTCCTGGAAAATTGCTCCCTTAAGTCAACCCGTGATAATTACTCTGCTTCCTGTCAACTACCTTTAAAAAAATAAACCAATGAAAGGTTCAACAAAGAATTGAATTACCTGTGAAAAAGTGCATGCAAATTTATGATAATCTCTTAAGTTTTTATGGTAATTTGGAAGAATCAAACATTTTAAAAATATTAATAAATTTTGCTTGCACCCTTCCTTAAACAAGAAACTGCAGTGGGCCTATTGGCCCATGCTAGGCAGTCCCATTTACACCCAACCCCTATTGCTCATATATCCATCCAACCTAAGTTTGAAGCTATCCAGCATATTCAAGTTAATAATGATACTGTATTTGGTAACTTGTTCCACTACTCTATTTCCAAATCAATGTTTACCTATCTCGCGCCTAAATCTAAATTTGTCCAATTTAAAACCATTGTTACGAGTTCACTCCTGGTTGGATAGTTTGAGTACCTTTGTTTAGCCCTGTCTTCCATTTATACACCTCTATCATATCGCCCTCACTATGTCTCTCGAGGGAGTGCAAATTAAGATGCTTTAACCTGTCTCTGTACTCAAGGTTCCTAATGCCCGGGATTAGTCTTGTCTGTCTCCTCCGAATTCTTTCTAGGGATTCTATATCCATTCTTGTACAGTGACCAGAATTAAACTGCGTATTCCAAGTGAGGTCTCACAAGCGCAAGATATTGTTTTAGGATGACCTCGCTGGTCTTGTAACGAACACTTCTTTGTATGAACCCAATTACTTTGTTAGCCTTGTTTTGAGCAAATACACATTGTTGTCTTGGTTTAAGATTCCTACTTATCACCACTCCTAAATCTTTCCGACAGTCGGATTTCTCTGTAACATCGTCGTTCAACTGGGATCTGGTTTCACTGTTTACATCTCCTAGACTAAGTACTTTACATTTGTCCACATTAAATTTCATCTGCCATTTTTCAGACCATTCAAATTTTTTTTTTAGATATTCCTGTAGTTTCGCAGAGTCCTCGTCATATTTAATTATCGCCATATTTTAGTGTTATCAGCAAATTTACTTATGTTACGGTCTACGCCGATATCTACACTGTCTACAAAGGCCTTAAAACCTATACAAGCTAATATCAAGAGAATCTCAAGCAAAATATTTTAAGACATTTCTTGGTAGACAAAACTTAAAGGCATGAGACATTACATCATCCAGGTGGATCTCCCACTTCTTGGAGTTAACGTCAACTAGGGAAGGCGCCTGTCTGAAGTGTACAGCACCCATTACTGTGATGTGGCCTCTGACGAGTTGGTTCCTTGGTGAAGACTTCAGGAGGGCTCGCTGCATCAAGTCTTCAAAGTCTACTCCATCCACAGTGCCTCTCACTTCAAGAGTGGTTACTGAAAAGAAATTATGACAAGGTATTACAGAAATTTACTAGAGATCACAAATTCAATTCGAGTTAAACATTTCATTCATGACTCGACCCGTAAACGACGGCATCACAAGTATAGGACTAGCGCATTTTGTCCCACAATGACGATCCGCGATATAATGAGGATCTTTCAGCACCATAACTTTTAGTATGGCACCTCATTACTGCTAAAGTAAATTGTTGACTTCTGTCAACTTTTCCTTCCCCACAGTGGTTCTTCCCTCCACTAGGAACTTCTTCAGTTGTCATGGAGGAGGTACCAAGTATCTGGCAATTCCAGTGAAGCTTTGAGCAGAAATACCCCTGGCTGCAGCAGTCTTGCTTGGACACCCAGAAAAATAAGTAAATTATGGAAGAGTGAGGGAGAGGCTGAAGTACAGCATTAGTAAAATTGCCAAGTAAATTGTGAATGACAGGTGTGAAAGCGCTTCAGCAATAAGGACACTGAAGAACGAGTCATCAGCTTAGAAGTGCCGAGAGCAGGAGGGAAAAAAAGGCAGGATTACTTCTCAACATGTTGCACGTGTACCGGGTGCATGAGTACTGTATCACCATCACGTGAATGAGGTGTTTGTGGCGAGAGACTAGAGTAGTGGTGATATAATTTGGACTGCAAAATCATGATGTAAAAGTGATGGTACAGTACAACAAATGTGAATGAACTTTGATTGTCTCTACCATGTTGATGCCCAACATCCATAAACCTGTTCTTTATGATGAAGAAATAGAACCAACTGAAGACGTGTTTGGGAAGTACAGTATATGGATGGACAGGTACCAACAGCGTGTCAAGACAAATCCACATTCGTACTCCAGCCCTATCAAGTCTTCATCTATTGTAAAATGAAAATACTGTAATAAAAAGGTAATTAATTATTTTTATTGATACGTTGTCTTATTTATCATCATAATAAATGGTTTGTCATTGAAATTTTTCATAAGCCTACAATGATGCAAGAGGGAGTGTGCCACCTCCCATCCAGACCACGTGTGTGTGTGTGTGTGTGTGTGTGTGTGTGTGTGTGTGTGTGTGTGTGTGTGTGTGTGTCGCCGAGAACTTCTTATGAAGAGTAATGCAAATAAAATAAAGTCGAAATGAATTATTTATAGGAAATATATATTATGATCAGTAAATGAATGCATTATTGGCCAACTCATCGACACAAAGACAAGCGGGAAAATGACCCCTAAGTGAGTAGTGACAGCGAGCGCTCTATGTAAAAAAACAACTTTCCCCATATTTGCCTCATCACCGAGGTGCCACAAGAATATAGAGGGACAATGTATAGTTTTTATCAAGTCTTTTTTTATTGCTTTATCATTTATAAAGTTAAAAAATTACTTTTAGAAAAGTGCATTTTTTTTTTTTTACCTCCTCGTGTGGGGTACAGCCATCACCAACCTAGCCCGGGCGTAAACCCTCATAGTTTAAGGGTTTACTGTACTGTATAGCAATTCAATACAAGAAATATGTTTGCCATTTTGAGTCCAAACCAAAAATATGATTGGTACAGTACCGCTGAGATCACCGATGAACCGAAGGCCAAATGGTCCTCTGATGGTGGCATCTTCATCGACCATTACCATATCTGCTGCCGCTAGTCCCACATCAAACCCATTAAGAGAATCCACAGTCAAGTCACCATTTATAATCACATTTGTTGCTGTAGTTTTAGATGTAAATGTCAAGTGTCCTGTAAAGAGAAACAATTTTAACATCATAAATACTTCAAGAAGAAGACATACTCCAGGAAGACTTAATGTACCATAACATGTCCACAATAATACCAATACCACATATACAGTACATGGTGTTCACCTGTATGCACCAAGCTTTGGTCAAGCCTCATTAGATCTCTCATCATATCTATGCCATTCAATCTGCCATAAAGGTTGAGCTCAGCGATGGTCATTTGGCTCGCACAGTCCTAAAGGGAAATTATAAAATGAAAAGCTCGTCTTGCTACACTATTGAACCATCAGAAGCTACAGCATCAAGAAACATTACAACAAATACCAAAATTACTCCAGTACTACCTACGAGCAATTAAAACTGCATAAACAAAATACTGTGCATTGTATTTTTGTTCACATTATCATCACAGTCTAGGTGGTGTCACGGTTATTCACCAAGACAAGACTCCAGGTAATTTCTTTATCTTGCTTCTACAATAAAATGGTGAACCTTTACCTCACCTAGAAACTGACCAGTGTAACCTTTACATTTCACATGCAGGAAACCCCCAGAGCATCTTTAAGAACACAACCATGAGGAGCTGCAATCATTCATTTCCTCAACCTGATATAATGCCCCAAAAGCCACTTTTATATATCACACTTTCTAATAATCATATACAATACAATAGGTTTTTTGGGGTATTTTTCTCCTGAATATTTAGTGTCAACTTACTGTCATTTAAAACCGTGCTCGCCAAATAAGGCGGCCAATTAAACTAAAGAAAAAAATTACGGGGCTCTGAATGAACATTAAAAATTAAATACTGAAAACCCAACTTGTCTGAGGCAATGATATCAGCTTGTTATATGATGTATAGTAAAACAAAAAATCAAACTATGCTCACTATCAGAGACACACACAAGATGTCCTCTATATCTATGATGAACAAATATATTATTATAGGAAGTCACGAGTAGTGTTAATTATATTCTTTCTGAAGCCCCAACCACACCACTCACCATGGGTCCTTCAATGGTTTGGTCACCAAGTAAGGTCATTACTGTGTTATTCAGTGCCACCACATCAATGCCATTCACAGTGCTGCCAGGACCCAACACCAGGTTCCCCAGCACTGTTACCATGTTCTGTTTCATGGGGAGAGTAACCAATTTAATTATCACTTTTCATGTCAAACATTATGACATTTAAATTTCAATAAAATTACATATGGTATCACTTTAAAAAAAATGGTTATAGACAATTTTCAGAATCTTACATCTTTAACACAAAATTTGAAGAGCATTAACCTTCCCCATCACAAACCTGGAAATTATATGACCCAGATATTTGTTGTGAACCACCCAAGTTGAGATAGTCAGTCATCTGGTTACCATTAATACTTGATCCTTTCACAGTATTACTGAAGAAAAAAAATTACGTAGTTAAGTATTAAAAATTAATACTGCACAATGTATCTACAGTGTTGCTACAATGATTACAAATGAATTATCACTTACAGGAAAACTGCATTGTTGATGTGGACCTGGACATTAATATCTTGGTCCACAGAACGTCTCCAGTAGCGGTCTGTTATACCATCCAGCACCAAGCCATTAATAGTGCTGGCCACGACATCACCAGAACCCTACAACGATCATATACAAAAATATCAAACAATGCAAATCGGCTCACTTAATGAATAATGATAAATACAACAACCGGGATTTAGAAAAGATTCTGAGACCATCAGTCAGAGAAGAGTTCATCCATGCTACCATACAACTTGGTATACAGTAGTGAGGCTGAACAAAGAGTAGTAGTACAGTAGTGAGACTGAACGAAGTAGTAGTACATTTGTGTTAATGTGTTTCTATACACCGTGGTAACCTGTATCTCTAAACAGCCAACCTATGACCTATAACAAACCTATCCACCAATCACATCCATCGTCACATGACCAATACCAATTCATTCAGCGATACTACTACTGCAACGTGCCATTTGAAGACACAGGGTTACCACATGGAGCGTAGGAACACATTTCCTCAACTGTATCAACCCTGTCAACTAGTCCCATTCTGCTACAATTTGGTCACCAACAGTTTTTTGCATTTTTATTTTTTCAAGTGTCTCCTTCCTTGCCTCGCCTTGCCTTGCCTTGCCATTGCAACTGACTCCAATAATATATCACAGGTTATCAGTGAACAACTCTAGTCTCCAACACACAACATAAACTTACCTTAAGAGGGACACTGAATGTTGCTGCATCCTTCACAACCAAGACACCTTGGCTCACTGTACTCGTCTGTAGTTCTGATGGGTCAATGTTGTTGATAGTGGCCCCATCACCCATTAGTACACCACCTGCACCAGTCACTAACACGTCTTTAGTGAAGGTGATAGGTCCTGCAAAACGATGACTTTTATTTTTCAACATCTAAATTAAATTCTTGTAGAAGACATTCTACAGGGTGTCCCAAATAAAGAAATACAGTCTTATGCTTTCATCCAATCACCGAGATATCCTTATAATCACTTAATACAAAGCTCTCCAATAATTCACAGGACTATTCTCATTACCACCGATTGGCCTGTTAGCCATCTGGGCAGTTGGTAACATGTTTGTTACACACTGTTGGCAAGTACAGTACTGGGCATGTATTGGTTTTAGAGTGTATCTGTACATAGTCAAGTCTGGTCTTGAATGAACTCCCACTCAGTGTCATCACAACACACTGGCAGATTATTCTGAGAGTTTACAACTATCACTCCAACATCAGTTTGTCTTGACAACTTATGGCTTCTTCAACCTGAGACTGTTGCTGCCTCAATGTTCATCCTCCTCATTTCTAAAACTACTACCAGTACCTCCATCTCTTTCCTGGTCTTCTCGTCTACCTACCATCCACCTCTGAATTATACGCTCTTAACCAATCTTACTTTTATTGAAACCTTCTTTTGACATATTTAACCCTTTGTGGGCAGATCTCGCAACAGATGGAAGGTTGCAGGTTCCGGTCATATCCCACAACTGTTGCAATACATTTTCACAAGCCCAGTTTAGAATTCCCATATTTTATTTACTTTGTGAAACCGATCTTTGCCATCAAAACGTGTAAATGAGTCAATTTTCTTCATAGTAAAATTGATGAATTGTACTGTATATACAGTACAGTAGATCCATCATGTAACTGTCAACACCTGTACAAGTCAATACAGTACTGGTGCAACCAAGACGGTATGTTAAAATGTTTTGCACAAACTAATATTTCTTCCTGGAACAGATCCTTATTATGTAAACTCATTTACCAAATGCTCACCATGAATCGTCTGTGTGGTATCCACAAGCACCACATCTTGACTCAGATCTAGTCCATTGATGTTGTTACACTCGATGGCATCGGACACATACACATTATCGATGAAGTAGTTGCCACTGATAGTGTCCTTCGAGTTGAAATCCACAAGGTCGTCCCACTCCACACCATTTATAGAGGTAGTCCAAAGATTTCCAGTTATAGTAAGGCTTTTCTCGTATGTTACGGCACCTGCAGACGAGCAACTTCTTAATGCCTTGATATACAGTACATAAGAAGAGACATGTTCCAGGTTGCATTAAATGCTGTGGTAAACAAGCGCTACCGACCTTTCAGGGTGAAATCTCCCGTTCTTTTGACAACAGATGCGTCCAAGTCACGCAAGTTGATACCATTAATAGAGGGGACATCAACATTGCCAATCACTTTAACACGAGCCATTGTGTAGGAGTCTGCTAGTAACTGTTGCTTTGTTGTGTCTGTGTAAATCACCCTACTGTTCAGGTCTCTAACATCCACCTGACAAAATCAATATCAACAAAATTATTATAAACCTAAATGTTTGTACTGCATACCACTAAAATGTCGATCTAAATATACCAGAACTCATACAATGAATATGGTGCCAAAGCCAGTTACTTACCCCATTAACTAGTCCTGTGTTAACTGGTCCTTGTATGGTTAACTTTTTGAAATTTTTCACATCTAAGAATGTTACACTGGAACCCTTGGTGACGATGGTTGATGAATTAATTCCATTGATGAGGAGCGATTTGGTGCCACCTATTGTATTAGTAATGCCATCACACGTCACGGTACTGTACGTGTGGTCACCAGTTACCACTTGTTCACTAACACTTTTACGCATAAACTCTGGAAAATAAGATTATCCAATAACTGGGTAGAAAATATCACTATCTGTGTAGACCAACAATACAGAGATGCCTTAAAATTTCTCAAGTCAAAATGATTATAATCCACACTTAATCTTGCTGTTAATAGAAGGCAAAATGATACATCTTGGGGCTTCATGTAGTGGACTAGATCACTTTATATATACTACTGTAGAAACTAATGTTCTGTGTTAAGATTGGTTAACTAAGCCAAGAGTAAAATATTCTGTAAGTTTTAGTTCCCATGGCTCAGAGGATCACCACTACATGAAGCGGTGGTAAGAGGCTGTTTAGTATCCCAGTGTTTAATGTGAAGTCAATGGAAAGAATAAATGTTAAGTGGATGAATATAGCATTTCTTCAGATAATCTCAAAAAATCAAATCCAGTGAAAAAAATATTTCATGAGTAAATGCAGAAGACTTGGTGGTGGTGCATCACTACAAAAATAAAACCATGTGTCTTGGCTGGGCCTCTCACTCTCACAACCAGTGGTACATTTACTACACACTATGGGGCTATCACTTTATATGTCTTTAATTGGCTTACCATTATGGTCCCCCATTTTTGTTTATTATAAATATGTTCTGTATTTTACGATGTTTGAGACTTTTTAAAGAAACATCTCGTTTTTCACAATGGGAGTATAGGAGAATGTGATCCCATTTATGAAGTATTGACTTATGAAGGTTTTGAGGAACCCTTCATAAATCAGGGTACAGTGTGTGTGTGTATCATGAAAGATGAAAATTTTCCTGAACATTTTAGGAGGAAAGAAATGCTCATTAATTATTGCTGGTGACTCACCTGTCGTTAAGATACCATTAATAGTTGATGAAGGAGATACACTGCGTGTGGTGAATACATCTGTTGTTATAGAACTGGCTGTCACGTTGGTGTTGATGACCTGATCAATCCCAGTGATGAGGAACTCTTTTTTCAAATCCAACATGGCAACACCATTCACCTAATGAATGAAATGGACTTTTTACATATCAAATAAATTAAAGACAGGTAACCCAGTGAAATACTGTGCGTCAATTGAAAATCTACTCTACAAATTTTTTCACAAAAGAATTGTACATTTGAAATATGAGTTTGTGAATACAGGGGGGGATAAGTGTACACAATCTTTAATGTGTACAGTAAACTAGCAGGATTTTTGCAGTATTTAGTGGCTGTGAGATGGTGTATCTTACATTAGAACAGAGGTACATTAGTATACTGAACTGTACAAACAAAGGTAAACTTTCACTATTGTTTGAGACTAAACCGGACACTTCACAAAAATGTCTATATTATACACAACTTTCAGACATCACAAATTCTTACATCCGGTGACAAATATATTCTGACCCTGTAATCACTGAACTACTGTACTCGACTATTATACTGTACAATACCTGCCCAACTATTACATAATAATTTGATCTTTAAAAACTATTAACCATACTTACATTTCTGATCTTAAGAACATCAAAGTTTGTCCTGTTAACTCTTAAGGTTGACACAGTGATGGGCCCCCTCAGTGCCTGGTTACCCGTGAAGTACACAACTCCCTCCGACTGTTTTACCAACGAGTTCACAGAAAGCTGTTGACACACGAGTCATGTACTACATACACAGTTTGTCATCAATTTATTGTCATTTTCCACACTTGTTAGGGTTAGATGTGATTACTTAACACCTCTCTGTACTGCATGGTCTCTTGCAGCATCATTTCTTACAACCTCACACCTTGTCATTCTTGGCCTGTCCATGACTCCCCTCCCCTGTACATAATTATACTCTTGACCCACTTGGTCTACTCTCTCTTCACATGCCCTAACTATCTCGGTTTACCTCTACACAACTATTCATCTATTCCCAATACAGGTTGACAACCCTTTATCCAAAATTCCAAAAACCGAAAAGCTCTGAAAACTGAAAGTTTTTTTTGTGGAGCAATTTTTTTTTTTTTTTTTTGGTAACATCCCACCCGAGCACAGGTCACTGACCCACATCTGGGCCTGGGGGGTGAAAATGTAATAGTAATAATAATTATAATAATAATGATAACAGTAATAATAATAACTATTCATAGTAAATAAAAATTTTAATAAAAAATACACCAAAATAAATTAAGGATAATGAAAATAATAATAATACTGTAATAATAAAATAATAATAATAAAGAAATACAAGAATGATAAAAGATCAAAAGTGAGAAACACGACCTACACCTATGAATTATTATTACAGTATTATTATTATTATAATTTTAGCCCCCAGGCCCCAATGTGGGTCAGTGACCTGTGCCCGGGTGGGCTGATCCCTGTATAATAATATATATATAAAAATACAAAAAAAACCCTAACCATTCTGAAAACCGAAAAATTCCAAAAACCGAAATACATCTGGTCCCAAGGATTTCGGATAAGGGATTGTCAACCTGTACCTCTGCTCTGAACACGATTTCCTGTCTATCACATTACACATCCACCTCACCATTCTCATTAAAGCCCACTCAAACTTGTGTAAACTATGTCATCCTCCAACTAGCTGTATTTCACTACCATACACTACTTTTCTCATTCAAGTTGCATACATATTTTTTCTTCATGAAAGGGAAGGTCATCTTGACAAAGGCAACAACTCCATGCACTTCCACCAGCCACTTGTAAATCTTGCAACAGAGCTAGTTTCAGCACTTTCAACAATGATCATGTCACCCAGGCAACAGAATTAAACAATTCAGGGATACTGTATATGCCCAATATTGAGTTCCTGCAGCCTTGCTAAAGTCACGCTGTAATACTGTACAGATCTAATACATCACGCAAACATGCATACATCAATTGGTGGTTACATTCTTTAATACCACCACTCTGGTACAACTTTTTCACCTACAGGATCAGAATATTGCACATTTAACAAAATAGTGTCAATGGCTGTACCTCCACCCAAATAGTCAAGCTGCCATAGAACTATCAGTCGTTTCTCTTTAGGGTTTTTATTCCATTACTATTATTTGTAATATTAGGGGACTATTACTTCAATACTGAAATAAAGGTAGAATGAATTTGGGGTGGTATGGTATAATATGTGGACTGTATCGTCATTTCTTACATTTAAATAGTAGTTCGTTTAATTGGATTTCATCTCGTGTAATCTTGCATGTCAAGAATTTCTGAAAATTGTCCCATCATAATAAATTGTGGAGATACAAATTACGTAAGTTCTGGGATACTGGTCAGGTTCTGTGAAAAGGTAGTCCAAGATAGTTCAGGTAACTGGAGAGAAATGATGAAACCAATTAGGACAAGATCTGCACCATTTTGAATGTAGAGAAAGAGGAGTCAGGGTTAGACCAAGAATGATGTGGAAAGAGGTTGTGAGAATAAACCTCTTGAAGAACCTCATGATATAAACTGCATGAGATTGCAAAACTTTGAGAACCATCATCAGGAAACTTTAGGTAACTCAAAAATGCATGGAAATTGCCTGTGAAAGTAATATAAATTTTCACGGTTATTTTTTCTTTATACTGTACTGTGCGATGTGGTACACAAGTAGCACAATTGCCTCTCACCAGTATCCCAGGTTCAATCCCTGGATTGTATGAGAAGGGCATTTTCCCAGTGACCTGACCAGATATCACAAGTTTCCTCCAAATACTAACACTGCACAATGGAAGTTATAACAGTCAAGATCTTCCCTAACAGAACAGACTGACCACCCAACTGGTTATTAAAGTGACAAGTGGTGAAAATTTTAATTTTAATCTAAATCAAATATACTGTAGGCAAGGACCATAATATATTTCCAGACTATTTCTCACATCTGGACTTCCCCGGGTGCTGTTACAATGCTGCCATCTGTAGCAACTAAAGGCTTGGGTAAAATGTGCAATTAATTTTTAATTATAATTTCCAATAAGAAACTTTCATAGAATTTCATACCTGTAAACTTGTGAAGAGTGAAATAAATTCTGTAAAAGACTCCATGTTTGTAGTATTTGCTGAAGCGTCGATCCTCAGCGAATCTTCAAATATTGTGGTACCAGTCACCGTCAACCCCTTTGAGAAGATCACCGGCCCTTTCCATACCTGTCAACAAGTGTACAGTATTAGGTCGTTTTAATAACTACCAAACAACAATATAAAAGTATGAACAGACAGTAATCATCAAGAATAGACGAGACTTGCTTGTTCATCGTCGACCGTCATTAAGGCACTAGATGAAAGGACGCCAGATATGTAGTCTATATCACCCTTACTGTTGTTCAGAGCAGTTCCTAATTCATCAAGACACTTCAGAAGGGAGTCTGCCCTCTCCTCAGATTCAGCTAGTAAATAAATAGTACAACCAGTTAGAATACTGTGCCCTTTCATCAGTTTATCTGGTCCTGCTTTCACTAAGAAAATAGTTTGAGCAATTACTTACCTAATTTCACTTCATGGAACAGCAACATCTTCCCTTCAATAGTAACCTCACCAGTGTAGGGTTGCTGGCATGTGTAAGTAATGATGTAGTCCTTTAACATCCTCAAACCATACAGATTACCAATAGAGATGCAGGAGGTCTTTAAGGTGTACGACGGAAAATAATGAGCCGACATGTTGTCCGTGTAGAATGTGATCTCCGACTGGTGAAAAAGGAGGAACTTTTGTTCATTTGTTGCCGTGGTAAAAATAGACAAGTCATTCAAGTAATTTCTGCACAAATACACTGAACAAATCTGGCTACTGGATAGCTTATCCATCACATCTACCCTTGTGAGTACTGTATTAAGGTTTTGAAATTTATACAATTTACACAGTATTACATGTCCTCTACATCATTCTTTTTACAGTGGACCCCCAAAAAATTCTTAATATCAACACCTGATGTTCTCAAAATAAAGTGATTTGAATATGTATACCTTTTTTTTATATGAAAAAGCACATCCTTGTCATCAGTAATACAAGGTCAGTTTAAGAATTATTCATTTGTCATGCCTCTTATTTCAGATGTATGTTATGTAACATGTTCCATGCTAACAATCCCAGACAGGAAGGGTTAGCTTACTGGGGAGAGAATGTGACAAGAGGAGCAGCTTTATGCTCACCATCCATCATCAACTGTGTGGCCACAAACTAAGCTATACAGCATCACAAACTTCTGACACTTGCTTTCAATATTGTTAATATCTTATATGTAATCAAATCTATAACTCATGAAGATGCAAAATAATATACTGAAACAAACTAGAAACACCACTTGTAAAGCCAGGGGCAGATCCAGGAATAAAAAAAAAAGTGGGGGGAAAATACAAGAAGCTGTGGGTGGTGGAACATTGGCACAGTGAGCCCACCCAGCTAGGGTTATTTTGGGGGGTGCTGTATGACCCCCCAAAGAAGTACAAACCCCATGAGACAAGAAGATTATGTTTTCCAAGTTGTCCAGGAAATGAATAGCAATTGAACTGCCATAATCTATGGGACTGGATTCCAATATCTGCCACTCCTGCAGCTGTTCTCCTGTATAGATAAAATTAAAAAGAAAATTAAGAACCCAGTTCATGACACGAGGGGTGTACTATACTATACCAGTACGACATACAGTAAACCCTCGATAACTACACACACATGGGGCTCTGGCCTTGCCGAGTTAAAACAAATTCTGACTTCAAGGCACCCCCTCCCCTACTGAACTAATAAAATTTCAGCATTTTGAAAATATTTAGCCAAGTACAGTACATCTTCCCGAGCATGAAGAAATCTAACATGTCCTTCAATGATTGAAATTTATTGAACCTATTTTAATAACCCTCCCATTTCATTCTAGTGAGGGTTAGTGTATCTTGCTTCACAAAATTTCCATAAATGGAAATTAAACATGGCCAAGAAAACAATTTTTCCTTATGCAAAATAACCCAACATTTTAAAAACATTATAAAGATAATTATATGATACAACAGTCATAAATCACAGTATTAAAACAAGTGGTACTTACTGGTCCACCAATAGATCTTGGGTGTTGCACCATTGTTGACAGTAATCAAGTAATGTTTACGGTCGTGTCTGTCCACATAGTGAAGGACCTGCAGGACATCAGTGTCTGGCAGCTGCTGGATCAGCTCCATGGAATACATCAGTGAGTCAAACTTGTACACTTGTGACCCTTCCTGAGAAGAAACATAATATCTCTTTATTCTTGGAGATAATACTCACAATATAAAACTCACCTACTGTACTTTAAGAAAACTCACGTGTATCCATCAAATTGGTGTAGGTGAAGACTAGTACCTTAGGACTGAATGTGAAATAAGGATTTGACATTTGCTGTACTGTGATTCATCTTTCCCATTAATATACACCAAATACATTTTTGTCATTGTTAAATTTTGAGACTTACATCACTTTTCATACCAAAGACTAAATAGTGGTTGCCACCATCGGCAAATCCCGTGACGGCCTGCACACCTTTAGTCCTCAGCCGTAAACCATCCACACGGTCAAAGTATTTACCCATCAACATGTAGAGCCTGCAAGCAAAGGAACAACAAAAGTGACTAGTGTTTCCTTCACTACCGTTTAATTCGACTCCACCCATTGGCCGACTAAGGTTTCATAATGCGAGAGAGGTGCTGTACTTCACGAATAGAAGAATAATACTTACGCAGAGTCCACCCCCACTTCACTCAAGGCTCCCCGGTCGTTTTCACCGACCACGAGGAATAACTCTCCACTAGCTTGGAACATGTGGAGGCCACCTAGCAATTGGACAGGGATGTTTTGTGGAACTGCCACTTGACCATTCGCTGGGTTCATGCACACTATTGTCACTAAATGTGCAGATGATGAACCCATGGCCACCCACACAAAACTCATATGCATATAAACCTGGAAAGACAGGTGTAGAAAGCTCTGCATTAATTAGCTCACATACCACTTCTTGCACTTAATACAGTATATGGCAAAGCATATACAAGTACCATATACAGAACCTCAACACTGATATCTCCATTACTCAGAACAATTGGTGCAGAGCAAGTCGGGGAACGAGACGACTCTCTCGGCAGGAAAAAAATATAAATCACTCTTCCCGGAATTTTCCAGGGAAGGGAATAATTTTCTTGGATGTTCAAAAATGATGCATTATTTCATCTCTCGAACCTGGAAATATATCCATCTCCAAAACTTTCAGGGTACTGGGAAAATTCTCACTCTCAGAAAATGTGCCCCTAGGAAAATCGTTCAAAAAGCCAGAAATTTACAAAAATTACGGCTTTTAGAAATTTTTTCCCGAGAAAATATAAATTTCGGCTATCGGCGAGTTCTAGGTTTGAGGGATTCTGGCTAATAGACATTACTTTCAAATGCTGAAGAACCAACAATAACATTCATTAGTTCCCCACAGACCTACAGTACAGTACACACTAGTTCAGTCATCCAGGTACAGTATTCAGCTTTTATCCGACTCATAAGACACAAGTTTGTTCAAAATAAATGTTGGTTACATCATGTGAGGAACCATAACTCAATAAGGAGTGCTTCTGGCCATGGTTCATATAAAAACATTTAACTGGCGCTGAAAATATTCTTTTATACTACTGTAAACAGGAAATATCCATTACTTAGTTATGTAGGAAATTCCAATATATAATTAGTCAACCTATTCAGACTAACTCGACTCAACAGTCAGATAAGATTGTGGACCTCAATTTACAACTACACCAGCCATTCAAAGTCATCACCCATTAACTCACTCCCAAGACATTTTAAACTTTACTCCTTCATTTATATATCAAGTCTATATTCTCTCACACATTCTACCTTCTTATTACAACCTCATAGCTACTGTCTTTCTGATCTTAAAACCTAAATTCAATATTCACAATGGTGCCGAGTCTTGTCATTCCATAAAGGTAAATGGTAAATACAGTATATGGAAAATATATCAATATAAAGCTTGGAAAATGAAGTGCGTAACAACAATGACTAATAATAATACCGTACCCAAGTAACATTCTTAATGCTAACCATAGGATGGATGTAAACTAACACTTGTATACAGTCATCAGTGAGAAAGATGAGGCAAGGTTCCAATTGTACATTGATAACAGAAAATTACTACAATACTTTAAAGAAATTGAAAATGCACTTTCATGAAAATGGTAGTGACAATATAAATTAAACTTTATAACGTAGTGAATATTTGGTGGATCTATATTTTGAGTTGTAAGATAAGAACATAAGCAGAGCTCCTACCACCATGAGGATTCCTTTCTCTCTCAGCCCAACAAGACAGCAGCCAGGCCCTCTACCACCTCATGATCAAATTTCTAGCAAAAACTGTTTGGACTTAAAATATTGTGGCAAACATTAATACATTGTTGGAGTTATTATACTGAAACCCTCACAGTCAGACTCCAGAGTTCTAGACATGCTACTAATTACGGTCATGCTACTTTTTTTACGGGGAATAGCCCACCCGGGCACAGGTCATCGACCCACAACGGGGTGCAGGGGGGGATAAGAGTAAAAAGAAATTAAATATAGAAAAGAAAACGATTATATTAATATCTACACCACGAAGATACTGGAAGACAACTTTCTCATGTGTTCAAGTGACAGATTGTATGAGTATAGAAACACAGGAGGCAGAGCATTCCACAGTTTGGCTGTGTGAGGAAAGAAGGAGGTACTATAACGGGTTATTCTCGTGTGACCGACATCCACAGAGAAACGGTGGGCACCGCAGGCAAGACGTGTGTTACGAACCCACGGCCTTGCCGGCGGTACACAGGATGTCAAATCCACCGAACAGTGTCCACTAAAGTACCTGTAAAAGAGAGTGAAGCAACATTGCAGCAAAGAGAAAGGGAAGAAAGATTATCAACTAAAGGAGGAGTTAAGATGAAATGCCTTTGATTCCACCCTATCTAACAAATGGACAGAAGAAGAGCCACCCCAGATATGAGAGCAGTACTCCAAGTGTGCAGTTACCTTAAACTCATTAAAAGCCAAATTTTTTCTTAGGATTAACCTAAACAATTTATAAGTCAATCTCCAATACAAGTCCAAATTTAACCCAAAGAAGTTAACAAAACTATGTAATCAAAATAGGTCCGTCCACTACACCCACAAATCAATAACTTACCGTTATCTTGTCAACTTTATCAAAACTTGTAGAAGAAAGCTCAAACTCTACAACTTGTAGTATTTTGTGCTCAGGCCAGGACATTTCCACGATTACCTGCGTCTCATTTCTGAAATATAAAATTTCTACAACTTCTGCATTTTGGTCCATTTCAATCAAGACTTGTACACTTGCTCCAAAAAGTATCTTTACAGAGGGGTCCGATGAACTTCAAAATGAACACGGACTGCCATTGTCTCGGTAGGATTGTCATTAATCCTTCAGTTGTGTCATTGTCCAATACAAAATTGTAGATACTTCTTGGAGCGAGTGTACAGCGTGTCCTGGAACGTCATTGAAAGATCAGTGTCATGAGAATGCAAGAGTGACAAAGTTCTCTGGCAGAGCCGACAGCAAGGTAGCAGCTTGTACTACAGTCCACAGACAATTTCCAAGTCAGGATTGAAATTTTAACATACAGTAATAGTTAAACCTATCCCCCTCCTGCATTACAGGAGAATCCCGGTTATCCGGCACCTAAGGGGATCGAGAGCATCATCGAGCTTTTCTTGTTAGCTGAAACTCTCATAGCATCCCAATAAATCCTACAGTGCACAGTATCTACAGGCCGACCTCACAAATTCGTTCTCTGAAAAACAAACTTCTTTAACACTTATTGCACTCGATATAAACAATGTGACAATGAAATAAAGTACGATATAAAACTATAAAATAAGAAAATTGAAGAGCACAAGAGCATGTGTGTGGGACGTGAACGTGTGTGGAGGCGGTGTGCTATAACTGTGGACAACTCACCAGCCCAGCTGCCACATACAGTACACCAAAACTATACAGTAATGATTCACTTGAAATCCATGAATGAATTTCAGTTTACAATTACAGTAGTGTAGGCAAAATCTCTACTATTTGAAAGCAAGAGAAACCAAGTACAGTACAGTAGATGGATAAGGTAAAATCTTACAAATCCATAAGAAAGTGAAAGGTACAGTACAAGTATTTCAGAAAATTTGCATCTACAAAAACTTAACAGCTAAGGTAGAAGACATTTCTAAAACCATTATTTTTCTTACCTGTAGCCACCTACAATACAGTAGGTCTTGCCCTTGCTTCTCAACACTTTAAAACTTGTCACCCTCTTGAGGTACGTCATCAACCCCAAGTCATATGGATGTGTACCAGTCACATTGACGGACTCTATATCCAGAGCTGCGAGAAATATACATTAACAGTCGATTCACGCCATATACAGTGGCAAATAGTTAAAGTATTGTACAGTACAGTAAATATATTCAGTAATTAGTACATTATTTTCATAGACATGTATAAATGTAATTACTAAGTCCTCACAGTCAGTACTATACTATAATATACCTCTTTTGACTCTTCGGGTCTCCACCGAAAAGGCCTTTGAGATCTGTAGATGTGCGAGCTTCCGCACTGTGTCCACAAAGGTGTCCAAGTCGGCTAAAGATTCCAAGGGTTGATCCCCAGCAGACTCCATCTGTGGGTGATATTTTTATACAACTTTTTTAAACAAAAACTTATTTAAGTCGTAAGACGTTCACATGGTAGGTTTCAAAATATACTCACGAGGAAAGAATCAAACCACGAGTGTTTACCTCAGTAACAAACCTGTCAGTAGCTGCCCCAGGAAGAGAAGTCACAAGTAGTTAATGGACATCTCTTGTATAGGAAAAGATATCACATCCCAAGGCCAAGTCACTAAATAGAAGTTTACCCCCCTCCCCATAACTTCAATCATGGCTGTAACACAAGTCACTACTTTTAGGGCTAAGCCCTATTAGGGTGGATAGCAGCCTGGAAAATGCAACAAAACAACCATGATGATTCTGGACCTATAGTTATCTTGATTACCTAAGACGGAAGGCCTCAGGACTAAATCCCTTCAGGCAAGGCACAATAAGGCAGATCTCAAGACATTCAAAATCCTGACAGATGGGAACCTTGTTGGATGTTGCCATGTGACCCCAGCAGTTACCCTGGATATAAAGCACAAATTTTATTTTGTTATATAATACAATAATAATTGCAGTACTTTATGAAGGTAGTGTAATAATAATAAGAATGCCTAGTAGCAACCCTCCCCGAGGCCCCAAATAAAATTAAAATCTTTAGGCATGAGCAAAATTTTAGGTTATTTGACTTTAATGGGAGTCAGCCTTTTATTTTTATCCTCTTTGCCAACGATTGGCTCGTTAGCCACTTGGTCACACGTTATACACTGTTGGCAAGTACTGGTTCCTGAATGTATCTATCTACATCAGTGTTGGTCAAGTCTGGCCTTTAATGAGCTCACACTGTGCTATCACAACACTGATAAATTGTTCCAAGAGTTTGCAATTATCACTCAAAGTTTTCCCTGATAATTTTCCAAACTTTTCTGGCATCTTCAACCTTGAGCTGTGACCCCTAGTGGGGTTGACTTCCGCCAGCTCCAGGTATGGACACCCGACCGAGTAATGTCCTTTCATAATCTTCAATTAAGTCGCCCCCTTGCCTGTCTACAATATGAGCTTGACAGTTGCACGTGTTCCAATCTCTGGGTAACTGAGGTGCTGTAGTGCAGGCATCAGTCAGGTGGCCCTCATTTGGACATTTTCAATCAGCTGATCACCAAAATGCACATCCCAGACTAGACAGGGTGGCTGCTCCAGAAAGGGGAGCAACTCACTCTTGAAGAGCGTTATGAGGGATGGACCGTCTAGGTATCTGAACGAACTTCCAAGACCAACTAGTTTAGTTCCAATGTCACCATACACGTCCAGGTCTATTTCACATGGTCTGCTACTGCAATTTCTTTGTCCCGTTGGGACATGTGATATGCCTCCATACTGTTGGTGTGGCCGAGGTGCAACCTCTTCCTTTTCGTGACATTGAAACTTCAGCCATTTCTTCGACCACTCTTGAAAGGGACAGATCTTGCTGTAGCTCTTCAGTGTTTGGTTCATAATTTCCCTAAATAACTTGGCATCATCCACAAACATTTGTATGGAGGTATATAGCTTCCAGCAAGTGATTTATGAAACAAATGAACAACGGGCCCAGTATACTCCTCTGTGGTGCCCCGATTGTCACGGGTACACGAGTATTTCATGCCATTAGTCACCACTTGAGGTTATGATAGTATGATCCACACTAGGACACTTCCCTGAAACTCATACCCTTCCAGTTTAAATCTTGGCCTTTCATGGAGTATGCCATCAAATGCCTTGGAAAAATCCATATTATGTTAGATAATGCCACAATGATCCATAATTTGAGTCCAAACATCCAGCACCCGGAGTAATTGTGTCAAGCAGTAGTGTCCAGGCATAAAACTGTGTTGGCAGTCTTTTACAAGGTTGTTTCATATATGTTCCATCATGGTATCTCCTCTTATAATGCTCTCCTTGTACTTTACACTGCTGCTCAGGCTCACTGGCCTACAATTATTTGTGGAGTGGCGCTCACCCTTGTATATAGGACTAACCTTTTAATCACTCAGGCATCAAAGGAGCAGGGTCTAAGAGGCTCAGCTAGCTCGTTGCACAACTCTCTTAGCACTGGGATGCACCATGACTGGGACAGGACTCTTATGAACATTTAGCGATGAATTTGTTTCTTATAACCTCTTCTGAAAGCACAATGTACATAGTGGTGTGTCAAAACGTCATTCCTCAAATACAGGAAGATTGTCTTGTAAACACCGAGGAACAGAATTTGTTTAATGCTTCCACCATTAAAGTCTCGTTAACCACCATATTTAAGCCTCGGATTAAATGTGCCCATGCGTTTTTAATTTTACTTTGTGTAACGGTAAAAAGCCTTTGGGTTTGACTTTACCTCCCTTGCAATCCACCAGCAACTCTTTTTCAGCCCTTCTGCACTCTTGACTTGGTTCCTGTACCTGGCATACATCCTCCGGTCCTGCTCATTTGTCATAACTTTACTTTTCTTTTATCCTCTTCACCACTGATAGGCGCGTTAGCCGCTTAGGCGATCGGTCACGTCTCTGTCACGCACTTGGCAAGTACTCGGTGCCGTCACAACACTTGCTGGTAGATTGTTCTAAGAGTTCACAACTCCCACCCCGAAAAAGTTTGCCCTCACAGTTTTCTGGAGTTGCAGCTTCTTCAATCTTGAGCTGTGACCCCTTGTGGGGCGAGCGTCCGCCAGCTCCAAGTAAGGACACTCAACTGAGTAGTGCCCTCTGAGATGCTTATACACCTCTATTAGGTCACCCCATGCCCATCTGTAGTATAAGCTTGGCAAGTTCAGGTGCTCCAATCTCTCAGGGTAGCTGAGGTGCCGAAGTGCAGGCACCAGTCTGGTGGCCCTCCTTTGAACATTTTCAACCAACTGACAGTCCCTAGCATATCTCGGGGACCAAACGGGGCGACAGTACTCCAGATGGGGAAGCACTCCACTCTTGAAGATCGTTACGAGGGACGGACCGTCTAGGTATCTAAATGACCTTCTTACAAGACCCAATAATTGATTTGCCTGATTTACCTTCTCGCAATGGCCCGAGAACTTCAGCTCATTGTCAACATACACACCTAGGTCCTTCTCACACACAGTCTCAACTAGTGCAGTTTCTTCATCCCGTTGGGACATATGATATGCCTCCTTACCGTTGGTACGCCCCAGGTGCATCCTCTTATACTTCACGACACTGAATTTCAGCAGCCATTTCTTCAACCATTCTTGGAGCCCACAAAGATCCTTCTGCAGCTCTTCACAGTCCGCTTGGTTCTTAATTTCTCAAAATAACTTGGCGTCATCGGCAAACATTTGTAGGGAGGAGTGTACAACGTCAGGCATGTCATTTATGAAACAAACAAACAGCGGGCCCAATACACTACACTGTGGTACCCCGCTTGCGACAGGTACGGATGATGATTTCGTGCCATTAATCACCACACACTGCTTGTGGTCATGTAGAAAGTCTTCTATCCATGCTAAGACATTTCCCAACTCATAAATTTCTGACTTTCTCAACTTTTGTCAACCGCCACATGGTTCATGTGTAACAGGTCCCCGGGTTATGAACGGGTTCCATTCCCGAGGACGTTCTGAAGTAGGATTTATACCCAAGTCAGAACACATGCTATGTGCATACCTTACTTACAGGACAATTTCTAAAATCCCACTATCATAGCCCAAGTCTTTACATAGAGTACATATATCAATTAATTTAAGACAAAAGAAGAAATAGAATGACAAGACAGTATAAATGAAAGTAAAAAATAGATCAGATAAATAATATATACTGTTGTCCCTAGGTTAACGAACGGTTCAATTAACGAAATTTCGGTCGACGAATTAACTCCCATAAGGATTTTCAGTTCGATTAACAAACAAAACTTCGATTAACGAAAGCCTTACGAGAAACACGTTTTATTGTGCACATCAGCTGATCGGCTAGTCCGCCAATACTGTACAGTAATCGGTTCTATGTTTACATTCGTTTCCAGTGGAATAAATATCAAGAAGGTTGTGCTCTAATATTTTTTGCATTTTTTATATTAAAATTATTAGTCATCCTAAAATTGTTAACATATTGATAATATATGCAGTACAGGGAACTAGTTTTTGTGCGCCCATCAGCCACTTGACTCGCCCGCCAAAGCTACCGTATATCTCGGCCTACAAGACGGAATTTGAACCAAAAAAAAAACAGCCCAAAGTTAGGGGGTCGTCTTTAGCACCAGAGATAAAATTCTTACCTCTTAAATAATGAGGTTTAGCGTGTCAAGAGTGGTGATGGAAACATCGTAAGCCACTCACAAGGTCCTACCACTAATTATTTTATACTGAAACTTACGTTTGGGAAGCTGGATTAAAATGAAGATTACCGGTATATTAAAATAATAAAAATGTATTATAAACCAGTCTAACATAACGTAAAAGAACAATATACCCGGGTAATAAACACAGCTGCTATCATCATCATCCCCCCCCCCAACCCCCATTTGCCAGTGACAAGAAAGGGAAAGTGACCTTGACTGACCGCCTGTGGCTATTTTTAGCCGTCCTTGTGTTCGGAGGTGGTCAGTAATGCACATCTGTATATTTACTGATCATAATACTTATCTACTATAAATAATTAATTTAAATTTTATTTTTTTTACAAAGAATATTCATTAAATGACTGCGTTAATTCTTGAAACTACCGACAGTGGGTTTCCCAGCATACCATGTACAGTACAGTATTTCCTTAGCAAGTGTTTATACAGTATACATATGACAAATTCTCATTTCTCGTGTAAATCTGTACATTACAAAACCTGTCGGCTTTTTCATGACTGCCCCCCCCCCCTCCTCCCTAACAACAGGCCACTTCCTCCAAAGCAGCAAATGGTTGGTCCACGTTCATTGTCTATAGTGAAAAGTTAAGCAGTGATAAATAATAAAAATTGGCCATAGAAAGTCGACATTCAAGACCCAGTGGATTGCTATAAAAACATTAGATAAAGTAGGAAAGGCTTAAACACTTGAACGGTGATCAACACAGTTAAGGTGTTCCCAGAAGACCTAAGCTCCTCCCACTCCAATGGTCCTTAAATACCTGGGAGGACAGTGGAAGGAAGCGAGTTGTGATCAAAACCCAAGCCAGGGTAGTGCAACCTGACCCAAGGATACACATCTCTACTCTCTTCAACTGCTTCCACTAATTCACCTGGGTATCACTCCTACATGGTTAGGTTAAGTGCTGTACATGATTATTTTTACTTGGTATAACTTTGGCTATTATTTGTGTATTTAGGGACTTGTTCTTTTTCATGTACGTATTATTGATCGACTTGTATCTGAGTGTATTTACCTCCCAGCTAACCTTGCGAGGGATATGCACAGCGACTCACATTTAATTTAACTTAATTACGTGCAGTGTCTTAACCCTATAGCCCTTATGTTTGAACCATTTTAACTAAGTGGGAGAGGAGGATTCAGAAAAGTATCAACTCTTGATTTTTTTTTATATAGAAGTTTGTTTAGGTATTTAAGAATAACATTAGTTGTAAAATAAATTAACTCAACTTGACAAACTATTTCTTACCCCACGTGGAGAGGCGATTATGCCCAGAAATAGTGAAAGAGCTTTAACAAGGGCTTAACTGAAATGCTTATCTAGACATTTACTCTTCAATGTCTGGGGGGGAGGAGGGGGGAGGCTGAGGCTACTTCTCTCTGCATTAACCTGTTCCCTGTCTGTCTCTCAAGTATCACTTTGTCAACCAGGCATTCCCCAGTCCAACAACAACCGGCCTAATTCTCAGACAGATAAGTTGGAGTTCCGTAACAATATGCATTACAGTACCATTGAATAATTTACACAATGCATTTTGTGGAAATAACCGGTTTAAGGCAGATGGAGTAAACCTTGCACTCTTTGGCTACAGCACTTGATAATACAACCTACTTTAACCCTCTCAATGCTTCAAGCTATGATCATGGTGCAATGTTCAAGAGCTAAATCCTCAAAATTGTTAAGATACATTTGAAGCATCGTAACTTGCCTCTTGCTCACAAACACAAACTATTACACTTGACTGAAGGTGTAAGGATACTATTGATCATCCTGTCCAAAATGATTTGTATACTGTACTGAACTGTTTATTGATGACTACATACAAGAACAGAGTCTACTGTACCAGGTCAGCTAACAAAGGCATTGGGGGTGGTCTGAAGTCTGCATCTTGCACTGGCATGGCCCAAGTACCCACTGCCACCACCAGAACAGCCAGTGGCCACACTAACATTGTCGTAGCCACCATACTCCTCCCTGTGAACAAGAGTTATTTACTAAGCATATAAAACTAACTAATCGTTTGCGAGACAAACCTCACTGCTCCAGAACCCTAATTACAGTACTTGGGTATGGCTTAATTTGGAACCCAGGTGTCAATCAGGACTAAATCTGGATGAACATGACAAGCAAGCATTCATGTCGATCTGAACTGAACTCTCTATATTATGAGTATTGCTGGACATTATTATAGTTTACAATATAATGGAGATTTAACAGAATGTGCAGGAGTACTGTATAGTGTAGCATGATGTACTTAAATTTCTGAATCAGAGGAACAAACCTGCTAAATCTTCATAATCCCTTGGGTGAAGACAGCAAGTTTAGACTAACTTAGTACTGTAGAAATTTCTGGGTATGTATTACGTCTCGACAAGAAATTACACCTCAAAAGACCCTGGTGGCTTCTTGTCACCTGTGTCTGATATGTTAATGTTCTGAATCTGAATGAATGTGTGCCTGGCAGGCTGTACTACTGATGGTTATTAAAATGCTTTAGTATACAGTACATACAATATTTTATCTATCCAATTTTCTTTCAAATTATTTTTGTTTAATCCAAACTATGTCTGGATTAACAGTGTCCATCCAAATACTGTACTTAATGATCCAGCATATGAAAAGAGCTATTCCTCCACCCAACTGGGATTAGTCTTGAACAAAATTATGTTTCCTAACAGGATAACCAGGGTGACCCTTTAAACTTTATTCTTCAAAAATAAAATACAAATAATTTCTGCAAACAGAGCCATTCCAACAGTCTTAAGACAGCACTGGTGGCACGGTCCTGTTGGGCTGTTTCCCTCGGACTATTTCACACCAAAAGCTTTCAACACACAAAAAACATTCCGGTAAATATTTAATTATCGATGACTGACCCACCGCCGATTTTTCATAGAAAATTAAAAAAATCCTTCAATTTCACTTTTAGAATGGACACTGTCATAGGCTTGGAAAATGTGTTAAAAAAGGTTATTTCTAAATTATACCTAACCTAACCTTAGTTAAGAAAAACAAGCCCCAGAAGTTTCGTTAAAATTGCAGTTTCGGCCAATATGCCATTGTAGTTTATAAATTAGTTCAACCTGTGTATTTTAGTGCGAGTTATAGTATATAGGGTTGGCTGGATGGATTGATGGATGGATAGTAGTTGGACAGAAACTGATGTAGACCATGGCGAGGACCCAGCAGTGTGAAGGGAACCCCCCACACACCATGGTAGAAATGAGTGTCTTTAATTTGGACAGGCAATATATAACTATACATCCATTATTATATTGTCATACATGTAAGCAGATGGTTAACTCAGGTGTTGATCGATTTAGTTTGTTTTATCCCAGACATTCTTTGGATAAGTAATAAAAATCTTGAGTACCACGGGAGACAGAGTGAGGGGCGATATGATAGGCGTATAAATGGAAGTCAGGGCTAAACAAAAGTGATATAACAAAAGTACTCAAACTATCCAACCAGGAGCGAACTCGTAACAATGGTTTTAAATAAGACAAATTTAGATTTAGGCGTGAGATAGGTAAACACTGATTTGGAAATAGAGTAGTGGATGAGTGGAACAAGTTACCAAACATCTTCATTAACTAATACCCTGGATAGCTTCAAATATAGGATATTAAGCGATGGAGGTCGAGTGTAAACGGGACTGCCTAGTATGGACCAATAGACCCGCTGCAGTTTCCTCCATTCTTACGAGTGCAGCCTTGGTTCCTTAAGTACCACGAGTGCAGCCTTGATCCCTTAAGTACCACGAGTGCAGCCTTGGTCCCTTAAGTACCACGAGTGCAGCTTAATTCTGAATACAACCACTCAACAGCGTACACCAGAGGTTCCACCATCAAACGGCGGGTTTTGGGAAGGTCGGTCAATTTGCTTTACCTATGTATAGTCAGTCGTTTAATATTTTGCCTCATCTCTACCAACCTTTCATTCTTAACATTGAAATGTTTAGTAGAAATACCGCGGTGTCGGGGTATAATTACTATAACAAAGTATTTAAATACTGTAGTTCGCGATTCACAAACCCAATCCATTAGTTACATATCCCTACACAATAAGTTTAACTCCACTAAATTACTTCAATTAGGTATACGTAGTGTGTTCACGGTATATCTGCCATTAATGAAGACATTTACCAGTGAACGCCTTTGCCGACTTGTCCGTAAATTATCAAACTATCCAAGTGGTAGTTTGCCATATTTTTGGTGTGTTTTAGCGAATAGCTCATATAAATTATCCACATCATATTAATCAATTTCAACAAACTAATAAATAAGAACAAACCAAGAGATCATCGTTTATAAAGCACATTAATGTAAACTAAAGTGACCAACCCACTCACCTCAGACGCCCAGCTGCGACTGAACTGTTCATAAAGAAAGTGAAACATGAAACCTCTCTCTCTCTCGTGAAGCAAATTTCGAAACACTCATGTAGTGATTAAATATTTTATGCAAACATATTTGTAACATTAAAATAATTTTTGTGATTTGCTGTTTCGACATTTTACCATATTACTTTAATAGCATGATTAGAAAGGGCGTAAACAATATGTAAATACTCATTTTTTTATTGTACTGTAGATGTTATGAAGCAGTAGGCCTGTCTGTCCGAACCTCAGCGGCCAACTCTCCTCAGACGCTTTAGTGCAAACATTATCTTTGGTTTGGTATAACTATTATTAGTAAAAGTTTAACAGTGATAAATACCTATATGAGTCATCCAATTATTTGTTTCAGTGGTTCGTAGGGAGTAGGAACGGCTTGAAAGTTCATTATTGCGTCGTGTAAATGCTCCATTGTCTCAGGCCAAACACCTGCAGGTAGTTTCCAATTAGATGTTTTAATTGTGTTTCTTTTTACAACAATGAAGTTAGTGAACCAGTGAAAAAAATGGCGTTTCTTTTGTCTGCCACAGAGAGAGAGATGGATGACAGTAAACTTGAAACCGTCACTAGCAATTTGTAGAGCATTATGACTGATGCTTTTGATATACTGTAGGCCTACTACATTTTCGAGGCTTACAGAGTCTATCAGAAACTATGTGTTGGTTCATTTTCGCCAAAGTTTGTGGTGAATATTTACAGTTTTAACATAAATTGGTTTTATCCAGAGTTGACTACTTGTATTGTAACCCTCCATAGCTTGACACAGTGGTCGGTCATTTCAACCCTGTCAGCTCAACCCCCTGTCAACCAACCCCCTGTCAACTTAACCCCCTGTCAACCAACCCCCTGTCAACTTAACCCCCTGTCAACCAACCCCCTGTCAACTTAACCCCCTGTCAACTCAACCCCGTCAACCAAACCCCTGTTAATTTAACCCCCTGTCAACTCCATACAGGAGATCCAAATTACTGTAATGGTTTGCCCTTTTTGAGAAACAATATGAATTTGTTTATTATGTAGTAAGCAAAGATTAAAGACAATTAATTATTATTGTTTGAGTGCCTGTTGCTACTGTATGGTAGTTGCAGTGTCTAATTATTTTTGTTATTTCTAAATCTAGGTTTTCAAGTACTATCTATCAATGATCATAAAATTTACTGCAAGTTGAGATTATTAACTCCCTCACACCGCTCTTGTACTGTACACTGTTTATATAATACAAACAGTGGTTAGGTCTGAGGCTTAATGTATGTGTGAATTTGTGCATTACTGTACTGTACTATACCATACTGTACTGAGCTGTAGTGTACCATACTGTACTGTGCTGTACCGTACTGTACTGTGCTGTACTGTACCGTACTGTACTGTGCTGTACTGTACCATACTGTACTGTACCATACCATACTGTACTGTGCTGTGCTGTACTGTACCATACTGTACTGAGCTGTACTGTACCATACTGTACTGTGCTGTACCGTACTGTACTGTGCTGTACTGTACCATACTGTACTGTACTGTACCGTACCATACTGTACTGTGCTGTACTGTACCATTCTGTACTGTACCATACCATACCATACTGTACTGTGCTGTACTGTACTGTACTGTACCATACTGTACTGTACCATACCATACTGTACTGTACTGTACTGTACCATACTGTACTGTACCATACTGTACTGTACCATACCATACTGTACTGTGCTGTACTGTACTGTACCATACTGTACTGTACCATACTGTACTGTACCATACCATACTGTACTGTGCTGTACTGTACTGTACCATACTGTACTGTACCATACTATACTGTACATGCACACTCATGTCTCCTAATTTAGTGATTTAGAAAGTTAAGAAATATCACTTTGTTTTCATTTGTCTTGTAATAATGTTTCAGTTTGACCTTTATTAAGTTAACTCGTCTTAATTCATCTGGAATCAAAATTCAGTATCTTCTTGTGTGAATGATATTACAGTCAACCCTCGATAGCTCGGAATTTCATATAACTCAGCGTGGATATGGTCTATGAATGCATTATAGTATAACTCAGGAAATGCCGAGATATATAAAATAATCTGGGAAAATCTCAGCATATCTGGCCACCTGCATCACCTACCATACCTGTGTCACCTACCATGCCTCTTTCACCTACCATACCTCTGTCACCTACCGTGCCTGTGTCACCTACCATGCCTGTGTCACCTACCATACCTCTGTGTCACCTACCAAGCCTCTGTGTCACCTACTATGATGCTTCATTCTTCACCTGCAGTGCTGGTAAGTATTACTTTTTTATATTTAGTAATTACATGTACAGGTACACATATATGGGTCGACAAATTTTTATTGTTGTATTTTTGTAGTAGGGGGTGAGGGGGGGGGAAGTGCCTCGATAAGTCTGAATTTGGGATAACTCAGCAAGGCCAGATGAGCCCCATGTGTGCTGAGTTATTGGGGGTTTACTGTATCTGTCTTCCCATAACATCATCACTCATAGGGAACAATTTAATATTATACAGTGGAACACACCTGTGCACTGACAGTCTCACTG